AGTGTCACCAGAAAGGAAAGGAAAGGAAGGAGGGGAGGAGAGAAAGAAAAAGGGACAGAAGGGAAAAGAGGGGGAAGCGAGGAGAGTGAACCCACTGGGGACACAGAGCTACTGGAGCTACTCAGGACAAGCAGAGATGGGCATGTGCATGGAAAAAGCCCTCACGCCACCCCGCCTGTCCCGCGTGTACACAGCTGCCATGGATTTTCTTTCAGGAAAGAAACTAAACCCTCGACCACACTGCATGGTCCACCCGTGTCAAGCCCTGGATGCCGTCCAGTCCTCGGAAGAGTCCTGCTCCAGGCTGCGGTTGTTTTAGAAGCCAGGTGAGAGCGATTGGAGATGATGTAAATACAAACCGCCGGGCCACGGTCAGGGCCCAGCTGCCCGGGCTGGTCAGCCCCACGGACCACATGCTAAAAAGGCTGCGAGGTCGTAATCAAGTTCACAAGCTGCTAACCATGACCGGAGCCACTAGCTCGATAAACACACCTCGTCACAGCCCGGAAAACCCAGGTGCAGGGTATAAATCCCGGGCTCCCGGGCACTCTGGAATCTGACTTCTCGGCTGGAGGTGGGCCCTGTCCCTCGGGCCCTGGCTCAGCCCCCACTCTCCGTGTCACCAAATGCAGGGTCCCTGGGGCTTCTCTTCCAGGCTTCTGCTGTCCTGAACAGAGACCTGGACAGGGCACATAGAAAAGGCAGCTAGGGTGCACGTTATTCAAGGTAGGAATGCGCTCCGCAGCGCTGGAGCAGCCAGTAGAAAGGCTCGCGGCAGCCTGGGGAGAAGTGAAAGGGGTGTTTTTTACCCATAATTCCCAGGTTATCTCCCTCTCATGCAAACAAGACATTGGGCAGTCGTCCTATCAGTGTAAACTGCCTATCAGAAACCTCTTGGCTTCCTGCCTTATGTAAATGAAGGATCAGAACTGTGACTTTTGATTGGCTGTGCCCACATGCAAATGAAGGATTGAAAAGAACATCTTCTGATTGGTTCTAGGGACAGCGCAAGATTCCAAAGCCTTGCAAATGGAAAATTTGCCATTGGTCCAGATGAGTGCCTTTCTAATTGGTTCTGTGTGTGGGGATGATGGCGTCACTGTTGGGCGTGTCCCCCTGGACCCCATCCCCTCCTCATCCTGCTCTGGGCCACCTCCTGGGAAACCCACGGCCACCCTAGACATAGCTTATGGATAGTCCCCACCCACGCCCCCAGGAAAGCAGTACCACTGCCACACCTGTGCTAGCGCGTGCACACTACACCACAGGAGCACCCCTAGGAGGGCAGAGGGCACAGTAGGTCCCCAACCTTGGAAGGCCCTGGGAGTCTCCTCGTCCTGGCCCCAGCCGGACAGATACTGCGTGAAGATGCATCTCCCCACCCCCACCAGTGAGTGCAGCCCTGTGTGCTCATGCCCTGCACCCGCTGAGTCACCTACAAAACTGTCACCCTGGACAGCCAGTCTCTTCCCTCAGTGACATCAGGTGGGTTCCATTTGCACCTCTGCATCTCGGAGGACTCACTGAGATCCTCTGCCCTCGGGGAATCAGCCAGTAAGTCATTGAGTATCCCCTGGACAGAAGAATTCCTTCCTGGGGTGACCAGAAGGATGCTGGTCAAGACACTGGACACTGCCTGGTGTGACCAGGCTCCAGCTAGGAGGATTCAGAGCCTCTAGAAATGTATCAGAAGCTCTCAGTGTCCTCCCAGTCACGTGAGGAGAAGTAGGTCTGCCTGCAAAGGGGCTGTGTGTGGGGAGGTGATGCCAGAGCAGCAGCAGCCATCTTTCAACCAGAGGACAAGCCCCAGAAGCAGTCATCCTAGAGAGCTATCTAAGAAGAAGGGGGGGGGGCTAGACTTGGCATCTCTGAACCCCTGGACTGCCTCTGGGATTTATAGTGTAATTTTTACTATTTAAACCGGGTCTTCAGGAAGTGTCCCTGGCTCAGAGCCCAAAGCACCCTGGTGAAAATAGGCTCTTTCCTGCCTGTTCCTGGAAAGGCACTCCTCCCTGAAGGGAGGTAGCCTCTCCTTGTCCTGATAGGTTTCTCCTGCAGCCTGTCTCCTTGTCACGCACTGACGTCTCTTCCTTGGGTCCTCACTGAGTTACATCCCCAATGCCCTCCCTTTTGTAAAGTTTGAAACAAACAGTGGTTAAGTTGCTAAGTTGCCCAGGATGGGCTCAAACTTGCACTCCTCCTGCCTCAGACTCTAGGGCTGCCCCCTTCTGGTGCTGCAACACTGCTGTGGCTGATTGGATCTCCCCAGAGACCCCTAATGAGCACGATAACATTCAAAGAGATGGGGTGAGATCGTCAGCACGGGGACTGGAACATAACTCAGGCCCTGACGCCTGTATCCCCCTGGGTCCTAAGGCAAGGCCTGGACAGGGAACTCCCACAGGAGTGGGAAGTGTGGCCCTGGGCTGAGCAGAGAGCCCGGGCACCCCCCTGGTCCCAGGATGCTCTGGGGGCTCAGTTGAGAGTGGGCCATGGGGATGGAGAGTAGTGAGGCAGAGCCTAAGGAAGCGGAGCCAGTGGGGCAAGGCCAGTGGATGGAGCCTTGTGTGGGCAGGGCCTTGGGAAAGTGGTGGGGTGAGGTCTGTGGGCGGGGCCTAGTGTGGGCGGGGCCTCGTGTGGGCAGGGCCGCGGGGGGGGCAGCGACCTGAGCATGTTGACTTTGGGATGGGACGCAGCCCTGGTTGCCACACCAGCGTGGGAGATGGGGGGCAGCATGCTGTGGGCTTCCCTCCATACCTGGGGCTCAAAGTTCTGATCAGTGCCCCTCCCTAGCCTAAATCCAGGATGCCCACATTGCTAAGGACGGTAAACCCCTGTGCTTTTTTAAGCCAACTTTAGATAGGTGTTTTGCTATCTGCAACTGAAAGCAGCCCAACCTGTACGTGTTGTCACCATTTTACAATTTAGGAAAGTGGCTTCCTGCAGGAGAATGGCTCATCCAAGATCACATGGCTCCTGTGTGACAAAACAGCCTGAGCCTGCGACCGGCTTTGATGCTATGAGGCACAGCACCAGGGTGACGTCTACAAGTCATCTCCACGAGACCCACTTGGCTCCATGTTTAAAAGCGGATTAACCAGGCCTGGCAGCACATGCCTCTAATCCCAGCGCTCTGGAGGCTGAGGCAGAAGGATCTCTACAAGTTCAAGGCCAGCCTGAACTAGTAAGACACCCACCTCAAAAGAAAACAACAAAAAAGAAAATCCCTTGGCTCACAAATGTAGGTTCCTCCACCTCTGGACGTGGGCCCAGGACTCTGCATCTCCAGGTTAAGCTCAGAACTGGTTAGAACAACTGGGCCACATGTGTGAAGCCCCAGCTTCCAGCCCCGGCACCCCAAGAAAGGAAAAGAACAAGAAATAAACCAACCCGGAGCGCGCTGCGAACAGTCAGCTGTGCATGTGGGTTCCGCGGGTCCACGTGAAGCCCCGGTGTCCGCCGTGTCGAAAACACAGCTGCGGCGGGTCAGGAGCTGCCCACATGGTTTGATTTCTAACCAGGCCACTGCTGACCTCGCAGCTTCTTTCTTGCAGTTCTTCGTGCAGTCAGAAATCGGCGCTCAGAAAATATCCTTCACAGTACACAGAGATGCAAAGAAAGGCATCACCCAAGAAGAGGATTCTAGGCTGCGTGGGGCACAGAGGCCAGGCCACAACTGACCGCAGCTGTTCCCCTGAGGAGCGCTGCCCTGAGGCCTCGTGGTGTAAGTTCACCCCACACCCAAAGCCCGCAGAGCCTGGAGTGAGCAGACACATGGGAAGGTGTGAGCGCTGAGAGCCCCTTGACCACCAGTACAATGGTCATCACAGAAACCAGATAATAACAAGTGCTGGCAAGGCTGCGGGCAAAGGAACTGCACACTGTTGGTAGGGAGGTGAACTGTGCAACCACGATGGAAATCCGTATGGAGAATCCTCAAAAACCTGAAACCAGAACTTCCTTCAGAGCCAGCTATTCCCCTCCTAGGTGTCTTCCCCAAGTGTTAAAGATGTCACACTCAGAGAGCTAAATCTTGGAAGCAGACTGTAAATCCAGCAGCAGATGAATGCATAGAGGAAATATGGTGTTTACACTCCCTGGAGTATGACTCTGCCATAAAGAAGGACAAACCCGAGTCATTTGTAGGTCTCAAGGGATGCCCCTTGCCATCAAGTTAAGTAAAATAAATCAGATGCCCGAGCTTAAATATCACATGGTTTCTCTTCTATAGGAAACTGTAAAGTAAAAATAACTAAAGAGCAAAATAAAGCAGAGCCTATGGATAGGAGATAGATCCTTTGCAAAAGGAAAGGAGACCAACACATCCCAACCCTGTTCAAGTCTATTTTCTGTAGGTTTGATAAATCAGGTTAGTACCCTGCGGTTTCCAAAACAGCGTCATCAGCCAAGGTGACTGCAGTGAGCAGCCAGCTGCCATCCGAGGGGGCTGGGCTGAGCTTGACTGGAACAAACCATGCTTTGAAGAGACAGTGAGTGGAGACTGCGTGTTTCGCCTTCCTGTCCATCTGGCCATCGTGAGCACTGGGGCTCTGGGCGGAGAGACTGTGGGCTGATGCGTCAGCGTCCTCCGATGCCCAAGAAGCCCTGCCCCTCAGCGTGGGCCCAGAAGCTCCAGCAAGGCAGCAAAAGCGTGGTGCTTTGTGACCTCCCCCAGGGCAGGCTCTGTTGGAGAGTGGCTGTGAGCCTCGCTGGCCGCCCATCCCGACTCTCGGTTTCCTTAAGGCAGATTGTGGTCCCCGGCAGGCAGAACCCAGGGCTCCACTAAGTGTTTTCTGCACTCTCCATCAAATTCCCACCCGGTTTCAGGAGAAGAAGGGTGGGATGCGTGCCCTTCCTGCCCTTCCTGCCCTGGGGCATGTGCCCGGAAACCTCATGATTATCTCCAGTTGCCCATCTTTTACCGTGACAGCTTTTTTTCCTAGTCTTTTCTTGAGACATAACAACATTCCAGAAAGCACAAAAGCATGGCTGAATCTTACCCTTTGCAAGAGACAGGAGCGAGGCGTTGTTGCTTCTTGGTTTTCCTCAGGAATAAATGACGGTGGGTTTTCCTCACCGTAAGCAGCAGGGTGCTGGTAAGCCCGCTGCCTGGGAAGAAACACGAATTCTGATCTGTAGCATCTGTCAGGTCCATGGTGGAAACAGCTCTTCCGTGGCTGCTCTCAAAGCGGTCGATCATTTAACAACCAGATGACAAACATCCTAAATGTTTAACAGTCATCTCTCGACAGCTGGTACCAGCCAGGCTGAGCTCACCACTGTCACGGAAGAATTATTACCACTGCCCACGACATGTTGCTCATCCAGTATAGGTGGATAACGGGGCCAGGCGTCGCTCAAGCTCCAAAAGAAGAAGTCTAGCACGGTGGCGCATGCCTGTAACCTTAGCACTTGGGAGGCTGAGGCAGGGGGATCACCATGAGTTCGAGGCTAGCTTGGACTTCATAGTGAGTTCAAGACCACCTTGAACTAAAGAGCCAAAAAACAGAACAAAACTCCAATAGAAAAGACAGAGCAAAGGAAAGAATCCTTTAGATTAAGAATCTGGAGGACTCAGTAGCGGCCTGTGAGAACAGCTGTGGAGCGGTACCTCTGTGCCACCGTCTGGAATATTCTCTCCCCGTCTGGACATCACCTCCCAGCATGCCACCGCACGGAACCACGCGTGGCTCGCGCGTGAACAGGAAAGCTGTCGCACTGCCGAGGCTGGCACAGGGACCAACAGTTCCTCTCTCCTACTCCAAGGTGCAGACGGGCCCAGTGGGTCGTCACAAGGACACTGATTTCTGCGCCACCTGCAGGGAAACTCCCTAAAAGTGCCTGGGTCGCAGTGTTGGAGGAGATGGGACCCCGTCCACGTACCGCCTCTGTCTGTCCCCGTTATGTCATGCATAGGCCCTCACTGCCCCTTATGGGACCAAGAGGCCGAGGCTCAGAAATGACCGTGACTTCTGAGGTCCCCGCAGCAGAACAGGCCTCCGCCCAGGCCTCCTAACTCAAGCGCGCTTTGGGGTTTTTATTGCTATTGTTGCTGCTCTTTGGGGGTTGTGGGGGGATCTTGTTTGTTGGTTCTTTGTTGGTTCTTTTCTCTCGTTAGCATAATTTTAGAAGATGACACGTGGAAAGGTAAACTAGCTAAAGAAAGGACAGCGGTTCCCACCAGTGACCCCTGAGCTGGCCGGACCCCAGATACTGGGCTGGAGGTAGGCGGCTGCGCAGGGAGCCTCGCCGGGTCCTCTACACCTGTAGGACAGGGCTGGTGTGGGGAGCCAGCGTCCCCTAGCGGTGGGGAGGAGCTTCTGCAAGTGCAAGGGTGGCGTGCCCCTCCCCGCCAGCACGGCGAGCATTATGAATAGCAAATATGGACCCAAAAACCCCTTTTAAAGAAGCTGCTCTGTCTACGGCAGTGATGGCGAACCTTTGAGAGCTTTCAACAGTCACAGCTGGCACCCGTGCCATGGGCTCGCCACCGCCGGTCCACACGATAGCCAGCTTTGTTCTGTCTCAGTGGGGCACTTAGCTTAGGTTCTTTTCTACAAGAGGGTCTCATTTTATTTACTCTAAGGAAAGAGTTAATAATAACAGATGGCCTTTAAGGAGGCTAAGGCAGGATCGTTACAAGTTTGAGACCAGCCTGGGCTACAAAGTGAGCTCAAGGCCAGCCTGAACTGCATAGCGAGACCCTGTCTCAAAAAAAAAAAAAAAAAGAAAAAAAAGAAATGAAAGCAGCCTTTGTGTCTCACGAGTGGCAGGGCCTACGTGAACATGGCAAGTGTTGAAGGGTAGCTCAGGGGTCACTTGCTTAGCATGCGGGAAGCAACAGGTTCCAGCCCCAGCATCACCAAAAGGAGAAACAGTTCCTGGCAGATCTAATGATAAGGACAGAAAGAGAAGGGCCACACAGCAGCCCCGCCCGGCCCTGTGGCCAGCAGTGTCCTCACCACCTGTGGGTCCTCCAAACCAATTTAACTGCATCTTCTCATCTGCAAAATGGAGACAGAAATCAGCACGCAGGGGTCCAGCCCCGCTGTTCCTGGCCTCCTGCTTGGGAGTTCTGAAGAGCAAGCAGCAGTAGTCCAGCCAGCTGGGGTGGGTGGAAGGCTGTCAATGCCAGGCTGGTTTCCCTCATCCGAAAGGCTTAAGACCACCGGGCTCCGGGTTTCCAATTCTTTCGGACTGGGGAGTGTCCCTCCTCTGCAGCTGCGCCTGCATGGAGGAAGATAACACTACCCTGAGGGGCCGGGTCATTTTTCCCCGGGGGGTACTGAGGAGACTGTGTTGAGTCCCAGTGCTGAGGCTGTGCGGTGCCCACCTGTGCTTTGACTGGGAGCTGTTGCATGAGGTCAGGGTGAAATTTTCCATTAGTAACTAGCGAGGAAGTTTCAGATCTTGGAGGAGTGAGGAGTAAAGTGTGCTCTAGAGAAGTAGGAGCGGGAGAAGGGGAGCGTTCCAGGAGTCGGGGAGGAGGCCCTGCTGGTCCCCCACTGAGAGGGTGACACCCGGATGGTGCTGTCACATGGAAAACGAGGTGGCACCAGGAGATGTCACTAAGAGGAAGTAAATCCATGCCGTGAGAGACCTGGATTTCGGAGACCGTGGATGGAGTTGAAGGCTTCCTAGCCAGGGCCATGAGTGTTACCAACATGGTCAGAGGACCGAAAGCTCGGGTCCAGGGTATCACCGAAGGGCCCTGAATTACCAGCGACTTCTGTGCTGTATTCTCCACTCTGCCAAGCATGTCCATGGGGCCCAAACTCTGAGGTCCTCCGCGCTGCCCCTGGGGCCACCACCACTGTGCCTATGACTACACTGGATGATGGCAACCATGTGCCAATCAAAAGGGCCCTTTCCAAGTGACAGGGGGCCACCTCGGTCCCCAGAGGGTAGCTGCCTCGTCACTCAGCTGTGCCTTTGATCTGTTGGGGTCCCCCTGTGATCCCGAAGAGTGGAAGTCAGGGAACCTGGCTCCTGGCACCTGCCCTGTGACAAACAAGGTCTGGCCACCAACTTCAAGCATCATCAGGGCAGGCAAAACAAGCCATTAGCAAGCAGTGGTGACCATTATAGCCAGGGTCACTGTGCCCTGAACCGGGTACCAGCTTGACCTGTAACGACCACTGGCCACAGCAACATTTCCAAAAGCGGTATCTCTCACACACACACACCCTCAGCTGAGACCCGCAGGGTGTCTGCTCAATATCAGGATTCAGCGCCACCTAGTGGCTCCGTGTGGAACCACAGCCGAAGCAAAGCAGGAAGGGGCCCCTGAGCCTGCAAGGTGTGAAGAAGGCGTCCCCTCACCCGTGAGGACTCAGAAAATTAAGCCTGCTCATCTGGGGTGCTAGCTGGGTCCCCAAAGCAGCTGGACAGACCCAGGACCCTCCTACGATTCTTGTAATCCACTGCTTTTTTTGTTGTTGCAGTGCTGGGGCTTGAACCCAGTGCCTTTGCACCGACCTCCAGCCCTATTTGGCTTCTATGCTGAGACAGGATCTCCTTAAGCTGCTTAGGTGGGACTTGAACTTTCATCCTTCCTGCCTCAGCCTCGCAGAGTACTAGGATTACAGGGTGTGCCACCACCACCCCACTATCCCCCTGTGCGTTTGTTCGCAGTGCCCCCTTTCCCACACAGCTCCCCACAAACATGCGCTCAGCGCTCTTCCAGGAGCAAAGGACGCGCGGCTCCGGGGCTCACCCGCAACCCCAGTGTGAGGACGGCGCATGGGGACCCACGTGTCCGGCCAGGACATCAGCGTCCCCTGGCGGACCTCGGGCAGAGGCACCCCGGAGCCGGCCCGCTCTCACTCCTAACCACTGACAGAGAGCAAAGCGCCTTCCCACCTTCCTACGGACAGCAACAGCACGGAGATCCAGCTGGCAGGCCAGAAGGTTAGAAAAAGAGCCGGAGGGTGGGGAGACAGAAGACGAGCTGCCAGAGATTCCTAGGACAGCACCGACACCAGACAGAGGAGGAGCTCGGCAAGATTAGACACCCCTCCCAAATAAAGACCCAGCCAAAACGGCCAGGGAAATGTACTTCTCAGAGGTAGAGGTCACCACGATCATGCGACTGAAGGCTCCACGTTGTCGCAGGCCACGAGAAAAACGCAAATGAAAACAACACTGAGAAACTTTCAAGAAAGCACGGCCTCACAGCCGGGTGTGGTGGTGCACACCTGTAACCCCAGCACTCAGGAGGCTGAGGCAGGAGGACTGTTGTGAGTTCGCGATCAGCCTGGGCTACAAAGTGAGCCCAAGGCCAGCCTGAACCGCATAGCGAGACCCTGTCTCAAAAAGACCAAAGAAAGAAAAAACAAACCATCTGAAGTGAAGTTAGCAACAAAAGAAAAGAAAAAACAAACCAGACACTGCAGATCCCCGTGAGGCCATATGGCTGGCAGGATCTAGACTGGTTCAATCACTATGGCACTGTCTCAGGAAACTAAAACTACAAATTCCATTCAGCCTAGCTGTACCCTCCTACACATCTTCCCAAGAGTTAAAGACACTACAGTGAGCCATGTGCACCCATGGTCACAGCAGCACAACTCAAGAGAGCTGAATCTTGGGAGCAGCCTAGGTGTCCACCGACAGATAAAGGAATAAGGGAAACGTCTTCACACACCGCGGTGCACTACTCTGCCGTAAAGAAGGACGGGCTGGAGTCCTTTGTAGGAAAATGGAGGCTCCTGAGACCGTAAAGTTACGTGAAATAAATCAAGCTTAAATATAGCATGGTTTTGCTATTATGAAAAACTCAAAATAAAAAATAATAAGAGCAAAGTAAAAGGTAGAGAAGAGGAAGAAGGGAGGTATGGTAGATCTTTCTCAAAGGCGCAGACCATCAAGAGATGGAGGGAGGGAGGGAGGGAGGGAGGGAGAGGGAAAGAAGGCGGAGTGGAGATGCGGCGTGGACTGCGCCATCTGCAGGCGAGCAAGGGAGCTACCACGTACCGCACAGGCCGAGGACGCCTTCCACAGTTTAAAGTCGTTCCTGGTCATCCGCGCTCCCCTCCAGCCGAGGTCTTGGTTAACACTCCTTTTAACTCACCGGTTATGTGATTATCTTTAATTCGGGGTTGGTGACCGAGAGGCCGATGTCGCTGGGATGACTCGTCCCGAGGTCCACTGTCCTCCCGGTCGCCGTGGAAATCGCTGCTCCCGACGGCTCTGCCCACGCGAGGCACGCGCCCCACGCTGCGGAGGCCGCGCTGGGCGCCGTGAAATCCTGTTTCCGTTTTCGCCGAAGGCTTCCTGGACCGTGGCTCAGCTTGCTGCCTGCTTCCCTCTGGTTAACCCAGGTCGCTCAGAGCGGTCTGTCTACCCTCTACCCGGCTCTCAGGCACCCCCGCTGTCCTGCTTTCAACGACTGGAGTGCAGTCCTGTGGTCCTTGGCAAAGAAACCAAACCTGGGCAAAACACCTGGGCAGAAGCCACTCTGAGGAGTCCGTAAACTCCCATGGCTGGTTCCGCTGTGGTCCAGGGAACCCGTAGAAGAGACACTCGTCAAGAGGGCACTTAACATTTAAAACTAACCCTGGCCCACAAGACTAGTGTATGCTGGCAATTCCAGCCCTCTGGGAAGCTGGGGCAGGGTGTTCTCAAGCTGAAGTCAATTCTGGGCAGGTTGGCAACTTAGCAAGAACGTGTCTCAAAACAACAACAAAACTAAGACCTGCACACCACCAATTAAAATCCCATCAGAAGGCACTCAGTGAAAAAGCAGTATTTTTGATTTTTCCAGGATTCTCCACAGCCAGCTGGGTTTTGTCTGGTCTGTTCTCAGGACGACTTCAGGCACACCGTGGGCATCATTTTTACAAACTGCAGTTGTGCTAGACATACATTGTCCTTGTAAGTTGAGATTTATAGGTTTTTTAAAGCTTTTTATTGTGGTAAAATACACCTAGCCTGACGCTGACCACCCTTACGTTCTCAGGGACAGAGTTCAGTGGTCTTCAGCTCCCTCGGAGTAGCCAGAATCATGGCCATCCGGCTCCAGGCCCTTCCCTTCCCTTCATGCTGGGCTGCAATTCTGTCCCCTCCGCGCCCTTGTAGCAGTCCCCATCACCACCATTCTGCTTGTAGTCTCCACAGACGCCAGCACTCCAGCAGCCTCATACACCAGCAGTGTCGCCCGGTGCTCGGTTTCTCTCCCTCAGCGCAGCACCCTCCTGTCTGTCTGGTGGAGGCCCCTGTGCCAGTCCAGTCCAGGGGGCTGGGGGGGGGGGGTGGCGAGTCCTTCCTCTGTCCCGGAGCCTCTAGGGCCCCACCAGCACTGCCCCCATTGAAGGTTTTGGTGCTCGGCTTTCTGAAGACTATAGGAATATTACGATGCTATCACAGGTGTAGAGCTAAAACAGAGGCGACTTTACTGTACTTGCTGCAATTTCCAAACTTCGTTTGCTTCCTGTTTTGAAACATTGAACTCATTACATAGCCCAGGTTGACCCTGAACTCTCAGCAATCCTCCTGCCTCAGCCTCCTGACTGCTGGGATCACAGGCGTGCACCACCACGCCCAACTAATTCCGAGACTACTTTTACCAGCAGCTACCTATATGTCAGTATAGAAAGCCCAGAATAGGGGTTCTCAGAACCCTTGCTGAAAGAATGGAAAGACACTGGGTGTTTCCGGTACTTCCTGGAGACTGAGTCTCCATTTGTGAGGAAGTGACCAGGAGTGCAGGGGTCCCAAGGCCATGGTCAGTTTCCTATCAGGAAGTAAACCAACAGGGAGCCGACAGAGAGCCCAGAGGCCACGAAAAGCTGTTCCCGTGTAAGCAAAGGTGCTATGAGCTGGAGGGCGGCGTGCCACTGACCCTGCTGCACCCAGAAACAGCTTTCTGTGAAACTGTTACCCTAGAGCCTTGCTAACAACTGCAGATTACAGGGTGCAAATAATTTGCTGAAATCTCAGGTCTCCTTAAAAAGTCACTGATTAGCAAAATTGGGAACAAATAGCTTTCACTTCAGCTAGCCGCCAGAGTTTATCTAAACAAATTACCCGTCCCAAAGAATAGGTTCTAAAAACTGGAAGCTCGGCCACAGTAAGCTGAGTTATCTCGGGAGAGGACTCAGACAGAGCTTCGTATAATCTTAGCAGGGAGAGGTCTTCGTGCAGGGCCATGAATCACAGCACAGTTCAGAGGCTGTAAAGGGAAATATTGGGAAATTTGACTTCGCACACGGTGGAAAGCTTCTGTGTGTTGAGAATACCCTAAACACACTTAAAATGTCAACCACAAAATAACCACCAAATTAGGGTATGAAGCCACTCTTCAGCTGCTGAGAAAAATATTTGCAGTGTGAGTCGAACAAGGCTGATAGCTCTCTGTGCTCTGAAATCAACTTTCTCTGTAACGAACTCCTGGGGTGGCCAAGGGAAACTTGGGGGGCAAGGGCCATACCCCAGCCCCAGGGCCCTCCCAGCACAGCCCTTGTGAGGGTGGGAACTGGCCCTCCCCTCCCACCCTGGGGACCCTGCCTCAGTGGACCTTGAGGGGTCTGCATTTTTGCAAAGAGCAGGCTTTGAAAACTCTTCTTGGGGGGATTTATTGGCATTGTTCCCCCAATAGCTTGGGCCCCGGGCTTCTGTGTCTCTGTGTCGTCTCTAGGTAATTTTTCCAAAACTGTTAACTGTCCTATTATTGTTGTATCTGACAGTATGACCTGTGATTTGTGTGTATGGATGTGTGCTCATGTGTGCATGTATGAGAGCACGCCTGCTCATGTGTTACTGGGAGCCCACGGCCTTGGCACTGAGCCACATCCCCGGCCATCTTCATTCCTTTATCTTGTGCAAACCCACAGAGCACACAGTGCTGAAGGTGAGCCTGAGGTCGCCGGGTGCAGCCTGCTGGGCTTGTGCCTCATCACAAATGTACCTCGGAAGAGGCACCACCAGGGCAGCTGAGTCTCTGTCTTCCATTTGGTCTTGCTGTGCAAAGCAAACTGCAAGGATCCCCAAGCACGCTGCCCCGGTGGCCCTCGATGCCTGGTGGCTCGGACAGCTGTGTCCAGTGAGTCTGAGACCCCCCAGACCTGGGCTGTCCACCAGGTGGATGGAGGTTTCACGTCACTTTGAGGGTTACACTGATGTTTTAGTTGGTAAAGCAGCCACTAAAAGAATTAAAACTGATGGTGACTGGGAGGAGACCACTCACCGAGAGGACAAAGTAGCCCCACCGTGAACCAGCCAGTGGGAAGCAGAAGGGTACCCTCACCCCACCCATAAGCACCTGGCTGAGTCAGAGGGCAGGGCAGGCTGACAGCAACTGAGGGGAAGGACGAGCTGACCCCTAAGTTGTCTGACCAACTCTGCAGGCCTCGGTATCTCCCTGGAGGACAGCAATGTGCCCTGTGTCAGCTGTGGGCGATTCCCTCTGCCTTGTTTTGAAACGCAATGTTTTAGGCCGGGGATTTAGCTCAGGGGCATAAGCACCTGCCTGGCCAGTGTGAGGTGGTGAGTTGAATCCCCGGTACCAAAAAAGAAAAAAGCAATGTTTTGTTCCATTTTACTGTTTTGTTTTATTCCTGTCTCTGGTAACGTGAACAACTATTTTGAAGATACCAATATGCAATGTAACAACCACTGTTAAATTCCTATCATCTTGTTTTGAAAACTTGCATAACTGTTGTTGTTGCTGACATTTTGCTTTTGTCATTGCTTTAGAGTGTTTTAGAGTCAACGGTGTCCTTTGCATCTTGATTTTTTATTTCTTCTCTTTTAAAAAAAAAAAAAATGTGCAACCTGGAAGAAACTGTTCAAGGACAGGGCAAACTGTGAGGGGGGAAGGAACAAGCACACATGCACAGGACAGGTAAGGCGGCTACACTGCCAGCCTGTGTTGCATCAGGCCACAGCGATGTAAGCGCACCCAGGTTCACAGCAGGCCAATCTGCAATAGCTAAGCCAGGAAACAACCCAAACGCCCATCAACCGTGGAGTGAATAAAAAAGACGCAGCGTTTTTATAAAATGGGATATTACTCAGCTATAAAGAAGGATAATCTTGAGGCTTTATAGGTAAGTGGAGACCATACTCATAAGTGAAATAAATCAGGCTCACATTTGTAAATGTCGTATTGTCTCCCTACTGTAAAAAAAAAGCCAAACAGTAATGGGATCCAAAATGTACAGTAGATATTGTGATAATAAGAGGGAAAGTGCTGAAAAGGACAGAACAATTGGGATAGAGGAAAGGACACAAGGAAGAAGGGTGTGTGTGTATGTATATGGATGTATGCATACATATACAAGAGATCACTACACTACTAATCTCCGTTAGTTCATCCTAAAGAAGTTTCTGCTTTCACTGTTTGATTTTTGTGCCTAAATCTTGAAACCTGACTAAGATAACAATGTGCAATATGCTAATTAGTGTTGATTCCTACTATTTTTTTGAAATTCTGTATCGTTTCTATCCTTGTTTTGCTTTTTAAAATTAAAAAAGAATAAAAACTGATGGTGTCACTTACAAATCAGTGAATGAGGTAGGGAAACTTGAAGCAGCATAAAGAAAACTCAGCACATTCCCCAAAGAGACCAAAAACCAGAACACTGACAGCACAAAACAAGGTGGTGTCATTCAACCCAATATGACACACGTACCAGGGACGAGGGACTGCCTCAGTTAAAAGGTAGAGGTTTTCCTCTTCCAAAACCCCATGACAGGGACTTACCCCCGCATACCCATGAGCTTACCACCCAGACCCGGCAAAGCCAGGCCCCAGGAACTTTCTAGGGGGTCCCAGAGGCACCACCAGTTACTCACTCAGTCTCATCTCTCTTGGCTGCCCCAGGACCCGGGAGGGGGGAAGAGCCAAACACTGACCCCTTGGCCTTTCCAGGACCAGCCCACCCCAAGCTCCCCAGAAGCAGCCTCTCAGCAGGCAGGCTGCCTACATTACCCAGGAGACTGTGGGAAAGCTAGGAGCCCTGCGTCTCGGACCAGCATGAAGACCACGTACGTATTTCTTATGACTCCAGGATCTCCTAAAGCCTCCAAGCACCCAACCACAAAACGACCATTTTTACACGGTGGTAGCAGCTTCCAACAGCTGTGAATGGCTGCACACCCCTGTGACCTGACACCCAGGAAGCTGAGGAAAGAGGACTGCTCAAAGTTCCAGGCCAAGGTACGTTACACAGTGAGTTCATGGTCAGACTGGTCTGGGCAGCGAGACCCTGTCCCAAAACACAAGAGGGAAGGGGGCAGAGGAGAAAATAAACTGTATTAATCTTCGCAAGATTTTTCTCACTTGTTGCCTTATTTCTGGTTAATTTTTCCAATGGCTCAAGACAAGCATCTTTAAGAACTTTGTCATTTTAATCGTGTTTCCTGCAGAGCAAACTCTGGCGCCCTCCTGCCCCCACAGAAAACAGTGGGGTTCTCAGGTCTTGCATTGGGTGGATCAGGCAGTCTCTAGGGACACAGGAGCAATGGGAATGAGTCACTTTCACCTCCAATGGCTCAACGTGGCAGCTGCATGGGCAGCAGATGGCAGAGAGAGCACCCCTCAGGATGCCTGCAGGGCAGCTGGCAGAGGTCTCAGATACTTGCCTACTAGCTGGACAAACACCAGACACCCACATGAGAAGGACGAGTTTATTTTGGTTCACATTTTCAGTCTGTGGTCTGCTGTGTTCGGGACAGGGCAGCCTGGGTGGAGAGGTCTCTAGGGAAGTTGCTCACAGCATGGGGCCCAGGAAGCAGGGGGGGTGGGGGAGATAAAGCCCTCCAGGCCATGCCCACAGAGCCACTCCCTCCAACAGGCCCCACCTCCTAAGAGCAAATCAGCATGGAGCCCCATGTCCAGCTTCCTTCTACAAGTGCTGACCACCAGCACTGGGGGTTCCTGGGGGACCTCTGGGTAGAAGCCCTGACAGACCAAGAGGATCTGCTCTCAGATAACGAGACAGCCCTCCTGGTGTCTTCATGACTGCAGCTGCAAAGTGTCATGGGTCTGTCCCCATGCCTGTCTCTGTCTCTTGGCCAGCACGGGACAAGACGCCCGGCATGAGCTCCAGGAACCAAGGAGCAGGATTCACATCCACGAAGAAGAGTCTTCTGTTTCCTGGATCACTTAGCAGACTGGACAGTGAGCTCAGCCTGGAACCAGGCGCAAGACTCAGGAGCTGCACGGGCACCTTTGGGTCCCATGGAAAGGCAAGGACTGGGCGGCAGCTGAGGGGCAGCCTGCGAGGCCAGCTCACCGCCAGGATTTAGTTGCTGACCCCTCCCTGCAGCACAGTACTTGCCCCTTTCCAGATGGATGCGGGCAAAACACACCCAGGTGTGAAGATGTAGGAGGGGAGGGAGAGTATGCTTATAGTTTTTGTCCCTTTTCCAAATTAGCAAAAGTGACATTCTGGGCTTTTAAAGTTACTGCTTCCTGGCAGGGCACAGTGGAACACACCTGTAATCCCAGCACTAGGGAGGCAGAGGCAGGAGGATCCCTGCAAGTTTGAGGCCAGATGAGCTACATTGTGAGTCAAGGCCAGCCTGGGCTACATGGTAAGACCCTGTCTCAAAAACCAAAGCAATAAAAAAAAAAAAAAAAAAATCAAAATGATTCAGCGGTGCTGGTGTTTCGGACAATTGTAAGTGGATGTCCTGTGCTCTGGGTCAGTGATTTGGGGATGACAATGTGCAACCCACGTCCCATTGTTGCCCCTGACTGATATGTTTTAAAATTTTGTTTTAGTTTTCTTACTCCTCATCCTCATCCTCCTCTTTTACTTCTTTGAAATAAAACAGATTTAAAAAAAAAAAAAAGATTCAACTCACATCTGCCCTTTTTCCCTTCCCTTGGGGCCTGTGAGGACTGGCCCTGCCCCAGAGTTCACCAAAACTAAAACCCAGTTTGCAGAGAACGCTGAGCAGAGGCTTCTGTCTGTGGTCTTAAAGGAGTTTCTTTAAGTGATGCCAGAGAGTCCTTGAGTTAAACGGGTCACAGAGAGCAGTGGCAACACTTCATACACCGCATACTGCAAACACAGGTTGGAGAAGGAGCCCAGAGCCTCTGAAGCCCATCACTAAATCCAGGGGTTGCTCCCTAGCGCGTCCTACCCTGCCGGTGGCTTCCAACACTGGGCTATGTAAGAAACCAAGTTCATTCAACCCCTGCCAACTGCCACCAAGGAGAAGGAGGGAAACGGGCGAGTTGTGAAATACATGTAATTACTCAGCAACGAAAGCGGGAGAGCAGAGAGACATTTCTCAGCCCCACAGAATTCTGCTTCACCCCTGCAGGTCCAGGTAGTGTGGAGGCGGGGTGGGTACTGCAGGTCCCACCTCAAGTCACACTCCTAATGCCAACACTGAAGGGACAGAGCTGGTGATAGGCCATGGCCAAGCTTTCGAGGAGGCAACCTGTTAGTACTAGACACAGGTCACACAAACGTCTTCCTTTTCAACGGGCCTGGTTCCGCAGCCCAGTGGCTTTGAACCGTCTACACAGACCCATGATGGTGAACCTTTCAGCAACTTCAATGACACAAACAGTCCAGCCTGGCACACGTGCCACAGGTCCGCCACCACCGATGCAGACCGTCAGTCTCAGAGCCACAGCGATCCCCGCCTCAACCTCACAAGGCTGGGACTACAGGTGCACACCACCACGCGCAGCTACGCAAGGGGCTTGCTTCATTTTGGGCTTACGGTACCTTCTGTTACCCTGTCATTAAACTTTATTCACAGAAGACTATATAGGTTTTGTAAAATACCAGAAACCTCACCTATTTGGAAGCTTCCAGAGATCGAATGCCACTTTGGCATCAAACTGACTACTCCACTGTGGACATCCTGGTGATGTCCGCAGCTTTCCATAAATTTAACTATGTTAACTGAAAAGTTCCAAATAAAGCAACACTCCCACCTAGTGGATAAAAGACAAACGTCCAGTTCGTTTTAGCTGTAAGCAGTCTCGGCCACAAGGGCATGGACACCACTTTTCAGTTTATTGTTTCACTGCCCTCCACACGGCCCCCCAGAGCCACCTGCAGAGCGGGGCGATGCGGCCAACATGGAGGACGGCCCTGCAGCTCACGTGTAAATGTTACTCTGCACCTCGTTCAACGTCATCAGCCTCTTCAGAATCTCTGTGCTCTGGGGAATGTTCTGGAAGGAGAGGAAAGGCTGTCAGGACATCAGTCAGAGGCAGTGCACGTGCTCAGCCCAGGTGACAGTGGCACCGAGCAGCCACAGCTATCACTCACACATCTCCCTCCGGTTTGTCACCCCGAGGAACTGGCTGCAGGGCCACACTGCCAGGCGTCTCTCAGTGGGGACCTCTTGCCCAGCCACCGGCCCACAGCGGCCCACATGGATCACGGACACTCACACAGCAAGGGCTCAGGACAGCTAACACCTGTCCCGCGTGTGACAAGGACAGGAGCAAACACCAACTCTGGCTGGGTCTGGACTGGAAATGCAGTGCTCGCCAGGGGATCCCGCTGTGTCCCCACAGCGCTGTCTCCCAGCAGGAGGGGGAGGGCAGGTGACTTGCAGAGCTGCCCACATCAGGTGCCGAGGGCAGATGGCACTCAGACACCAACGAGCTCACTCTGCTGCCTGCCAGGTGAACAGGGGTGAACAGGATGGTGACGCTCAATGCACAGGGCCACAGCCTGAGTGAGCAGAATGGCAGACACCAGGATGCCATGCCTGGTGTGTGTGTCTGTGTGTGTGTGTGTGTATGTGTGTGTGTGTGCGCGTGCACGCGCTCACTCTACCACTAAACCACATCCCTGTCCCCACAGACTCTGGAGAAAGCAGGGAGCCCCTAACCCCTGAAAGCGCAGGCAAACATGCACATGTTCTGATGAAAGTGCCTTTGCAGCAGAGCCCACGGATCAGGGCAGGGCCGTGGGCCGCCTCAAAGCACTCAGCTCTGCACCCTGGGTCTCCTCCAGACCAGGCAAGTACTCGGGCACCCAGCACAGCCACACCCAGGACACCCTCTCCAATGTCATCACCATCTCCGACTGAATGTGCTCCAGAAGCTCCGTGAGCAGCGAACTACCTGTCCACAGGGGGTGGGATGGGGCTGAGAGGGGCGGCGCGTCCAGTGGCCCGAGCTCACCTTGGCCAGTCCCTTCAGGCTCCTGGAGGCAAGCACAGGCTGGAAGGCCGCGGCCGTCAGGAGGTCCAGCTTCATCACGTCAGTGTAGCACAGGTACAGGACCGCAGGCAGCCGCCACACCTGGCAGTGGCTCAGCACTAGGAAGATACCAGTGACACCACCGTTCAGTCCCACGGCACTACAAGGGGAGTGGTTGCTCTGGACAATCAGCTCGGGGGCCTCTGAGCGGCACCTGAACCAATTCTTCAAAATTAACTTGTCTTCCTGATAACCTTTACTTCTGCAAATGTCTCTGTTCCTGAGCCTACACCTGAGACAATCAGACATAGCTGCAAGGTAACTGTCACTGACTATAATAAACAATTACATGGCTCAGGGTGCTGTGTGTCACTGCTCGGTCGGTCCACCAAGGGAACAGGAGCAGTCAAGACTCTCCACTTTACCACCACCTGTCGGCACACCACCGGTGATCCGGGACGCTGTGTCTAGGCGTCCCCCTGCCCGACGTGGGCCCTGGGTGGGGCATCCCCAGAGGCAGTGGACCAAGAGTGTGTGGGCCACCAGGATGAAGGGTGCGAGTGCCACCTACCCTAGGGGTAAACAGGCAGTGTCAGGGCCCCTCGCTGGCTTGTTACCTACCTCCCACAACCCACAGGCCACTCTGTTCTTCGACACCTGCCTGCCACCTCCCTGGCCTTGGAGCCCTATGCCTATGGGCATAGTAAGCCCTATGCCTTATAACAGTGGGCTCCTTCTTTCCTCCTTCGACTCTGGGTGCCAGGTGTTTTGTTTCGGCAATGAGAAAAGAAACTACGACAGAATTACATAGTTGTTCTACATAACCTGTCATGAAATACACTCCACTGAAGAGCAAACACCATCTGTTTCTGACCTAGAGCAGGACATAATCCGTGATGGTAAAGAATACATTACAGCAACCAACACAGAAGCACTGGGAGGCTCCACCTGCGGGCTTCCCAAGTGAGAGGGAAGCCGCTCCAGCAGCTCCTCACCACGCCAGCCAGGTGCCAGCCCTGCTCCGCGAGGGCGGCAATCCTGCCTCCATGACATCTAAGAACGAGGACCAGAGTGCGGCACTGGGCCCGCGGCTCGGAGGCCATCAGTGACCTGTGCCGTAGCCATCCCTGACAGACCACCAGGCGGGGTCTCCGTGATGACCCTGAGCACCACACACCCCCACCTTGCCCACCTGCCGCGGGAAGGTCATGTACAATATTTGGCTGTTCCAGCAGGGAGCAGCACACAGGGTCTCTGAAGTTCTGTGTTTTCAGGGCTTTCAGGAAAGGAGAAGGCAGGCTGCCAGTAGACTCGGAGGTTTTATAGTCGGTGACATGTCGGCACGTGAGAACAGTCACCTGCATGTTCTTCCTTGGACAGGAGCCGAAAACCTAACACAAAATTAATCTCGAATCAAATAAACAAACAAACAAACAAAAACAAAAAGCATTAAAAAACAAAAACAAAACCCAGTGTAATCCCAGCATGCATAAGGCTGAGGCAGGAAGGTCTCAAATCTCAAGTGCTAGGTCAGCCTGAGCTCCATACCCAGTATGACGCTATCCTGGGCTACGTAGTGAGGCTGTGTCTTCAAAAAAGGGCAGTACCCCCAAGTGCAGCAGAGGCCATCATGCATCGGCCTGACGAGGGGCCACCACCCACAGGTCACCAGTCACAAGTATCCAAGGTTCACTCCCTCATCCATCCCCAGGACAGTGCAAGACTCCGGACGAACGCACTGGGAGCTCCACTGTGGGCAGGCTTCCTCGGCTCAGCCCTCAGGCTCCTCACCCACAATCTGACTGCCCCCCAAGGCTCCCTCTGCCTCTTAATAAAATCTCGGTAATTTAAACAAAGAAGACAGTTATTTTCTTTTTAAAGAAAAAGAGCTTAGGTTCCTGCAATTGTCCTAAAATATTTTATGAAGATGGTTACTTTCAATAATAAGAGTTCAAGATTTTATAGTAAGTGCCATAAATGATCTTCTGACTTAACTTCTCTAGGTCACAGCTTTGTAAACAGAGAAAAGACAACACTAGCCAAGTCTGCTCCTGTGTACAGCCCATTTAAGAGAGACAGTATTATTCGCAGGCTAATTTACCATCCTCCCTAGAATAATACAGTACTCGAGAACTGTCAGGCTCTGGGTAACTGTCAGGATTATCTAGATCACAGGACCAAAAGCGGGACCCTAACACATCCCTAGGGGGAAAATACTGATTAAAATACATGGCGCTAAAAATGCAAACTTTTGTATTTTTTCCAATCTAAAATGTGTTGACTTGTTCCACAACACAGAAATAAAAGTACTGACATCCACCTGCCAGAGTTTTTTTTTGGTCTTTTTCCTTTTTATCGGTACCAGGGAGCGAACTCACGACTGCACACTTGCAAGGCAGGCACTTATGCCGCTGAGCTCCCCAGCTCCCCACCTACAAGATTTAAAAATAGAAACTTAAATAGCAGTTTCTTACCCTTGTCAGATCTGACCATCTCTCTCGGGAAACACATACACATCCACTGAGGGTTCACAGGGAACGAAGAGGGTTCACAGATCCATTTAAACAACTTTCCACTTAATAAAATGCAAGCACTACCTTTTAGTAAATATTTCAGTGTGCTGACTGGCTTAAAATAGGTATTATGCCAAATGTCTTGCTTCCAATCCATCCAGCTCTCACGTCTACGCCAACAGACTCCAGAGATTTAAACCGAGCAAAGACCAGGCAGGCCTCCAGCGCCCACGTCACCTAGACACGGGGGCTCACAGAAATGATCAAGGGCGAGGAGAGGCTCCACCAAACAGAGGCATGATTCTGTGTCCCTTACAAATAGAAATCAGGGCTGGGATGTACCTCAGTGGTAGAGCACTCATCCAGCACGTCTGAGGTCTCAGGTTCAATTCCCAGCCTATAAAAATAAAAGCTTGGGAGAGACAGACACAAAGAGGGCAAATATGGGAGCGAACATTTCTAATCCAAAGAGCCGAACTTCGCAGTGTTCCAAAAAGGGCAATTTTCATGCACCGACATAACACAAGTGGTGAATTTCACACCATGGACCTCAGTTCATGCACGAAATCAGCACATGTTTTACCTGTAACCTTGAAACTGAGTACATGAGGTGTATGTAACCACAGCACTCTGGATGTGGCCCTGGAGCTCACCCCGAAGCATCATTACTTAGGTGCAAACCAAGCTCAACTCTCAAACCCTTCTGGTCCCAACACCACAGCCAAAATCCCAGTGTTTCTCTCCTACTCCCCCGAGTCCAACCCTCCACTCCCAAGTGTTTTGCTGGGCACACGCTATGGGTCCCGCCTGCCCACCGAAGAACTAGCTGACATAAGAGGAACAGAAGCCACAGCCTGAGGCCAGGAGAATGGAGGCCGGGGCTCAGGTGCTGCTCTGCGTGCCAGCCTCTCCTTGGTCATCACTGCTAGTTTTCACCCTGGGCTGCGACACTGATTCTTTACATGACTTTGCTTTTCTTTCAACAAGGTGAAAGGAAAGAATCTTTGTCTTATTTTTTTAATGTTTGGAGGGGTTTTTTTGACAGGCTCTTGGCCTCAAACTTGCAGCTAGCCTCCTGCTTCAGCCTCCTGAACGCAAGGATCACAGGCATAAGCACCTCATCTGGCTTTATTTTTTATTTCTAGGACTACAACTCTTAGCACAACATAGACTGCATCTGTTAGGTAGGCCACGTTAAATGAATGAATGATTTTCTTTCCTGTACTCTATACCAACTACAGTATTTTAAAGAACACTTCAAACTCTTTTACTGCTTATTTTTATTAGGACACATTATGCAGAATATTGAGTCTGTGACATTTGCAGTCATATATCCAACTTTGATTACATTCTCATTCCACCCAAGCCCTCTGTCTAATGAATGGTCTCCCTTCTACGTCCATACAGTTCTCCCCCGCACCTGAGTCCATGCAGGATACTAAACATGTGCCACCTGCTTTTTTGTTTTTGCCTTTTTGAGATGAGGTCTCATTATGCAGTTCAGGCTGGCCTTGAGCTCACTTTGTAGCCCAGGCTGGTCTCAAACTCGCAATGATCCTCTTGCCTCATCCTCCCAAATGCTGGATTACAGGTTGACATGTGACACTTGTAAGTCTGGCACATTCTGCTTCACATTCTGACCTCCACTTGGGTCCATTTTCCTGCAAATGACAGGACTTCACCCTCCTTTCTGGCGCGTGGACATACTTCGGTCACTAGTGGCACCTGGCCAACCCTACAGTGTGGCATCTACACAGGCCACAATTAACGGGGCAGAGGCCAGGCATCACCACCCCACCAGGGACACGTGCAGTGCCACAGCTGAACACACAGGCGTCGCGCTCAGTTCTGAGGAAACACCCGCCCGTGTCCACAGTGGCCGGACTGCCCTAATTCCTCCCCCGGGCTGTGGACAAGGTCTTTCCTGCTCCTGCACCCTCACCAGCATTTCCTGCTTTGTGCTTTTGCTTTTTGTACTCTTGGTGACAGCTGCTCTGCCCTCAGTGCAGTCTCATTACCCCCAATATCCATCCGCACGGGGCTAAGTGAGAGACACGCAGCCCTCTGAACCCCGCAACTGCTGCCCCTGCCCAGCCTCCCTTACCTTGTCCAGCCATTGATACTGCTGGTCCTCGGCGACATAGCAACTGCACTGACAGAGGATGACCTGCAAACGCAAGGTTCAAGACTTTGGCCAAGTCAAATTTTATACACTGTCAAGCTGCTACTGCCTCGACCTTGTGACCCCTAAGCTACCCTGCTGGGGGCAGGGGGTACGGTGACACAGTGGTCAGAGCTCACACCACCTTCCAAACCCTCTTTTCAGCCTGGCGACAGCAGTAGAAGATGAAGCCATTCAATAGGCAGCCTTAGGGTCACCAGAGATGAACCCTGGGAGGGGACAGTGGGACCCTGGCCCCTAATCTCTCAATTCCTGGCCAAGTGGCACATGGCTCTGCTACGCCCTTTGCTAGCCCCACACCCTACAGCAGTCTCCCCATTAGGGACCTCAAAACCATGAGCCAAGGTGAGCCCTGTTTCTCTGTAAGTGGGCTGCTTCGCGTGCTTGTTACAGAGGTCAGCACAAACACTAATACTTCCCTGACTCCACTGTCACCATCTGCTTGTGAATTTCCCAATTAACCCATTTAGAACAGATGCTGAGAAAGCACCTGAGACCCAGTGCCTGAGAGCTGGGGCTATACCACCAGCAAACAGGCTACCAATGCCACCGTGTGGTGACCAGCCTCGAGGCAGACGGATCAGGTCGACATACCGAAGGGGTGGATTTGAGATGGTAAAACACACAGTGAGCCTCCGAGGGGGACATGTGCAGAGTGTCTGTGGTTCTGCACCACTCATTCCAGAGTTTAGCACAACCGACTTCCTCCCAGACTCCTGAGTTCATAACAAAGGCTGACAAAAATGCTGCAGAAAAAAGTAATTCGTGGAACTTAGTGCTTGGGTTGGCAAATTATATATTCTGTTCAATAAAAGGTAAGCTCGGGGCTGGGGAATAGCTCAGCAGCGTAAGTGCCTGCCTGGCATGTGCAAGGTCCTGAGTTTGGTTCCTGATACCAAAAAAAAAAAAAAAAAAGTAAGCTCAAGTCAGCCAGGAATTTCCGGGCTGAACCAGCCATTCAAGACCACCAAAGGCCGCCGCTCTGCAGGAAAGGTAAGGAGGCCTGTGGGCAGGCATCAGTATTCTCTCACAGCCTAACAGCATGCTTCCAAAAAGGCCCGGAAGACTTTACAAGACTGAGGCAACAGCTAATTCCACAGGTTTCCTAAGTTCTGCAGGGACAACAGTATCTTACAAGCAGGGTTCCCAAAGCTCTCCTGGACAAAATTATAAAGCAAGTGGACCCCACTCTAGCGAAGCCCTATACTGTCTACCAAATGAACTAACAGACAATGAACTGAAGTGCTCAAAAATATCAGTGATTATTTACAGAATTCTCATTACGCTCTTCTTAAAGGGACCTGTCATTCAGACCCAGATAATTGAACATACTAGCAACAGTACCTTGAGCAGCAAGTTCCTGAGGCCAAGAATAGTTCTTCTAAAATCTTATTCCAGTTTAATAAAAAGCTGGTACACATGAACAGGCACTGTATTTACTCAGAAACAAGACAGTCCACCTGGACTTTCAGCAACATTTGAGATCTTACAAGACAAGAAGAAACCGGTAACTTCAATGTCTGACCCTCCACATTTTCACTTACCTACTGCATTATTTCCTACAGCAATTATAAACTGGGAGCAGGGATACTTTTCCAGCAGAGAAACTTCCAGAGTTGTTTTTGTCTGTCTTCGAAGAAGGCGCACCTCCCTAGCACAAGAAACAAGATGAACCTAAAACAACTGCACTACAATGAATACGTTTCTTAATTACAATCCTAAAGAAGATTCGAGTATTGACAATCAACAGATAAAACCACTACTGCATATAAACTGCGTGTTGAAAACACCACTTTCAAGTTTTCCTGCTCACAGAATATTGAATGAGAATCTGCCCGGGCCTCCAGCATGAAGGCGCAGGGAAACACAAGTGATAACTACTTGCTGTTAAACGACTCCAGGAGGCCAAACTCAAGCAAATGCAGATCCCCTGGGAGGAGGAAAGAAGGGGGAGCCCTGCGGTAATCCCAGCACCCTGGGAGGCTGAGGCGGAGGGCAGAGGTAAATTCTAGCCCAACCTGGTAACCTTGCAACTTAGGAGAAGCTGTCTCAAAAAAAAAAAAAAAAAAAAAAGTGCTTGCTAAGGGTGCAGGTCAGTGCAAAGGTGCTGGCTTTAACCCCTGTAACTAACTCACACAAAGGGAAGGGCTGAGAAATGCTATCCATGAAACAAGCCCCCAGTGTGCGAGGTATGGGCCTTGTTAGAACTCTGAGCTACACAAATCCCTGCGAAGTCTCACGTTTGAGAAAACTTGGTAACTGCGCCCACGGGACACGGATGTTACCGGGAAATCACCGCTAACGGCATAGGTAAGGAAATGCCCCTTTCCAGATGCATCCTGAGAAATGTCGAGGTGAACGGCAATGACAAGGAGAAAATCTCAGCCTGAACTCACAGGCCTGGGTGCAAGTGCGGGTCACGTCGCGGTCCTCCCGCTTTCACTTTCACATGACTGGAAACAAGGACCGAGTGGCCCCGCCCTCCGGCACACGCCGCTACCTGACGGACGGGATGGGGAAAAGCGTTTTTAAGGGGATCCACGGGTGCGAGACTGTGTCCGGAGACCACGGGGCAGACCCACCACGCACGCGGAGCAGGGCGTGGCTCTGCAGCTCCGGAGCACCGGGTGGGGAGGTCGCCGGCGGCCGGGAGCCAGAGGGCTTCGCTGAGCACGCGCGGCCCGCCCGCTTCGCGCCGCACCGCCCACCGCGCCTCGCTCACCTCTTCTGCGCCAGCTGCTGCCGCAACACACGATCCTCGGGCGTCTCTCGCCTCGCCTCCTCCTCTTCTTCCTCCTCGTCCTCGGCGCCCGTCCGGCATGGCGCTTTCACCACCTCTCCGAAGAACGTGGCGGCCATGACATCGGCGGGACCAGGGGGCCCAACCGCGGGCCAAGGGCTGGCGCGTGCACCGCTACGCACAGCCACGCCCCTCCCGTTCTCGCGCTGTCTCCGCACCACCCAGAGCCCCGCCCCCGGCCGTGGCCACGCCCCCGACCCCGGGCACCACCATTTCCTTTCCGCAGCCCAGATTCGCACAGGGAGACCGAGACATTGGAGGACGGCGGGCTAGAGAGGCAGGAAGCGAGGCGGAGCGTGGTACGTCCCGGGTGCCTAGTCCGGAACTGAGCTTGGGGGCCCCGCCCCAGTTTGTTGAACTCCGTAATGAACACATCCTGCGGGTCTCCTCCCTTCGTCCCCCAGTGTGGGTGACCAGGCTGAGCTTTGGCTGTGCTAAATTCCTGTTGTACACCTGGCTGCCGCAGGCACCGCTGCAGGCGGACAGGCAGAAAGAAATAGTGCTTCGTGGTGTAGTAAAAAACGAGACCTTTACTCCGATACAGGAACTCACATTTCAAAACCTGATGATAGTCAAGTTGACCTAAAAAACATTTCCATGAGAATGCAAAAATAATTTTTTAAACTGGTCATTTATAATAATACAAACTGGTTTAAAGAGCTTTTCATTAATAAAGTATATGATTATAATTTCGAATTGCTTCTGTTACCACGTGCTGGAAGCCAAAGTCTACAGAGCACTGTTACAAGCGAACAAGACGAATGGGGACAACTGTTAACTGAAAATGACACTGATACTGCAATGAGAAACACCGTATTCTAGATTTAGTTGTGCTGAAATAAATGGCATTGCTGGCATTTTACAGTGGTTTTTTTCAGTACTCATGAAGGAAAGTATTACTTTGGGGCACAGGGAGCCTTGAAATTTAAAACAAAAACTCAAAAATCGCTGAAAATGTCTTCAGATGTAGAAAAGTAACCACCAACAAAGTTATTTACATGTAATTCATATTTAGCAATTTTACATATTGTTTAAATGAACATAATAGGAATAAACATTAAAACCAAACCACGAGCAAGAGTTTAGGAAACTAGGTTTTCATTAGTGAGAGAATATACAAGGCTACCAGTATATTTTAAAACACAGGACTCCTGGTTAAGCGTTCTAATAGAATGAGTTACAGAGTAGGAAGTTATTTGGGCATCATTTTTAGTCCTTTTGTTAAATAATTTATCATTTGACCACTAAAATACTCGGTTTGATTTCTCGATTACATTACAAAAAAATCTTTCCTGGAACTCTAACTACAATTATTATAGAGTAGTAGTAATACATTTGGCAATGATTTAAATTCTCCATACAGTTCATAGAGAACAATTTTGCAAGAATGTGAATTTTTGAACAAATGCTTATTTCATGCAATTACAAAAAAAAAAAATAGGCTAAGCACTTTAAAAATGAAAAATATGTTCAAATTAAATACGAAGCCAGACAAGGGATTCCATTATGAAAGATTGTCCATACAATCTTGGATACTGACAGGAATTAATCCTAGCACAGTAAATTATAAATTGAAAGCTTAAATTCATTGCAAATTGTCAAAGTTTTGTATAAAATTTTGCATTTCACTCAGACTTGTTTTTAGTTGTATTTCTTGAGGACATAATATACCCAGTAAAAAATTTTTATGAAATGAAAATTGGAGACTGAAAATTAAGTTTATGCATTTCATTAAAGCTCCAAAATCAAACCCCATGCACCTATAGTCAACAGTAGTTTATTAGGATTTCTCACCTAGTCTACCAAGACAATGGAGATCAGAATTTCAAATTAAAGTACACTACAAAAAAGAAATGTACACGCATTGTAGTTTAGGATATTTTGGCTTAAACTTTTTTTTAAAAAAAGCTTTTGTAAACAAGCATGCAGCCACAAATATTTCAAGTAATCAAAGACACGTGGTCCATCTGTATAACCAAAAAATATGCATTAGTCTTTATGAAAAAGAAATAGAAACCTCTGGGTTTCTACATTTTACTTTTTCATACTTACACATGCAAATCATGTATTAGTAGTCACAGATTTAACAATTTATTTTTCCAATAGCATCTTACTATGTTAAAAAGTACTGGCAGTACATTCAATCTGGTGATCTTAATCTCAACAAATACCTATTAACAAATCAAACACCATTGCAAATAAATTCTCTGTAGTACAATGACCAAATTTTCTAATCCTAGCAAAGGCCACAATGAAATAGACCAGACATGCTGTCATTAAAGTTTGATAAGATTATAATAAACTTGCTCAGTGTTTAAATTCTAACTTTTAAGGTGCTTTAGAAAAACATAAAAATTTCATATCTAAAAATATGACAAATTTGATCTTAAACTATACTTTTCTTACCAAAACTAAGCCTGCTTAATTTTTGCTGCTACGTGAAGTGATAGTCACATTCATCGCGTTCATAGAAAAATATATATTCCCTGAATTAGTCATACCGAGTGATCGTTCAGTATAAATTCCAATGTTATAAACGAAATAAGACATTAATGGATTTTCTCCAACTGCCTGTTTCTAACACTGTGTATCAGAACTAACATTTCCGGCATCAAATCCCCTGGTCCTTTGGGCTTTGACCTTTAGGAATGTGAATTATAAGGACAAAAGGTTCTGTTCCACCCCAAAGTCATTGGCACTTCCTGGGGAAATGTGCCCCACTTTTTCTTTCCCATTTCTGTATTGCCATGATAGTCAAGATGGTCTGAATTTTTATGTTCTAAAGGAGAACCCTTAAAATTAGCCTCAGGTTGAGCTTTTGAAATTTCTACGTCCTTGAAGTTTTTCTGCAAATCCTGTCCACTTCCCATTTTCTTCCTCTACCAAATCAAGGTAATTCTTCCAGGCTTTTGCTTTCTGGAAGGGATAGCAGTCTTACCACAGGCCCTGGCTTGTCCTCTCCCCTCACTACCGGCTCCATCCACAGCCTGGCCCTCTCCTCAGCCTCCAGGCTCAGCGCCTACCTCCTTACTGCCGGTCTGCACAAGGACCCTCGGGAAGGCAGCCTTGACCACTGGAGTATGGCTTTTAGAAGGTTCCTCACGGGAGGAAACAAGGGGATTCACGTCAGGGTGAGAAGCAGAAGCAGCTGCCACTCTACTGGAGGCCCTGCTCGCTTCTGGACACCATTTCTACATTCTCAGTCACTAATGCGCTTTTTCCTTCCAGGGTCTGAACCACCTTAGAAAAAGCATTTTGCTACTAACATCTTCTAGCTCTTTTTCACTTTCAGAATTTATGGTTGTATCATCCTCTTTATAAACATTCAGTAATTTTTTCTTAGCTGCAGCAGACGCGTTTCGATGGGGCAGTTCTCTGCTGCTCTTCCTAATCCAGACACTTTCTGGTCCTGAGATCATCTGTTTTGGGGTACTCATCATCTTTATTTTATTTGCAGCGACAGCAGCGCATCTGCGGGGAATTTTCTCAGGCACCACTTTTGCTCTCAGAGTTTCACTAGGCATCTGCACTGCTTCCTTCTGATTATGCATACATGTTCTCATTTTTGTATTGTCTCTGTCTCTAGGAACAGATTCTGAAAAATGAGTGAAAGTTCAAGTGAATGCAAAAAAATCTTGTAACACAAGATTTTACCACTTAACATTTTTTCACAATGCATTCCTAAATAGGCAGGAATTTTAAAACTCCCACTGCCTAAGCACTTGGATACTAGTACAACCTTACGTTTTTTAAACCTAAGTCCAAGAGGGTAACTGTCACTTCACAGGGCACCTGACTTGCAACAATGAAGTTAGATATACCTTCAGCATCATAAAGCCACTCACTCAAAAATATTCAGTGTCTGGATTTTGAAAACAAAACCATGTTTTAAACTTTTGGCATCATGTGTACTCCTCCACTTCAGTACTACAAAGTATTTGGTACAGGTTCCGAAACAAACTTCCCTGGAGCCTAAGCAAGGAGAAAAGCTGCAGACTGCATACTCACACAGTGACAGCTCTCACTTCAGGAGGACCCTGCAGGCTGGCTTATTTCCTTTGCCCAAGAAACTGTCAAATTGCTAATGGGCAGACAAAAAGAAAACACATCCTGATTGGATGTACCTGAAACACCACTTTACTAACTCTAGTTCTTTTTCTTTTTCAAATAATGGAACATGTAACAACTAGACTGATTAAATCTTAAGTCAGTCAACTGTTTTCTGAGTTAGGCATGTGCCAGACACACATCAAGACAATGACCCTAAAAACCGTGACACCCATACCCCTTCAGTTTCTGTAAGAAACTTCCCAGCACACGGTGCTGGGAACCTAACCCAGTCTAAGGGACCAAAGACTTCCCTTGAGGAAAGGACAGTTTAGCCAGACTTTGTGAGGGATTCATGGGCCCAAAGGTACAGCAGAAAGCTGCCACTTGTGAGGTCCTCCGGGACCAGAGGCAACTTCCCAGCCGCCCCCGGAGAGCAGGTGTGCCTGGGCCACACTTCTGCCATCCCGAGTTCCCGAGCTGGGTAGGGCTCACATTTTCGTGTTTGCCAATATGTAGCTCAAAGCCAGACTTCTCAAACACAGCCCAGTACTTTGCTCAAGCAGAGGCGGCATTTCTTTGCTGTATGTGACATGGCTTAGACCCTGAATGTGAGACTCTACTCCCTGGTGAGCTAGTCCAGACTCTGAGCAGGCAACAAGGACAGCTAAACAATACTCAAATAACACACCTCATTCTATTGCACCCACACTAGACTTCTGGAGGACACAGCAGACTTCTCTTCACTACTCAATACTAGAGAACAAAGGCCTTTGCTCAGATACTATCGAGTAACAGTGTTAATTGGTAGATGCAAAACTTCTAACCTTCTTAGTTTCTCCTCGAATGGAGGTATTGCCTGGGTGACACCAAGCTGAGGACAATGGTACAAATGAAAACTGTTTCTGTGGGTCAAGGAGAGAGGAGGAAAGTCCTTGGCCCTCAGGGTGAATACCCTTCAAACTTTAGGTTTATGAAACGTTTCAAAGCTGTGCTTTAAGATATGGAGCTCGTGGGCCAGGGAGTTAGCTCAGTGGCATAAATGCCTGCCTTGCATGTACAGGGTCGAGAGTTCGATCCCTGGTACCAAAAAAAAAAAAAAAAAAAGAAAAAAGAAAAATATGGAGCTCTTGCCAGGCACAGTGGCCACATGCCTGTCATCCCAGCACATGGGAGGCTGAGGCAGGAAGATCACTGTGAGTTTGAGGGCAGCTTGGGGTACAGAGTTCAGAGCCAGCCTAAATTGCAGTGAGACCCCCTCTCCCGACATACACGCAAAAAAGACCTATTTTGTTCTTCCAAAATAGGTTAGCAAGTATTTCACCAACTACAGCAACCTAAGTATACATGCCAGTTCCTCTTGCTAATTGTGTGCCATGACTTTCCAGTGAAATGTCTAAGGGCTCCATGTTCTCAGACTACTCACCAGGCACCTGAGTGGCAGGTCAGCAAGCTAAGGTAACTGCCACAATCACGGTCCCCACGTACACCCACACTGAAAGCCTGATTCACCTGCTTCAGGTGGCTCTATGGGAAAGGAAGTGCTTCAAAAGTGCAGTGTTTATACCTTTTCAGGAACTTAAGTTTATGTAAAGTTTTGAGTTAGAGAAGTCTCCTTGTGTTAGGTTAAAAGCTTAAGGACTTTGTAGAATATTTGTCTAACAGTGCTCTGCTGACAGCATGGCTTAATACCAAGTGAGCCCAACCCCCAACCTCCCACTGTCCCCAGATCTGCAACCCAGCACATGGGGTGCACCTCTACCTGCCGCAGAAGGCCGCCCACCTGAGCACAGTGCCCTATTTGGGCCAGGAATGTAAAATCTACAAGCATGTGCGTAGAACTATCCAGGTTCACCTAAAGGACCGCGGGGTAGGTGCACAGCTGCTTACAGTCCAGGAGGGTCTCCGTGTGGTGAAAGGAAACGAGGATATGACATGACAGCTGACTCAAAACACCAACCACTAGCTCCTGCATCTCGAGATTTATATTCTAACACAGGTCATTGCACAAAATTCTCCTAGATCCAAAGTAAACATCACATCATTACTCCAGAAGCATTAAAAATACCTAATCTGATCAGCATTTTTAAAATGGAGAATTTAAAATAAATTTGATGGGGAGAACATACAACTGAACAGCTGGGGACGCACTCTCCTCTGCGTCTGAAGAAGTGACATGAAATTCACAAAGCAATGGCACTGACCAGTGGTCTTTATCCTTCCAGTTTCCAAGGGATGCCACAGACTGAAGCTGCTTTAGAAAGTGTCAGTAGGTGGCAGTGTTTTCTGGAGCTCGCTAGACCCTTAAATAACTGTTTTCTAGGGCAGGTGGCAGAACTGCAGTCTGCACTTCTGCCCAAGGCAGTGCCAAGCGGTCAGCAGTCCTTCCACTGACCTGTTCTGTCATCTCGAAGAACTGCTGAGGACTCGCTTGTGCAGTGAGCACCGATTTTTCTTGAAGCTACAACTAATCTAGTTCTGCACAGGGCAGTTTTCTCGGAGTCCCTTAAGGGTTGGTCACCTTAGTGATGCCCCAAATATTTCTACTGTAATTATCAACAATCTACTGAAAAGCAGAAGTACAAGTCCAAGGACCTCACACTTATCTGCTCACTGAATGCAGAGGGCTGTGCTGTCTCCACTTGCTCAGAGAAGTAGCTCAGCGTTTCAAAATAAATGCAGATGAGAAAATGAATACTGGGTTTTCACCACCACCCCCACCCTCACCTCGCTGCAGAAAGCAGCAGGCCTCCTGCTCACTCCGGCCCTCACTGAACCCACAGCCTGCCGGCATGACCTACCTGCACAAACACACACACAGCCCATGGATGTAGGTGGGAAACTGCACTAGGGAGCCGTCTGCCTCAGAGACTTTTGAAAAAGACTTCTGCTTGTCAGGATAGCAACATTATTTTTTTACTATTTTAGTTAGCAACTGATTAAAAACTGGTTTGCTAGGTGGAGTTACTTTAGACACCACTAAAGATCTTAGAAGTGTAAACGTTCGCTGTTTGGCCTTGCTCCTGTAATATGGCTGAAATCCCACGGCTGCACTGGATGTGGCTGCACAGGTTAAGGACTGGTCCAGACTTAGAAAATTAACTTCAATATATTAAAAATAAAGATTCCTTTTAACTTTCAACCACTAATGAAAGAAGGTAATTTCTAACACATTTATCTCACAGGAACCAGGAACGGGGCTCTTACAGGTCACATAACCTTCAATGTATCATCTTCAGTTTGGACAGTTAGATCACCTCTTCTTGGTGGGATTACCACACTCACCATTTAAAGATTTTAATAAATGACAAAACTTACCTTAAAACTGACTTAACATTAAAGTATGACCAGGAAGTACAAAACATTTCAATGCAAACTGTCAGTCTTGCAATGTTTGAGAAAGATGTACAATCTAGTTATTTACATATGTGCTGTCCTAGACACAGGCTGCAGATTTGTGGGGTCTAGATTATTACATGATTCCCCCACCACCAACTCTAGAAAAGTTCTTGAAGGCAACACCACTTAAGACTAATGACACTTTTCCACCAATGTGACAATATATAGAAACTAGCTTGGCAGATTATTAAGAGACTAATAAAAAAAAAAATCTGTGAATTTTGAGGAACCTCTTCTTGCCCTTCTTGGGCAACATCTATAATTTTAAAGTTCTCAAACTTCCTGAAAACACAAGAAAAGGTAATACATCCATCAGCACGCAATTCTTACCCTTCGGTCCTTCCCACTGATTCACAATTTGGGCTACGAGCAGGATGAACATGTGCTAACCTAGCCCAATTCTAAACTGTTCCACACTGTCGTTTTCTCTCTAGCACTAACAAATACATTTGATCTAATCCCCAGGTCTCCAAATGCTGGAAGAGACAGATTAAGTGTTAAGCTGCTGTCTTTGGCTTGCTGCTTTATTATTCCCTGGTTTTTAGAGGAGAAGTTGAGGAGTGCATCTTACATAATTAAAAGGTGAAAAGTTCTGCTATAATGCTCGTGGCACTGCATCCTACTAGAATAACTGAACTGTAACTTCTGTACAATGTCAGAAAACGTATTTGGTGATCACTGTAACATACTTGCTAAGTAAATATACTGACTTACTACTGATAAAAAGAACAGAATTGGTTATTTTAGTTCTAAAAAGGCAAAGCAAGACATTTCTAACAATTTGAAAGTTACCTAAAAAATCAATACAACAGTCGCGGTGGAAAACAACTGCTGCATGCACCTTTCACGGCGTGTCTGCGTTCCACTGATACACAGCAGAATGCCACCACTTTAACTTGTGCCAATAGACGGTATTAAAACCCTGCCAACCTAGCTTCCATAGCACACGGTAAAGTTAACACATTCTGTGCTCTAAAGAAGGGACAGGGTCCTGGAAAAGGAGCCAGGAAAAGGACTCAAAGTAAAAATTTTTACTTAAAATGTCACCAAGAAGTGTGAAAGGCTTATTGATGCACTCTGTTCATTTCCAGATAGTAATATCCTCATACGTTATTTTACTGGTTTGCTCTATAACCTTTTTCATTTGTACTTCTAGAACATCACGTATTTTCATATTAAAACCCAATTTTTTATCATATAACTCCATTTGAAACAAAGCTTTGTGTTGTACATTAGAAGCCAAAAATGTGTTATATCATTGTTTCCAAGTATTACTAAATTGAAAATAATTTCAACTGAGAATAAATCCAAGATTTTTCTAGATAAGACAAGAGAAAGAATAAACACCCTAGAAATAATCTGAAAATGGGATAAAATTTCCTTTTATTCAGAAGTTACAAATTATCAGTACACCCTTTTTAAATAAGTAGGATATGGGAAGAAAAAAATACTTCTTAAACTTTATCTGTTTTAAATGTTTGAATTTTTTCTCTTAATACGCTTGGTAAAATTAATCTTTCAAAGGAAGTAAAAATCAAATCTAAATACTTCAAAACTTTTTAAAAAATTATAAATGAATAAAATCTTAGGACTTTGGACATACACAACCACAGTAAAAAAAAAATTTTTTTTCATGTACACCATTAAGTTACTTCAAGTGCAATGGAAAGCTATAGCACTTCTTTCTGGACCAGTTCACATTCACTCTCAAACCCACCTTTGTTTTTCTGACTGATCCTAAACATTAAAGTACATCTGTGCATTAAATCCCTGCGCATTTCACATGAAGTTGAAAAAGTCAAATCTGTTCTAGTGCTCAGTGTAAACATTTTACTATTCATTACTAATTTTCCTTAAAGGTACTTAGGAGTGTGTCACATATTCAAAGTTAACTTTAGGAATAGCACCATAACCAAACAAACAAAACAAAACAACAACAAAAACCCAGAAAAATGCTTTTCTCTCCAAGTCCTTAGTTTCCCTTTGGAAGTCAAGAGGCCTCCACTGCCAACTACACTTTATAATCACAGACCCATCTTGCTTTTTCTGATGAAACTAAGTTCGATTTAAACCAAAATATTGCCTCTATACAAGAAAGATTCAGCAGTTTGGACAAAAAGAAAAATCAGTAATTGGATGACCAGTCAGTCCACAGCAAGTTAGTGCAGTCCAAAGAGTAAGACAGTTTTATAAATAAAGCCCAAACTGTCAAAGATTGGTTTACAAAAGAAATGTATGTACTCATAAATGTGTTCTGTATTTATTTATGGATTTTTGGTACTTTTTTGCAGATTATGGTAACATGGAATCACAACCCTGAGAACAAATATAAAGCAGAGAGGCATAGAAGAAGTTAAATAAATTACTGGACATGACTAAGAACTATCACCATTGCTATGTAAAAGGCATCCGTGAATCTTTCCAGATGCACAGTCAAGATAACTATACTCCATCAGTGTGTCTACTGTCCACTTAACAGGAGCTGTGAGGAAAAACGCATCGTCCTTTTGGCATGTGGTGAGAGGGCTCTCTGAACCACCAGATGACAGGCAGGTATCCCACTTAGGTATCTCAGGTGGAAATGGCCCAAAGCATCCCTCCCTGTGTCAGAGTAGAAGAGAAAGTACCTCCTACCATGTCAAATGAAAAAGTAACTCAAAGGCAAGAACACGTAGGATCATTCTCTAACACTGATACCAGAGTCACATGCGTCTTCTATATGCCACCTCAAGAAAATAGGAGAAAAGGGTTAACTCTGTCTAAAATCAAGCACAGCTAGGGCTAATAAATAATGTAATGGTGCAATACTGTAACCTACTCTTTACCTAGAAAACATGTAAACCACTTCAGGCACAAACAAGCTAGGAACGGCTGCCTACACTGTTTGGAGTAGCATAAGCTATCAAGTAGAAGTATTTACTGTATTTGGCTCAAAAAAGAAGTGTACTATAGGTATGGGGGTGATAAAGTTTCACTTTAACTGTATTCCAAAGTTATCTTCCCATAAAACATAACAGCTTCTTCTCACATTTAGACGAGAGGTCACAAATAAAGAAACACTTAGTTGCCCCAGTAAAGAACACCTAAGATTTCACCTAGCAACAGTAACCTTTTAAAAACAGAGATGGAGATTGGCACTGAACTACCGTCCTACACAGGTAAGACCTGCAACTGCATGCCTAATTCAGCCCTACAATTTCAATACAGATGGGGAAAATCTACATACAGCTTAAATCCTTTTTTTTTTTTTTTTTTAGCCCTACTTAACACACTTTCCCTAATCTAAGGCACACAAACTCCTTGTTTTCAGAGTAAGACAATGGAAGAGCAAAATTTTGGTTAAATCACAATGAAAGCCAGCAAGATTTTGGACAGAAAACAAAATTATACAGCATTTTGTTAGTGCACAACCTGAAAGGAAATACTATGACTATGCTCTGGCCTTCGAGCTTTGAATACACACTCAAGCACTGAAAATAATTTACTAATACTTTATAAATTCAAGTTTATAATATAAAAGTGATCCTTAAAAAGAAAGAAGACCCAATAACATTGGAAAGAAAACTGGAAACCACTCCAACGAAAATGACCAAGTGTGGTATAATACAATGTCCTCAAGTGGTTGGGCAGGGTGGGGCGGGGAGCAATGGGTACCTTGCCTGCTAATCATGGCTCACTTCCCATGATTATAACGTCAGCATGCACATAATACGGATGAAGAATCTGTAAACATAGGTCATGTGAAATTGTTCTCCTAAGGACAGGGATTAGAGATTACCACCTCGGGGTAAATTCAGAAAAAAAAAAAAACTGCACGACACTTTGCTACCATGAAAGTAATGCTCACTGGTTTTCATAACCAGGGTGTCTAGTGTTTACATATTTCAAACTTGCTACACGTAGTCAAATACTATTAAAGTAGATCTGCCCCCAAAATGAAGCATATTTTGGCACCTGTGCTGAATGCTGCTACAAAGACCAGCAAGTGCAAATAAAAATAACAGTCATGATTTAGTCACATTCATAACTTTTCATAGAAAAATATAAATATATTCCCTGAATTGTAAGACAAAAAAATAATTTCATCAGCCAGTGTTCAACCAAACTCCAGTCCATTTTCTCTTTAAGTAACTGGCTTTCTCTCAAGGTCATAAGGTGCAATCATTGAACTCTAACACGTTTTCTAAGCTTCTATCATCATCTCCATCATGGTATCTCACAGTCCTTCTACCCTGGTTTCTCGTTCTTATTTTTGAGCGCCGAAGAACTCTTTTAGATTTTGCATAGTCCAAATCCTCCCAGTCATTATCATCCACGCTTAACCTAGGACGTTTGCTCTGTCTCTGATGCCTCACGGTTTTAGATAGGTTAGCTGTAAAAGTTTTACCTTTTCTAACTACTCTCGCTTTTCCTTTAGCTTTCCTTCTTTTGCCTCTTGTGTTAATGGTGCAGTCAGCATCTGACTCAGTTACAGAGCCCAGGTCTGACGGCCTGGGACTGGAACTGGGTCCGTACTGTGAACACCCCGGGGTTCTAGAGGTGTGCACTTTTTCCAATTCAGGATGCAGTCTCTTCCTCTTTATTTCCATCTCAGCTGTTGCCTGTGAGTCAGCAAGCACCCCTGACTTGCTGAAAGGAGCCTTTCCATATGTCCTGAGTCTCCTGCCATTCCACCTGCGGAGCCCATAATTCAGTTCCTCTTCAAAGGCGTTCTCTGCAGTAGCTTTCTGTGCCACAGTGGACACAGAGGAAAGTTCTCTACCCGTCTCCCTCCCTGGAGCATGACTTTGCGAATCCTCTTCTGAAGACCTACAGGGGAAATTCTCTGTCTTAGAAGGGACATGTGTGTTGTTACTATTGGGAAGCCTGTTCGCATGGTCTGAATCCCAAACGCCTTCCGAGTCCACATCTCCATGTAAAGGCTCGCTGACCTGCTCTGCATGGCCCACAGAGTTGGGGGCAGATGGCACGTCCGCACTGGCACACCGCTCCCCCGGCCCTGCCCCATTCGCGTCTTCCTCATCATCACCCACCGGCTTCCCAGCTGTGCGGCTAGCAACACGGAGCGCCTTCTTCCGCCCACCTCTCCTCCTCGTGCACACGTTTTCTAAGCTGGCATCTCCAGCATCGTTGGCAAGCTTGATCCTGCTGCCAGCTGCAGCTGCAACGCTCTGAGTGGCCCTTGGGTGACCTGCTGTGGCTTGCAATGGTTTCTTGGTCGCCTTTGAGCTGTTCTCCGAATCACTGGAGCAGACCCTTTTCCTGGAAACTTTTCTGCTCTGTCCACTGTCTTGGGATGTAGACTCTGAAAATTAAAGAGTATTCTTTTAATCTTTAATAAAAAGAATAGATCTAACGATTAAACATTTAACATCTGAACTTAAATCCAGAATTCTTCTCCATCTGGCAGTTCGACAGCAGTGAAAGGGATGCTCTGTTCCTCTCAACACCATACAGGGACTTTGTGGCTTTCAGCACCACTCACAACACAGTACAGTCAGTCTGCACCGACCCGGCCCTTGAAACTGCAACCCTGACTGGAGTACAACCAAACTCACGCACGGCACAGAGCGCCGAGCCAGCCCCTGACCTTCAGCCTCCAGGAAACCTAACCTACTTCCACCAGTTTCACTCGCACCACTTTTTTTTTTTTTTTTTTTTTTTTTTTTTTGCCTTTTTCATTTTTATCGGTACTGGGGATCAAACTCACGACCGCCTGCTTGCAAGGCAGGTGCTTATGCCGCTGAGCTAAACCCCCAGCCCCACTCGCACCACTTTTAACCTCAGCTTTCGCTGCCTTTTGCTTTTCTATCAATCTTCATTTAGCAGAGGTATGACATCTGTTCAGTGGTTATTTTACTGCTGTGGGCTCCACAGTTATTATATATAAAATGAACAGTGAAGCCAAGCATGGTGCACAGACCTGAAATCCCCCCTCTCTGGGAAGCTGAATCAGGAGGATCCAGAGTTGAAATCTAGCCTTGGGCAATTCAGTGAAACTGTCTCAAAATAAATTAAAATAGGCTGGGGTTGAAGCTCAGTGAGAAGGATCTGGGTTCAATCCCCAGTACCACAAAAACCAACCAAACAAACAAACAAAAAGAGTACATAATAGTACTCACCTCATAAATGATACAACTAACTTTTCTAGGTTAACAGTATAAAGTGATTAGAAAAAGTTCTTGCACAGCTCAGTAACTCTTCTGTTAGCTGTTATCATCATTACCAATGCAGCAGACACTCCTGTGCTTTCCTCCTCTCTGCAAGCTGCCACTCCCACAGCCTAGCGTGCTCGCCTCTGCTTTGCTCAAGGCTGCCTCCAATACAATATCCCCATCATCAAGACCAAACACCACACCTTCAACAGAACACTTGTTAAGTCCAACACTATAACTAGCTGAACAAAACCCAGTGTGCAACACATCACTATGCCTGTCTGTAAGAATTTAAGAGGTGAACAGAGAAAGTAGTATGCATGGAGTAGAGAGAAACAGTTAGCAAAGAGAAATAAGATGAATGAGATCAGGAAAAGAAGTCAGTGGGATTAAATCAGAAGCCAAGATATAAATGTTTTGAATTACCTTTCAGAAGATTGTTTGGTTTTTCTTTTGTTTTGTCATCATCTGAATCTAAACCAGTTTCAGATATATCATCTGAGAAGCACTGAGACCCAACATCAGGCTCACATTTCAAGTTTCCTGAAATTTGGCTCGTTTCCGTTTTGTGACACGTGTCTTCATTCCTGTCTTGTTCTTCAGATTCTGAGTCTTCGGAATCACTTAAGATCTTTGCTTTCTTAGAGAAATTTACATTCTTGCGAAAAGCTGTGGCTCCTGGTTCAGAGTCTACTTCCTCCAAGAAGTTCCCTGCTTCTGCTCTCCGACCCGAAGCTGAGGGGCCAGCAGTTCTGTTAGAACTGTCATCTGATTCGGGACTCTTAGAATCTTCCTCAGAAGATGCAATCTTAGGGAATTTGGTTTTGGAACTTGCTGGAGAATGGGACTTATATCCATTAGCACGCCAATTTTTCCGGGCTACCCGCAAATCACTTTCTGACTCTGAATCTCCATTTTCAGGCTCACTGTCAGTCTGCTGGGAAACATGCAAACCAGATGCTACTAATGGTAGAGGCTGATCTTTCAGCTCCTCTTCCTCTTCGAGATCTGACTTTGTGCTCTGATCATCTTCAGAATTACGCAGTAACTTTTTTCTAGCTACGGCAGAAGCATTGCGGTGAGGAAGCTTCCGACCAGAGCACACACTTTCAGAGCTAGAATTTTCTTCTACGTCACTCATTAACTTTATCTTATTGGCAGCCACAGCAGCACACTTTCGTAGGACTTTTCGGTTATTACCAGCTCTGGCCTTTAGCATTTCACTGGACTCTGGTGAATTATTATCAGAATCACTTACATAGACTCTTTTTCGAGTGGCTTTTCTGCCGTTGCCATTTTCTAAGGTGAGAGGACCTGGAAATAAAGCAGCAGGAAGATTAGAAAGGCTTTTTCTTACTTCAACACTTCAAATGACTTAACTCCCACACACATCACCCCACAGTCCCTCACCAGCTCTCCTCTGAGCAGCCCGAGTCCTGGTCACTCTGAGGCTGCTGCTCCTGGAGAGCCCACCACGCAAGGACTCTCGTGCTCTCAAGCTCTTGTTGCTCTCCTCTGAACTACTGAAAGCGGAAGAGGACGAAGAGGTAGCTAAGGAATCTTCCATTTCACTTTCTAAGGAAACAGAAGCATACATGATTACATACCTTTTCCTATGTGTACACACAAGCAAGCAATTCTTCCTTCACATTATAATAAAAACCAAATTTTAAAATACTTAGTATGCTTTTTAAACCAGTTTCAAAGAAAGCTGATAAAATTTTGAGATTAAAAGATATATAATCAGCATTCCAAACTAATTGTGTGTTCCTATTTCTAAAAACAACACTAATCCTGGAATACATTTAGAAAATACTTCAGAAAATTATAAACCAACTTCCACTTCAAAATCTACGTGGCCCCAGTCACATATTCCTTCTATGATCTCAAAGAGGTATTTCAGAGAGAAAAGACACACTCATTGTGAATCCTTTCTGGTCGCACGGTAGCGCTGGCCTCTTTCTAGCTGTCCCTGACAGTATAGACACACCACATATGCACTCAGCTCAGGAATGTTCATTTCTAGGTTCCCTGCACAGACAGACAGGCAGACGGACCCGGACACACGCACAGAGTGGGGCATGTGAAGAAATAATTTAAACAAGTGATTTTCTCCACTATCCCATTTCCTAAGTGCATGCACCAGTGAGAACACAAGATAAGAACTACAAATTTCCTGTCTTTTGTTTTCTTAAATCTAGACACTTCTTAAATGCTTATCATCTATTTTGGTTGTGGGAGACCAGAGAATTGAGGCCTGACTGAGCCCAAAGGAGATAGGCAATATGCCAGGACAGTGGCATGTTGCAGGTTCTCAGCCAAAAATCCCCCCTCAGCGGAGGCTGGGCTGTTCCCTGGGCCTGTCCTAAAGCGTAACAAAGGCAGGTGCGTCTTGTGTGTCACTCTGACTGTGCACACCTGTGTCTGAGTGAGTAAAGCAGGATGAGCCAAATGCATAGGGCCCCTTTGCCACCTGCTAACTTGACTCTTTGACTGGGTCTTTCATCTTCACAGACCCCAGGTCAGGGGACAAACTAGCAGTATTGGATCCCCACTAGGGGCAGGTGGGTGGGGAAAGACTGGAATGGGCCAGTTCCCTATAGGTGGGAACAGGGGTAGGGACCTGGGACTGACACAGACCAGTCTCTTACATTTGATAAAAAAAAGTTTCATCAAAATAGAGGAAGCACTGCTAGAAAACAAAATTCTGACCATACCTAAGCCAGCTCTGCGCCAGAGAGGCACAAAACTTCAGGCACCAAGTGGCGCTTCTTCCTCTGAAACTGCTGCCTTCCCTCCCACTTGCCCTGCTTCCACTCAACCCCATCACCTCGCACCTGCCCCCTGCCCCACCTCTCACCAAACTGCTAACTCTGCCCGAGAACTCATCTTGCGGCCACTCCCACAACAGAAGAGTTGCTGTAACAAGCAAACTCTTCTGTAAGGATGGCACTCTCTAAATTGTGAATGCATTCCACCTGCTTCATCCTAACTCCTTCTCTCATTTCCCAAATCACAGTCTTTTCATATGCACAAAAGGCATCTTTTTTGCTATCAATGCTTAATCTAAATGCTCCTGCTTAAGAAGCAACATTTTTTTCCTAGTCATTTTCAGTGACTGTACCGCTCAATGAAACCCGTAGGACACTGTACAATGCCCAGATGGCAGCAGCAGCTAGACTTCTTACAGAGTACTTTATCACAGCTCACTTCCATCCCCACATGCACTGTCAGTACTACTTAATGACAATTGGGAACAAGACATGCGAAAAGCATTCATTACATTCAAAAATAATAAACTACCATAAGACATCAAAATCTCTCAATCCAAGACAGAAGAACATAACCTCCACAGCCTTACTTATGCAATACTAATCAAGGCTCACCTTCGGTACAATTACGCTACCCAATGGCATGGTATAAACAGTTTAGAATTTACTAGGCCACCAGCTTTGAACTTAGGTATACATTAATTTAAAAAGATACCAAAAAGTCAAATTCTGCACCAGAAGCATAGTGAATCTACTGCACTGTTTAAAATTTGGAAGATTCAAAATGTGCATAAAATGCTGTCACACCATGTGCATAAGATGGTTCTTATCAAGTATCTTCAAACTATCCCGTTTCTTATTTCTGTCTCTCCTTGAGTGTCAAGGATTTCTTCAGGATGTTTTTCTATGTAACCCGACAGCAGGACAACGTTACAGAGTCTCGTGCTCAACAGCCGAGTAATTTAGTTCTGCCTCTCACCAGATAGCAGAGAGTCATTCAGCACAGTGACAGGTCGGTTTCTTCTCCTCCTCTCCAGCGATCCCGCTGAATCTGAAGAGTCCCCAGATGTAGCCCCTGAAGAGTCACCAGCACTTGTCTTGTGTCCTGCAGAGTGAGCTGCCCTACTTGAGGTAGACTGGGTAGGAGAACCTACCAACTCAGAGATAACTTCTGGCTGAGATTTTAACCGTTTCTGCTTGATATTTCTGGTCAAAGACATGAACAAAGGAAAAATATTTAGTAGAACAGAGAGAAAACTAATTCAGAGAATACCTAGATCAAAAAATATTCATTATTACCTAAGTTGAGAGTTATCTTGTCGTCAAGATACTAACTAGTCACACTATTAACATCTTATTCTAGCACAGATTGTTAACATTTCCATTTGACACTCTTATTCAAATTTGGAGTAATGAACATAACAGCTACATACTGAATATGAGAACACTTATCTTTTGGATAAATGTAAAAAAGTACCAATATATATGTGATAATTGGCATTAACTTATACTATGAATTCAAGCCTAAGTATGATACAACTTGCACTCTAACGTCTTATATATTCCTTAAAAAAAAAAAAATCAGAAACCAACAAAACCTAAATGGTAAGAAAGTTAGGAAACATCAAAACAAGCTAATTTTGTTTTGCTAGACCAAACTGCTTATATCTCAGCACCTATCTCCAAGATTTGCCCCTGGTCATGAGTTACGGAGGAGAGTGAAAACTTAAGAAACAAGTCTGGTAATATTCATATTCAGATCATCTTGTTTTCCTTTACTACAATACTTAAAGGCAATCACAACTCTTTAAAACACTGATTGTTTCCACAGTGATAAAGAAATTTCAGGCTTGTGGCATCAAATTTTAAACTATCAATAATTCAAAGGAGGGCAGATAATGTGCTTTAGAAAAAGGTCAGCCAGGCACAATGGCACACACTCGCAACCCCAGCACTAGAATGGAGGGGTGCTCAAGTTGGAGTCCACCCTGAGCAATGTAACAAGACCCTGTCTCAAAATTAAAAATTAAATTAAAAAGGTTGGGGAATATAGCTCAGTACAGATGCCCTGCATCCAACCTCCATTATCTCACACACATATACAGGAACTAAAAAGGTTATAACAATGACTCATCAAATACAGAATATACTAATAAAGAGACAGGTAATATGAAAACAATCCAAAGAAACACCTCAGAGTTGAAATGGACAGTAAGTGAGATGAATCTGAGGTCCAGCAGCAGGATGTGGGCTGGCAGATGAATCAGAGAACTGGAAGACACATCACCAAAGATTATCCAGTATGAGCAATGGAAAGAAAACATAATGCAGAGGGCTGGGGATTTAGCTCAGCGGCATAAGCACCTGCCTTGCAAGCAGGTGGTCGTGAGTTCGATTCTCAGTACCGATAAAAATGAAAAAGACCAAAAAAAAAAAAAAATTAAAAAAAAAAAAAGAAAACATAATGCAGAAAAGTGGCACCTAGGCACCTTTGGAATTCCATTTTTAGTGTTATGTGAGATGGGAATCCCAAAAGAACAAGGGAGAAAGAGGTAGAAAGCAATATTTTTTTAGAAAAACAGATAAAAACCTTTCAAATATGATGAAAAACATTATACATCCACAAAGTTGAAGTAATTCCAAGTAGAATATACTCAAAGAAATCGAAACTATATAAATATCACAGTCAGTTGAAAGGTAAAGAAAAATTCAAATTGTACAAGGAAGGAACCTTAGTTAGGATTAATACCTGACTTCTCTTCAAAAATAATGAGTTCAGCAATGAGATGGCTCATCCAAAGTGCTACTGGGTAGGTAACATGCCAATTAAGAATTCCATAGGTATGAAAAATATTCTTCAGTGATGAAGATAAGTAAAAACATTGTAGATACATAACCCTTTCACATTACAAGAAATAAGAAAAGTAGTCCTTCAGGCTGGGAAAAAAAAAAAACGTTAACCCAGAGCAACTCAAATTTACACATAAATGCGAATGTTGGCCAGGCATAGTGGTGCACGCCTGTAATCCCAGCACAGGGAGGCAGAGGCAGAAGGATCACTGTGAGTTTGAGGCCAGCCTGGGCTACATAGTGAGTTCAAGACTATTCGGAACTATACAGCAAGACCCTGTCTCAAGGGGTGGGAGTGGGGGGAATGAGCATGTTAACTACATAAATGGAAAAGCAGCATAAATGACTTCTGTAGTCTTAAAGCTTTAAAACAGACCACACAAAGATGTGGCTGCAATGGCAACAATAGCACCCAGGAGAAAGGATACAAGGTAACTGTCTTACAGCAGTTTCTAAATGAGCTGGGATTAAATAAATAAATAAATCACTGTACTGGAATAAAAACAGCATTATTAATATCAAATAGACTTTTGAATTGTGACGCAGTGTAATCCCCAACCACAAACAAAAATCATCAGCAGTACACTGCACATTCAACGTACACAGGGGGACAAATTCAAAACTCAGTTTTCACACTGCAATACTTTACTTGAAACTTGATACTGAAGCAGGTAGTCAAAGACAAGATTATTGCTAAGAGGAATAAGCCCTCTGTTTCCTTCTTCTACTATGTATTTAATCCTCACAAAGCAAAAGGTATATGCAATAAAACCTCTTCCCTTATACAATTAAATGCACACACACACACAAAAATTAATTGCACAAAGGCATATACACTAATTTTACTCTCTAAATTAAAAAGCCAACTCTTACATAAGACAAATAAATGATAGTTTAATCCTTGATAAGATTTTTTAAATCTGTAATTTTCATCAAATGCTTCAAAATTCACAAAGCAAATTTTTCAAGTAAGCGTAATGGCTCTCTATTCACAGAAATGCTTCCAGCTATAAAAACCTATGACTAGACTTCTCTAAATACACAGTGTTTCAACTTGTGGTACATTAAGTCAGTAAGTATCATAACACTAAGCATCAGTGACATAACCAGTTTACCTCATCCTTTTATTGGGCTGAACAACACCATTACAATTTTGCCTTTGCTTGAACCTCTGACTTCGTCGAAGTTTTTCATTGAATTTTTGACCAATTTTAAAATCAGAAGAAATTTTCTTCATTTTTTCTTCAAATAAAGCAGATAATCTCAAGGTCATACTATAAATCTGCAAACATGTAAAAAAAACTTGAATTATATTGTGTCTTTTAAAGTATTTTTAAATTATAATCACTGAAATTATCTGCAATATACCACTGACTGTGGGTAATAGCTTATTTATGTAATCCATCAAAAGGACAAGTATCAACTATGTATGTCAGGTGGTTAAGAAACTAGTTTCAAATCAAACAGCTCTCTAGCATATAGAACTCAGAACTAATGTCTATACATTAATGGATCTCAGTTGGGTTTTTGCCTCGTTTTCACACTTGCATGTACAAACTCAAAAAATGTAGTCTTCCAAAGCTTGCTCCAAAGTTGGTTCATTTTGAGTGCTATTTATGGAGCAAAAGGGTGGAATCTCTGGGTCAAGAGAACAAAAAAGCTTTTGTATCGATCTCTATCTACAATTTGAATCACACTTAACGACACAAAAAGAGACTTCCAAGAGCTGCTTCAGAAGGTGGCAAGAATGATGAGGCAACTGTGTTTGAAACGAAAGAGGATATTTTGAGGAAAATTAATAGCAATGTCACACTGTAATAAATCTTAAAATTCAAATATTCACCATATTTTTCAATCATGCCCCCTAGATGAATTTCACACACACCCTGAAAATACAAAGTTTATATTTCATCTTTCAAATACTTTTGACAATTACTTCCAATGTTTTGTAAATTATTGTTCTCTCAAACCTGAATACTAGCTTATATCACCAACTTTAACAACATAATTTCTTATAAATTAAGCTTCACACCTCTCATTATCACCATTTTCAGTTTTTTAAGTTTTCACAGAAAATTCAGTAATACAACTCAATTGAAAACACTAAGCACACAGAACACCAACGCTGACGAGCATCACGATGTGACAGAGGGCCCTACAGAAACCCACAGCTAACGCCGGTATGCTAGCTGAGACGGAGTAGGAGAGATGCGCAGCGCCCTTGGAATACTGACATTTCGCAGTTGTTGTATTGGCACCCCACACACACAGCACTAGCATCTGAACTCAAGTGTGCTCTATCACTGAGCTATATCCTGTCCCTTCTTCTGTGAGATAGTCTTACTAACTTGCCCAAGCTGCCTCAACTTGCAAGCCTCTTGCCTCAGCCCCCTGAACAGTTGGAATTCAGGTATGAGCCACCATAACCTGACTTCATTTCCTATACTTCCAAATGCTCCAGGCATGTGAGACCACAATGCTAGTTGCATCCCTAAACTAATTAATACCTAGACATAGCAAATGATTCCCTGCAAATACACTTGTGATATACGAACCAAGTCAATCCAGAGTCCACACCACTAACCATCTCCTTCTTCGAACCCTCACACAATAGTCAACATTATCCCTGCCATAATGCATCTCAGATCCAGGTACCAAAACCTGAGAGACCATCCGTCACATCTCAAAGCTTTGCGACACTGTTCAAACTGGTCACTTTGACACTACTTCCTCTGTCCTGCCAGCATGCCAACAGCTGCTCTCCTCTACCCTTGACTGAGCCCGACTCTGACCCTACCTCCGGGATCCTGCATGGTATGCCTAGCATCCTGCTTCTAAGTCAGTTAAGCTTGCTCCTTCATGACAATCTTATCTAAATCTGCATGTCTTATTCCTGATTAAAACAAATCCCACATACAATTATTAACACAAATGTCATAAAAATATCAGTATCATGGTAAGATAAAACCTCACTCAAATACCAAAGTTAAAAAGAAGTAACAAATGTTAGCAAACACGTGGGAAAATGAGAATGTTTTCCACTGCTAGTGGGAATATAAAATGGTGTGGGCATTATGGAAAGCACTTTATTGGTCCTGAGAGGTCACAGAATTACCCTGTGTTGTTAGGTATATATACATAAGAGACTGAGAGCAAGAACTCAGATATTTGTATTTCCAAAGCCACTATGACATTATTTATAATGGTCAAAAAGAAACAATCCATCAAGAGAAGAATGGCTACGTAAGATGTGTCAAGGTCATTCTCCCACCCGATAAAGTTATTTGACCATAAGAAGAAATGCAGTTCAGACATGCTATGATGTAGACACCATGTTAGGTAAAATACACAGGGCATGAAAGGACAAATATGGTGTGACCTAGAAGCTGACATCTACATTTAGTCTAGGAAAGTCACACAAACAGGAAGTAGACCAGAAGTTACCAAGGGGAAATGGGGAAGAGGGAAGAGGAGGGAAATGCTCAACTATTATTTAATGGTGACAGAGTTTCTGCTTGGGGTGACAAATATACACTTTGGAACCAGTGTAACTCATGAATATGTCTGAATTGTAAACTTAAAATGGTTAAAATGGTACATTTTCTCAGACATCTAACCATGATTTTGACAACTTGATTAATACACCAAAGACCAGTTAACTATATACTTTCAGTGAATGAATTATGCATTCCAAATACGTACTTCCTAAAATAGAAGATAAAAATGAGAATTTATTCTTGTTCTGGAAAGAACCTGTCTCATAAATCATGAAGGGGGAGAAGGTCAGGTTCGAATGCTAACCCGACCTGGTGAGCCACGCGGGCATCAACGCAGCCAGCGCGCCCTCTCACATAGGGCCTAGAGGGGCCTGGAAGCAGTGCAGGAGGCCCGCAAGGACAGCAAGGTGCAGCGCAGCTAACATAGACAGAGGAAACGCTGGGGTAGCCAAGCAGGCGCATTGGCCTTCAGTCTTCCTTTACACTGTTTGTAACTATTCATCACACTGGCTATGAAGATGATGCTCATGGATACTCATTACAGCTCACAAGGAACTGAACGACTAACCAACATAAGACATTTAACAAGAGCTGAGGAATGTGCTGCCTGCTTTTTTTATTTTATTTTATTTTGTCTTTTTCCTTTTTATCGGTACCAGGGATCGAACTCACGACTGCCTGCTTGCAAGGCAGGTGCTTATGCCGCTGAGCTAAATCCCCAGCCCCTGCTGCCTGCATTCTTAAACCACTGCAGCTCACGAATCACTTCAGATTCAAGCTGTTACATAAGCAGCCCAACCGCACTTCAGATTCTCCTTTATCCATTTTTTTCTTTTGTGCTCCTGGGAACTGAACCCAGGAAGCACTGAGCCACATCTCCAGCATCTTTTTCTTTTTTTCGTCTTCTTTCTTGATAGGGTTCAGTTACTGCCCTCGCTCTCCCCAAACTTGCTTTCTTTCCCATGTCTGTGTTCTGAGTAGCCAGGATTACAGGCACCCACCACCAGGCCGAACCTTTGTGTTTTCGTCATTTTTAATATTCTCTTGCTATTTCCAATACATTTTTAAGAAGCTTATATGTATGAAAAACAAGCTCTTCTCATTCTGTATATTAGATTTGTTCACTTTCTACTGGTATCTTCCTCTTTTTGGGGGGGTCTTTTTCGTTTTTATCGGTACCAGGGATCGAACTCATGACCACACACTTGCAAGGCAGGCGCTTATGCCGCTGAGCTAAATCCCCAGCCCCTCTACTGGTATCTTCAATCCCATCAATCCGTGCTTGCTTAGAAAATTTCAAGAGATGATAAACACCAACTGCTGCAAGGCCCAAACTGCAGCTGCAGGCAATGCCACCAGTCCTCACAACAGTCTCACTTCATGCTCTTATCTTCAATGCTCCAACCTCCACCAGCAAACACAAAAATACATGATCATATATTTTTTAAACCAATTTTTAACAAATTACCTTTGACCTTTTGTTTGGTGTATATGCTTTGGCATTGCTAAATATCAACCGGATATCTTTGCAAAATTCCAAAGGGCTGTCGTAATTTCCTGCTTCCAGAGTTTCCCTCACTGTTCCAAAATCCATCGGTGTATCTATAATATCTCGGTAGTCCTAGGTTTTAAAGATAATAATTAGTTCATAAATGACTGCTTTAAAAAAGTGTAAACCTGTAAGTAAAGTCTTTAGAATATTTTAAATGACAGGAGGAAGAGAAAACAAATTAGAAGGATCATAAGGATTCATTAATAATGTCTGAAAAGAGGTTTAAACACAAAATATAAAAAAAGATATCGGCGCTGGGGATTTAGCTCAGTGGTATAAGCGCCTGCAAGCATGTGGTCATGAGATCGATCCCTGGTACCGGTAAAAAGAAAAAAAAAAAACAGTATCAAAATGTAAATGTCTCCTGACAGCGGGAACTTATCTACAGTTCCCAAGCTTCCTACAGTATATGTGCTTTTATCTTTTTGTTTTGTTTCTAGATCTTCTACTTCTTCAGTTTGCAGAGTGAAATTCTAATTTTCAGTTTTCCTAGTGTTAAGCCTATACACAGCCATGTAGAGACCTCCCCCATTATTATGTAATATTGGCCAACTAAGTCTAAGTCTTTAAATGAGCAATGAATAATGTATACTTCTGTATTAACTTATTGGTTAGAGAAAAAATGCTAACATAAAGCCTAGACTTCCTATTCTTTGAGTTTTAATTTTTACAAGCTTCTACCCCAGTCTCCATACAGCAAGATGGCGGAGACTTACTGGATACTCCACCAGATCCACAGGCTGTCTGAAGGGCTCGGAGTCCTCGCACTGGAAAATCAGATTCACCAGCTCCTTACACTGCCTCTTCCACTTGCTTTCCAGGTAGCTGGCAGCTCTGCTGCTCTTTTTCTTCCAGCCATGGGCCTACAAATGTATCCATAATATTGAAAGTTTTTTCAGATTAGAGGGGAAAAAAAAATCATACTATGGTGTATGATCAATAAAAATGTAACTGAAATACTATGTACCACAAGAACTATGGCTATGTTAGACTGTCTTAGAAAACCCCACACTTTTTAAAAATTCTAATCATGTTATTCATATATTGCTCTCAACACCTTTCTCCAGAAATAAAATTTAAAAACAAACCATTTAAAACACTTTTGATACAATCTCTCGAGATGAGCTATAAAAGCATATTCCAACCAGAGCGCACAGTCCCATGAAAAGCTATTTCTCTATCTCTCCCCCGGGGTTCCCACTCAATAATGTGACAGGCAGAATAATGGCCACACCAGCAACACGCCCTCAGAACCTATGACTACCTATGACTACACCAGCTTCCACAGACTTACTTCAGAGATGTAACGAAGGCCCTGAGTTCCAGGATGGACAGTTAGAGTCATGGTAAGAGGGAAGTGAAAGGGGCCCTGCCAGCTACAGACATGAAAACACTCAGCACCAAGCACGGAGGCAGCCTCTAGAGTCAGATGAGGCAAAAAACGGGTCCCAGGGAGCTGCCAGCCTCGCCCACACCAGGGACATCCCTCCCTATCAAACTTCTTACACAGAGAACTGTGAAATAACACATTTTTAACTGTCCAAAAGGCTAAATAGACATTTGCTACAACAAATAAATGCAGGTGCTGAACACCTCAGAGTTCACTTAATAATGAAGTTACAGAAAAGTCAGATGAGGTTATTCCATGTTTAACTTTTTTTTTTGGGGGGGGGGGGGACACGGCACACACAGCTCAAGCTAGTCTCAAACATCACTGTACAGCTCAGGTTAACCTTGAAATCCTGACCCTCCCACCCAAGCCTCCCAAATGCTGGAATTACAGAAACGTACTACCATTGGCAGGCTAGGTCTAACTTCTTCATGTTATTTGGGAAAAAACACGATGAAAGAAAATATTTGACAAAAATGCTTAAGTTTAAGAATCATTTGGATGAAATTTAAAATGAAGTTAACATTTCTAGCAATTTTCTTATGAACCTACTCGGTGAGAACTCAGGGGCTGCTTAATTACCCAGATTCCTACACTTATCCCTGCGCACTCTTGCCCTTCAGCCTTCAATCTCAACTTGCCAAAAATCCCTATTTTCAAAAAACATGCACTTACTAAATCTTAATTTTCCCCAGAACCAGGCTCACACTTCCCTTCTCCACCCCAACAACCACTCTTCTCAACTAGATTCCCACACCACACTCCCAACCATCTCCTTTAACACCTCCTTAACAGCATTCAAATCCTGTCCTATTTCGGCTATGTAACTGCACCTCTGCTTTAAAGATGAATGAAATGCCTGGGCTCCAGCACCACCACAACCTGCTACCAATATGGCCAGATGGAGCCACCTCACACCAAAGCCAACCTGCACCTCAGCCAGGCCAATGCCTCATCACACCATATTTACACACTTTGTTTTGGTCTGTAGCATTTGCTGTTTAAAAAAATTTTCCTCATCTCACTCAATCTCATGCTAAGAATATAGCTCAAATTATAACTCTTGCACTAAACGTTTTTTCCTAGTTATGCAGCCTTAGTGATTTCTCTCATAAAATATTCGCTATCTGTATCAATTACTCCTCAAAACAAAACCTCAAATCATAAAGGTATTATTTTTAAACAAAGAACAAACCAAATGCAACAGTCAATCATGCAGAGTAACTTACTCTCCTCCTTCCAGAGGATGTTTTAGGAACATCACTGTCATCCTAGGAAGAAAATCAGAGCACTTTACGTGTTAAGATTCTCAGTGGGAACATAACAATTGTAATAAAAAGCATATCAAAGACATTTAGTCTTACCAGGTAATAGCCTGTTAATAGCAAAATCTCAAAATACAGACTATTATCAGACAGTAGCTATGGTGCCCAGACTTCAAAATATCAACCATTCCTTGTAAACCTTTTTCACATTCCCTCAGGACTGACTCCACACTTCAAAACTTCTGCTTTTATAAAGGGTTATTTTGTGTATTTCCTAAATATGAAATGAGCAAAGCAGCTTTAAATTCGCATTTTTATCTCTAGTCGAAGAACTCCAGAAATATACTCCTATAATTCATGAATTTTGCATTCTATACATTGTCTGATTTCCTCAATCACTTATTAGTATGAACTTTATTATTCTGATATACATTAGCAAGTAAATAAGCAAACTATAGTAAGTGTTTGTATGGAAATCAACATTGTATTGTCCTTAAAGAGCATCTTTCCTCCAACTCCATCCCACAGCTTAATTCTGTATAACGTGAATTTAACATACAACACTTTGCTGTTTGCTTACACAAACATTAGTAATATCCTCAAGAAAGGATATCAAGAACACTTGAGAGTGTAGTCAAGTTCTTCACTTTTATTTATGATTACACTCAATACTTAGGAGATATTGGTCTCATCAATATTTCTAAGGTACTTTTTACAACATACCTTTCACTATCTAAAATACAGAAAGAGAATACTCCACATCTGAAATTACTCAGACATATATCAAATGATATCAACCACTGGCTAAAATTACCTCACTGGACAATTCAAGAAAATACATTTTTATCAAATGCCTTATTTCCATTGGAATATAGTAAACACCGGTATTTTCAACTTAACCATTTTAAATTGCCACTGGAAATTAAGAAAATTATTATAAAACTGATAAACTTCATACCAGATCCTCAGCATTTTGTTCTTCATTTTCAGATGTGTTAGATAGTTCTGAAATATTTGTGCAATCTTGATTCCTAAAAAGTAAATTTTCACACAAATACTATGTAGATATTACTGTTGCCAAGGATTCAAGGTACATGCTAAAATATTTAAATAGTACCCTAACCTACAAAAATCTAATTTCAAAAAAAAGACTACCAGGTTTTCAGCCAGTTCTTTGTGGAAATAACTGACCATCTAAAAATTCTAATTTAGAACCCTACAGGTTTTGCCACCAAGTTAAGCACTACAAAAATGAAGCTGCGAGTTCACAAGTATTTTGGGGGCCTCCCTTGGCTGAACAAGTGAAGACTTCCTAAGTATTAACATTCATACAGTAAGTACTATAGAGAAAAGTCATGAAAAAGCTGATTTGAAAATGAAGATTTGAAACAAAAGAGAAGGAAAAAGGAAGCGGAAATTAAAACTGATACTACCTTAAGCACACTGAAGTATAAATGTGTGGGAATGGAAGCAACAACATGGGTAAGTGATTTCAGAGTACAGTTAATTAGGTCTGAGTCGCCAAATCTTAGAACCAAGTAACCAGTAAAAGTTGACAGGAAATCAAGTTATTCTCCAATTTTTGGCTACTAGGAGTCTTTCAAAAGATTTTTTAAAGTTATGTGAAAAGGAAGTATTATATGGAAAGCTACAAGGTCACAGGGTGTTCAACTGAGTCACTTATCCAACACCCAAGGACATTCTCTAAAATATGCTGGGCTAGAATGTGGGCCTCCAGGTTCACTTCTGCTTTCATCCTACTATTTCCAAGTACATTCCCAATGTACAATAATACATAGAATATTCCTATCTACGAAACATCTACACAGAGCTCACCATACCATGGGAAAACACCCAAACACCCAACTTGAGTACTTTACAAAAGAAGCAAACAACATCAATGCGGTTGTGAAAGAAAAGACTGAGGAACAGACTAAAGAAGCTAAGGAAACAAATCCATAAATGCAAGGGGGGTCCTAGATTAGACCCTGAAACACAGAAAGTATACTGGTCTGAAAACTAGTGAAATCCAAACAAGTTCTACATTGTGGTCAATTAACTGTAAACTAGTGAAATCCAAGCAAATTCTACATTGTGGTGAATTAACTGTACCAAGGTCAATTTTTTAAACAAATTTTAAGTGTGTTATAGTTATCTAAAATGTTACAAAGAAGAGACTGTGCAGAATTACTTAAAAAGTTTTAAAATATACAATAATGAACTGTTCAATTTCTCATAATTTTACTAAAATTATAATAAGTACCAAAGAAAGGTCATGTATAGTAAAATATTAAATGAGTGTAACTCTTTAAGAGTAAAAAATAAAAACTAGGTGGTTAGGTGAGTCCACCATGCAAAGTCACTTTGGCACAACATATCTGATCACTTACTTAATGAACTTCAGAAGCTGGTCGGTTATCTTCTTAGCTGATCTGGCGATTACACTTTCAGGTTCATTAAATGTTCTGGCATTATGTTCTATATATCGGACTTCCCAAATTAATGCAGACAGCCTCCTTCAAAATAAAGTAGACAATTTATAACTTAGAGATAAAAAATTAAGTTTCAAAAAAAACCCAAGGTGGTCTGTGATCTTGGGTGGGGAAATAACTTGCCATTATTGTCCTTAGTCTTTAACTGAAATTTGCCATTTCCTTTCATTATGAATGTAGATGACCAAAAAAAGGGAATAATGGTACCAATGACTCTCTCACTAATGGAAATCATATTTTTTAATTATATTACGGTTTCACAGTTTGATAGAAATATTTAGGTTCATTGTTAGAGTTACTGATAATTATTAGACTTGCCACTAGCTCTCACTATGTAATAAGAAACATTTAAAAAATCCAGCTTGTTATTAAATCACCATAGATATTAATTAAATCACAGATGTGCAGTTTTAATGAACACCTACTGGTATCAACTTGATCAGTCATAGAATTACAGTGGACACTCAACTACCAAACCTTAGCAGACCACCTAATCACACACAGAAATCCAACAAAGGAGTCTCCTTTTTCTCAATGCCTCTCATACACCTTTTGAAGCTGCTCAAACTGAATGAAGAAACCATGTTAATATCATCGCCTCTAAAGAGTCAGTTTCACTTGAAATCGGCAAAGTGGTTTCTGATTGGAACAGCCAGCCCAGCACATAGTCATACAATGATAAATAATGGCAATTGTAGATTCAAGAATCAAGAAGACTTCTGTAAAACGGCAATTTCTCAAAGTAGTGTTTCAGGATCAATAATTATCGGCTCGTATGAAGAGGAAATCTGACACTTGCCCGCTTTCTAGAAACCAATAACAAGTAAATGATCCTTGGAAATAATCTTTCATCAAAGATCAAAATCCAAAGGGGAAAACAAATCAAAATCCAATTATTAACTAAACTTTACTTTTAAATGAAGCAGGTAAATAGGAACTTTAACATACAAATAAAAAAACCAAGTATTTAGCTATTTAACATAATTTTTAAGAAAAACACATAACTAAAGCCTAAAGCCCAACATATGGCATTTTATCCAAAGACATCTAACACATCTTAAAGAAAATGAACAAAAAGTAATGTTAAGCAGCCCCCACAATTCATAAGCCACCACCTGCTACCACTACCTCTATCTGTTTACCTCAGCTGGAATGACCAAAGAGTTTTTCATCTCTTTTCAAAGTAGTTTTCTACCAACCTGTAAAACCGATTAACGAGCCGCATCCGAATGGTATAAAGATCAGTTGGATAGGCTACCACAGTACAGTACTTGGGATATGTACACAAATCAACGGGCCCTGAGAAGGCTGCTGCTATGTCTGTCAGGGAGGAGACAAGAGACACCATTAGTAAATCCATTACCTCTGAGTGTAACTTCTTTACTATTTCAAAGACAGAGTTATACAAGACACTACAAACCAAATACCAAGTGGGAACTACACTGAGAACACAACTTCATCCTGCTACTATTTTGAAATGGTTCCCTTTTCTTGAGAAACCTGAAAATGAAACATTTTACCCTAAAAAAATCTTACCAAGATTCAACAGCTGATCTATGCCATTGATGATCCGTTCACATTCTTCATCTCTCGATTTCTGGCCCCACTCACCATCTTGTGGTTTGTAGAGCAACTTCTCTAGCTCATCAGATGTAACAGAAATACTTGCTCCAACTTCTTCAGGGGGATCAACTACAAATCCCATTTTTAAAAAGTAGAAAGAGAAAAAGGGAAAAATAAAACTAAGCAACCAAATGTGTACACTATATTGAAATTAAATTATCAAAGCTCCTAAAGTAGGTTACCTCTACAGTAAGAAACAGTTTAACTTTGCAACTTTTAAAAAATTACTGATTACAAAATTGCTTAAATTATAGACAATCTATGTTTCCTAATAAAATTTAAGCTACAATGCCATCTTCACAGTTTAAAGTCCATTTCTTCAAAGAGGTAAGCAACCCACAGACCTCTGAAAACACGAACTGAATCTGATATTCAAGTTTTAAAACCTACACATGGTCAAAAATTAATTTTTAAGGGGCCAACGATATAGCTCAGCGGCACAGCACCTGTCTGGCAAGCACGAGGTCATGAGTTTGATTCCCAGTATTTAAAAAAAAAAAAAAAAAAAAACTTAAATCAAGAAAAAATAACCCAAACATGACAAACACTAATTCTCTTAATTTAAAGGACTTTTTAAAAACTCCTAGGAAAAAATATGACAAAATATTTGGGAGCTCAAAATATTTTACTTTTAAGTATTTCTCCTACACAGCTATGGAAGGCCATCACCTGGGTGTTGTTTCTAGGTTTATTCAGAGCACTCCTCCTGTGAGAGGACAGACGGACTAAGGAGAGTATAACTGTAACAGCTTTTAAGATAAAAAATGGACAGCATACCATAGGAGCTTAACATCTAAAATACATAACTTAAAACATGTTTTATCCATAGCATCTTTTGCTTTAAAATGTGTGAAGACTCTACAAGCTTTGATTTGGTTGATTAGAGATACATATTAAGTAGTCTTTCCTTATGCAGGAAGAAAAGTGTATTTTGGCTCATATTAAGTAGTCTTACTATCAATTATGGATGGAAATGTTTTAAAGTATGGATGATATATGATTCTAATAAACTTATAATTTATGTTCCTGCAAAGAAAACTTACTTCAATATTTTTTTCCTTGCAGGAATATAAATTAAATTCAGAAGAAAATAAATACCATTACTCTAGAGTTGTAATTTTTCTATTTTCACAGTAATGCCTTTAATATTTATCTAATCAAAAGAAAGCAAGCCAGGAATGGTGGTGCACACCTGTAATCTCACCTGCTCCCGAGGCAGAGGCAGGGGAAGGAGGATTCACAAAAGGCCACTGTATTTAGGAAGACTGTCTCAAAATAAGAAGAGTTGGGAATATACCTACCTAGTAGGAGTGCTGGCTACTATGTGCCAAGCCCAGGATTTAAAACTCAGAACCACTGACCCCTCCACGCACAAAAAGCAGACAATGTAATGAAGTGCTTAAAAAACACTATTTATTAAAGCCAGAATCTTAAGTCGTACTGTATCAGTGGCACCTAAAACCTAGGGCATCAGGCAAGTTTTTCACCCGTCTCAATCTAGCCCCTGCTAAACAGGGATAGTAAAGTTTCTGCGTCACGGGTTATTCAGGACAATGCCTAGCACACAGCAGGATTTTTTTCAACCGGATAAAGTGACAGGAAGTCTATTTACTAGGCAGGAAAACACATACACGCACATGCGCACTCAACGCACACACAGAATTATTTAAAAAAAAAAAAAAAAAGATCTTCATGTAAATGAACCCCATAGTAAATAGAAACAAGTGAGGTAAGCCCTACACTTGCACCAGCCTCCCTGAGAGAACACCCCGGCCATGGTGCAAGAACAGCAAGTCAGGCAGGCCAGCGGGGTCACCTGAGTTAACACATTGAGCCCTGCGTCAGGGTGGATAAGGATGCTGGGAAGGACAGGGCTGTAGACTTCCCCATTGACTGCCATGTTCAACACCAGTCAGCCTTCAAATGTGACAGGTGGCAGGGGCCAGGAGACACAACTGCAAGAATCAGAGCCCATGAGCCATGACCCTTAAACGGGGCACATAGTCACTTGCTGTGGCACACACCCCTAACCTAAGCTTCTCGGGTGTGGGGGCAGGACCAACTCTGAGGCCAGCCTGAGCAATTTAGTAACTCCATTATCAAAAAAAAGTGAAGGCATATGAAAAAACACCCAAATTCAGCTTCCACAGATGAAAAACAATGAAGTAAAAATTCTGGTGAGTGGTAATAAAAACAAATTAGACAAAAATATTAATAAGGGGCCAAGGATTTAGCTCAGTGGTATAAGTGCCTGACTGGCAAGTGCAAGGTCATGAGTTCCACCCCTGGTACCAGAAAAAAAGAATTTAAACTTTATGGATATCATAGTTTCACCTGTTCTTTTATTACCAGTACTGGAGATCGCCTGCTTGCAAGGCAGGTACTTATGCCACTGAGCTAAATCCCCAGCCCCTCACCTGTTCCTTTTAAATATTGGCTGTATGTATAGAATTCTTTATAGTTTGGCTAGTATTATCTTTTCATTAGTTACGTTTGGATACCTGTTACTGCATGCCTTTAGGTTTTTTCTGTTTGTCTGTCTTTCTCTTTTGGTGTCAGGGATCGAACTCATTGCCTCATGCTTGCCAGGAAGGCACAGTACCACTAAACTACATCCCTGGCCCGTAAAGTATAATCTCAATTAAAAGTAAGTAATAAGCACCTGCCTGGCAAGCGTGAGATCATAAGTTTGACCCCCAGTACCCCCCCAAAAAACAGTAATGAATAAGTATCTCTCCAAAGATACACAAATTATCATAAGCAAATGAGAAGTTTTCAGTCCCATTGGTCATCACGAAATGCAAATTGAGACACAAGACACACATTCTGGGAAGGTACACACCCAGAAGATAAAACAAACGCTGCTCAAGATATAGAAAACCAAATCCACACACACATTTGTTGTTTGAGAATGAAAAATGGTGCAGCTGCTCTGGAAAACAGCTTGGAAGTAAGTTGCTCACATGGTTACCTAGAGCATCACTTCCTGATCCCAATAGTTCTGTTCCCACACATAAACCCGAGACACCAAACAGCTTGTGCTTCACCCCTTGGCAGCACACTCATCCCCAAGAAGCTGAGACAGCCATGGCTGGGCTGAGGGGAGGGTGAGGGGACCTCTAACAACAGCACCATCCGTGTATCTGAACATAAATATTTTTAAAAAATGGAAGAATGTCAAAATGGCATAGGTGCCAACAGGAAGGAGTTCAATAGTCATTATCTGTGATAATATACCTACAAAATAAATAATGATAGCAACTGAGTATGTAAAGTTTATCATTTTATAAGAATTTGAATACCTAACTAAATGGAAAAGAAGAAAACACTACATTTTACAATAGGATGCCAATTAATGCACATACAAGAAATGATGAAAATAAAATCACTATTTGGCAAAAGAAAAAAATAATAATAATGACTACTTCAAACAAGAGTCATCAATGTAAGCTAAAATTAGTGGGTAGAAGAAGGATGGAGACCGTTACTTGCAACATATAAAAATATACCTGAGTCAATAATTACCAAGGAAAATGTGCTTAGTTTAACGCTACTGAAACCAAATTATTAAACACTCAGTTTAACGCTACTGAAACCAAATTATTAAATACTCAGTAACAAGTCATGACTGAAAACATGGATTTCCTGAAATGATCACCTGAACATACAACACCTCTCTGATCTCATTAAAAACGCAAGCAATTAGACAAGAGAAAGAAATAAGAGAAACAAAGACAAGAAGGGAAGAAGTTATATTATCATTAGTTGGAAATGACATGCTACTCTACATAGAAGATCCCAAAACTCCACCAAAAGACTTCTAGATTTAATAACTCAAGTCAGTAACACAGCTGGATACAAAGTCACCTCCGAACAATCAAAGCCTTCCTGACACAAACTAACTCACTGAGAGAGAAACCAGGAAAACAACACTTTCCACAACAACATCAAAAAAAAAAAAAAAAAAAGAAGTGCCCAGGAATCAATCTAATGAAGGAAGTAAAAGATCTCTATGTTAAAAACTACAAAACTCTGAAAAAAGAAACTGAAGAAGATACCAGAAAATGGCAAGATATCCCTTGATCCTGGAAACAAAGAACCAATACAGTGAAAATGGCCAAACTTTCAAAATTGCTATACAGATGTAATACAATCCTGATCAAAAACCCCAACAGCATATTGCACAGAACTAAGAGAAAACAATCCTAAAATTCATTTGGAACCAGAAGAAACCTAGAATAACAAAAGCAATTCTGGGCAACAACAGTAAGCCAGGGAGCATCACAATCTTGTAACCTAAAATTATACTAAAAGCTACTGTGATAAAAACAACATGGTACTGACAAAAACAGACCCAAGGATCAATGGGATGGATTAAAAGACAGAAACAATTGCAAGCATACTCAGCCACTTCACTTTCACAAAGGTGCCAAACATCTTCACTGGAAGAAAGATAGCCTCTTTAATAAATGGTGCTGGTAAAACTGACTTTCCACATGCCCAACACAAAAACTAGACCCCTATCTTCTACATGCACTAAACTAAAATCAAAATAGAGCAAAGATCTAATATTAAAATAGAAACACTAAGCTGCTGGAAGAGAACTCTCAAGAGACACTGGTGTCACAAAAGACTTGAACAAAACCCTGAATGCACAGGAAATACTTCAAGGGATCAACAACTGCACTCTCATCTTATTAAAAAGCTTCTGTACAGCAAGAAAAATCACCAACACAGTGAAAAGACAACCCATAGTGTGGGAAAGTAATTTTGCCAGCTGTCCTCAGTCAAAAGACTGATATCTAGAATTTATAAAGAAAACAAAAGTCAGACCTCCCAAATTTGAAGTTGAATCCAAATTTGAATCCAAAACTGGGCATCTGAAATGAACACACACTTCTCAGACATCACTGGCCATTCAAGATACAAATCAAAACAACACTGAGATTCTATCTCCAGAAACAAGAGCTATTATTAAGAAATCAACTAATAACAAATGCAGAAAGGACTACGGGGAAAGAGGAACCTTCTCCACTGTTGGTGGGAGTGTAGACTGGTACAATCACTGTGGAAATCAGTGTGGAGAATCCTCAAAAAACTAAAACTAGAGGTACCACTCGACCCAGCTATCCATCCTCTCTTACTAATCCAAGAGTTCAAAGCATCACACAACAGTGACATATGCACATCCATGTTTAACAGTGGCACAGTTTGTAATAGCTAAATCTTGGAAACAACCCAAATGCCCATCAACCAATGAACAGATAAAGAAGACGTGGTTTTCATGCAGTAGAGTACTTCTCTATCATTTCTGGCTAAATAGATGCACCTTGAGACCATACTCTCAACTACAATAAATTGGATGTAAGTCCTGTTTCTCTGGTTTTGAGAAACCAAAAGTGTAAATAAGGACCAAAATGTATGCCAAAGATTGTGAAAATGTTCAAATGTAATGGGGAACTAGGAAGGGGAGATGGGAAAGGAAGGAAGGGGGAGAGAAAACATGGCAAGCTTTTTAAAAGTTTTTGTAAATGAGGAGGAGAAGAGGGGTTGCAGGGAGGGTAGGGGAGTGGGGGGGGGGTCAGGATGGGTCATGCACAGGTACACATTCCCCGAGATACACGTGATCATTATGTACACCTAAATACACAGTAAACTTAATTTTTAAAAAGCATAACCTAGATTTAATTAAAAGGAAACATCAGAGAAACCCAAACTAACCAAAGGAAATTGTACAAAATAACTGCCCAGTGTAAGTGTCAAGACCCTAAAAGCCAGTGGAAGACTGGATGACACACCGACTAAAGGAAACTAATACATGGCCATCAAATACAGCAAGCACAAGGACAGCAGTGGACTGACAGACCTATCTGCACAGAGCCCACCGATGAGATGGCAGTACATTATCAGTGAGAATCTGTGAATTAGCTGTGTAAGACCAAAACTGGCACATTCAGAAATTCTTCATACTATTTTGATAACATCTGTAAGTCTGACAATTTTAAAATAATTCTTTTTTTTTCTTGGTACCGGAATCAAACTCACGAAGTTGTGCTTGCCAGGCAGGCGCTTATGCCACTGAGCTAAATCCCCAGCCCCCTACGAACAGTTTTTTAGGTGAACAATTAAAAGTGGTAATAGAGGGGCTGGGGATTTAGCTCAGCGGCATAAGCGCCTGCCTTGCAAACGGGCAGTCATGAGTTTGATTCCCGGTACCGATAAAAAGGAAAAAGACCAAAAAAAAAAAAAAAAAAAAAAAGTAATAGAATAAAATGTTTTTTTGAACACTATGAATGCGAAACATCACTGAGAGGAAGATAAACTTAACTACTAATACACTGAACCTCTTTTAATATATCTAGTTTATAGTTATGACAGCTCTTTTAAGAATTCTAAAATTTTATGACCTCATTAAAATGTAAGCGCTAAACCCCAATTAATGTAAACATGTGCCACTACATGAGCTAAGACAAACAGTTTCAACAAGAATCAAAAGTGGGACAGGGAACCTGGAAGAGGAACGATGGGGGAGGGGAAAAGGGGCTTGAGGAAAAACAAGAAACACATTGTGATGTGTGCACAAAAGAATCCCCCAAGACAACTGTAAACTACATGAACAATAAGCATACAGGTGAACCTAAAGATTTCAAACATAAAATACAATGTAAGTGCTAGCTGTAGAAGAGCTTTCACTGATCTGTAAGATCTCTTACAACAGCCACAAGGAGCCATTAGCAGTAAAAGAACTGGCTGGCGGCCAGGGGGCTGGGTTACCCTCAAGTGCTTATCCTTCTAGATGTACATCTTTAAGCAAAATATTTAGAAGTCTCTGAGTCCTGTAAAATTTCAGCTATAAAATTAACGTTAAGAGTGAAATCAAATGAGCTGATACATATGAAGGTCTGAGATAAGAGTAAGACTTAAAAAGCTAGCTTTTACTTGTGCACTACATGTTTTATACCTGCAGTCTTCTCATACAGCCAGGCACTACTTACACATTGCTATGCTTAAAGGAAAATCTAAGAGTCATTAGTGGTTTTCAGTAGTGTAGCTAGCTGAAAATACTATTTCAACGAAATCCTTACTTTCATAGCAATCCTTATTTCCAAACTAAAGCCATACCACAGCTAAAGAGACAGGACAGGACGAACCAAAACATGAAGAAAAAGGGTGTGGCCCCCCGGCCCAGCAGGCAGTAGGAACAGTTAAGAAAAGACTAGCTTTCAGGAAAGGACAGACAATCCACAGAACTACCACCCAGGCTGGGTCAAGCAGACACATAAAAATCAAGCTCCCTTCTGTCCTTGAAGGAAAAACAAGGCAACTGAGTATGAAAAGCAAATGGACGCTGCAGGAAGAGTTCAAAGGAGGGTTATGTGAGAAATGGCAGCAGGCTACTAAGACAGCTTGCTAGTCAGGCTGTGATCCGAAAGTAAGATGAAGACAGACTGAGCACAGCTGCGACCCCAGCACTCTGGAGACTGTGGTAGAAAGATGGCAGGTTCAAGCTCAACCTGGGCAGCTTAGCGACTTACTGAGACCCTGCCTTGGACAAAGAATAATAAACAAGTGAGAGGCGGTGGCTCAGGTTAGGGTTAGGGTCACTGTCCTCACAAGTTAAGAGAGACACAAGTCACTCTGTTGTCTTCCCTTGGCAAAGTTCTGAGTTCCAATCACAGTACAGAGTACTATAATACTTAGAAAACATTTATGAAAGAATACAAGTGTGCTCTGTATTAGGTGCATCAATAAAATAAAGAAATGAAAAACAATACAAAGATAAAACATTTTCATTATTTAATAAATATATACCATTTTCAGGAATTGGTTCCATGTCCCATGGGCTAAGTTTTTCAATTTCAGTATTGTCCCACCTGTTTACAAAAACAGTAACAAAACTCTTGGTTAGCCCTTCATGAAAACAAACCACACATAAAAACAAGACATCTATTAGGAAAGAAAGTAAAGGCAATGAAATTATACAGCACTAAACATTTCAAAAGGATGCATTAATTTTTTTTGAAGTGTAAAAATGTATGTTACGACTGAGAACAAAATGAGAAGTACTGGGTAGCCTGTACCCAAAGTAAAAGGTGTTACAAAATGAATTGAGATTTTTGTTTTATTTTTTGCTTTCTGAGACAGCGTTTACCTACAGAGTTCAGGCTGGACTTAAACTCCCTTTGCAGCCCAAGCTGGCCTCGAACTTGCAGCAATCCTCCTGTCTTAGCCTCCTGAGGGCTGGAATTATAGGCCTGCACCACTACGCCTGGCTACTAAGTGAAATTTATATCACGGCCAAAGCTTTTTACTCTGTAGCCAATGAAAAAACAAAGGTTTTCTTGAAGATTAATGATATCATACCGATTCCTGAAAGATGACTGTGACAGTATCAAATCAAGACATATTAGGAGGCTATCAAAACAGACCCAAGCAGCAAGCAGCAGTTGAACCAACAGGAGAATCAGTGAATAGGAAGCTAGAAATTTCAGAATCAGCCTGACACGACTCCAGGACAGAAAAGTACCTTTAACCTGAAATGTACAGCCACTCAACCACCCACCACATAAAATCACTTACAAATGCTTGTACAAACCTCACAATGTAACACTGGAAGTGACTATCAGGGTACTGTGGCTGATAGGGCTCCTGACTTAACACTGTTCCAAACCACCAAGCATCATCAATAATAGATCGGAATCTGTCACCTGCAAGACAAAGAGTCAAGTTTGAGGAATCCATTTGCTAAGGTTTAGTAACACTTTTTAGCTATAAAATACATTTTGATAGAGGGGGAAAAATTCAAATATAGTATATTTAATCTTGAAATGAGTCATACTTCCACATACTCCAGCAAACTTCAGTGTTAAAATATATGTAACAAAGTTATACTCATCAACATACTAAAGACCAACAGCCATACAATATGTTAAAATATAAAATGGCTTATGAGGTTTTGTTATTTAGTAGAATTAAAAGTTCACTCCAAAATATTATGCTTTACAATGAATTCTTATGGAATACATAAAATTCCTGAAGAATAAAACAAAAATATAACAGTAATGATAGATGGTTAATTTCAAGTTGTTACTATATAAATAACGCCACATAAAATAATGTTCTAATTCTTTAAAAAAATCCAATAAAAAACAGGTCTGAAAGTACTCTCAAAAAAAATCTTTATTAGTATTTAAACAGATTTAAAGAGCACACACTTATTCTGCTGCCTTGGCATAATATAAAAGTAGGAATGTAGATCTTAGGAGGGTGCCTAGACAAATCAGTAAAAATTTAACTGACTTAAGTAGTTCTAGGACACAAATTTCTAAATGTATTTTCTAAGTGTACCTAGCTTCAACTACTAAATAAACTGCATTTCCTTTGTGTTTTACAAACATCATAAAAGACTTTTTAAAAATAACATGAGCCCATTTTTAAATTTTTGATCATGTAAGAATTTTAATTTCTTCTTTTTAATTTTCATTAGTACATATTGGTAGTACAGAAAAAGATAGGCTATTACTATAACTGCACCTTTTCCTTCCCATCCACTATAATGTTTTCAAAACAACAAAGAAAGTCACCTATCCAGCTACAGCCCACTCTGAAAATCTGCAACATTTTTCAAGTACTGTTAGCTCATTTTGACCTTTTGAGAGTAGGACTTTTAAAATACACTGTAAAAATAAAAACAAGCAACTTCCTCTAGCCACACTGCTCAGATTTCAGGCAAGAATGTTAGGATTTTATATTAGAACAAAGTGAATTAGATTTAGTATAAAAAGTGTGGCATAGTAATTTCTCAGTCACAAAAACAAATCAGAAACCATTAAATTACAAATGACAACTGGAAATCCATCTCTAGAATTTAGCTACAAGGAATTATGATTTAGATTATTTTATGTTTTAAACTATTGATAATATCTGAAAAACCAATAGTGGGGAAGCTTTAAAAGTCTTTGAGATTGAACTGCATGACTTGTTAATTCTCACACTATTCCACTGGGATTTGGTGGTTGTGTTTTTCAATAGCCATATGATTTTCTTCAGAAAAATTTCTTCTATTTCTAATTTTAGAATAATCCTGATTTTAACAGATACAGGTTTCTATTAAGAATAGCCTATTGGGGCTGGGGATTTAGCTCAGTGGCATAAGCGCCTGCCTTGCAAGCAGGCAGTCGTGAGTTCAATCCCCGGTACCGATAAAAAGGAAAAAGACAAAAAAAAAAAATTTTAAAAATAGCCTATTTTACACTTTTTTGTGTTTCAGAGACAGGGTCTTAACTATGTAATGCAGGCTGGCCTTGAACTCAAGGCAATCTTCCTGCCTCAGCCTCCCAAATGCCAGGATTAAGCCTCCCAAATGCTAGGATTAAGGCATTAAAATAGCTATGAATAGTCTATTTTAAAGAGCAACCTTATCTATAATTTACCTAACCACAGCCTACAGAAAAATGCATCAAATACTAGATAAACTAATGAAACCCTAACATCATTTATGAGTGTGAACACCAGGTGACAAAGACTGGCTGAAACTTAAAACCCTGATTCAGGAACCTAGTTCTTTCCACAATTCTGTTTCCAGAATTATTTCCACAATTTCTGGTTGAAATGAATTCTGTGACCAGAATTGTGGAAAGAATAAAGTTTGTGAACCGAGGCACCACCATATTTCATAACATAAGCTCTCCTGGATGAGGTTCCCCCTCCCCACAAGGGCTCCCCAGTATACTCCACACTGGACAGTGACGGGCACACGCCTGCACAGCAGGCCTGGGGTTGCTGGCTCACAAAGCCTAGGTCAGCTGGCACACTCATCAGCCAGACCTTGTGTAAGTAATGGCTGCTCCAGTATCAACACAAAAACTGTTAACACCAAGCTCAAGTCATTTAGGATCTATGCAGAGGTCAGTTCTTTTTCTACCAACCCATATGTCACAAGGTTATAAAGCATAAGTGTATATGAAGTTTTATTTTTCAAAAGACTGGTTTCCAAGTCATTCCATTCAATTTTGGGTTGTTTCATCAAGGTGAAATACTTAGGGACACCAGAACATTTTCAGTGTGAAATCTGAAATGACTTTTAACTTTCTGATCATTTTAGATCGTAGGAAAATAGTGTAAGTTACACCATTGTTACATTAATGATGATTATATATAATGTAATCAGAGATGGGGGAATCAAAGGTTATATGATATTATATATGAGTCTACTCTAGCCTACCTCAACAGGTAAAAATAATCTTTTTCAGATGACATAACCCATTAAGGACAGAAGAATAACTGTTTGGTTAAAAAGTCTACACAGACTTAGTTCCAATTAGTAACAAACGCTAAGCAAAACATACCTGTAGGTCACTTATGTTTCCTTCAAAAGTTCACACATTATAAACACCATAATTAAGAGAACTATAGTCAAAGAGAGCTCAGTAAAGTGAGAAACTAATTTTTAAGGCTACATATAAAATTCATTAAGGATAGACTTACAAGACTGCCAATTTCTCTGTCTTGCTTCATCATAAAACTGACGCAATACAAGAAAGTCAATAACATCTGGCATATCGTGGTATCTAAACAAATAAAAAATTATTACAGTGCTTGCAGAACAGGCAATATTATCCAAAAGAAATACAACAGAAGATACACATATAAAATTTAAAATTTTTGAAGTCATACTTCAAAAACATAAAAAGAAAGTAATGTATTATACTTAACCAAATATGCTTTAAATACTACTTCAATACATGAAGAGTTCTTTTTATTTTTCAGTCTTTTTCTTCATCACAAGCCTTCAGGATGGAGTATGCATACTTCCTACTCACTCAGTCCCAATCAGCCGCATTCTGACACTCAGCAGCCTCATGGACTAGGGGTTACCACAAGGGACATCCACAGATGTAACACAACACACTGTTTATTACCAAATTCTGTCTAAAATAATGGCAAAAACAACAGCCCTCACTAGTCCAAATTCGCTGCCCAGGAAAGTGGCATGGAAAACCATCCTAATCGGGTTGTCCCTGTCTATCGCTTGACAGGTCTAGAGTTCTGTTCACCCAAAGCACGATCTCCATCTAAGCTATCCACAGAGGGCACTGCTAGGTATCCCGCCACTAGCAGGGAAGGGCATGCTGATCAGTAAGATGAAAACCCTATGTTTAAATAATCACATTAAAAATAATACATACCTAATAGAGAAGGATTTATCCGTTAGTCTTCCAGTCGCAGGATCTATAAATGCTAGTTTAAGGCAACAGAGTGTTGGGGGTCCAACTTCATACCGTATTCCAACTATTTTGACCAATTCTTGATCCTTAAACAGACAAAGAGTTCCTCAATACTGTAATTCTCCACTTACTGCCTAACCAAAGCAAACTCATAATTTAGGCTTCCACATCAGCAAACAAGTCTAACTTGTCAGTAATTACATCATTTTGCTAATCTTCACAATGACAACAGAATCTTTATAGCGTTTCTAATGTAACATACTCACTTTTTAAAGTATACTTACTTTAGAAAATATACAAAATATAAGAATGAAAACCTAAGCTATCAATCACTCACTATCTAAATACAACCACTACTGACAGTCTGACATACTTCCTTGTTGCCTTCCTCTCTTTATACACATTTTTATTTACATAATTTTACATTATGCAACCAAAGTGCATACACATTTTTGCTTGTTCATAAATATCCAAGGAGACAGACTGTGGAAGAAGCTGGTCACGGTGTAGCCAGGTGCGGCTAAGCTGCTTCTCCCCGGTGGTGACTGTGTCTTCACTGCCCTGACCCTTGGCCTGAAACAGTCCTCACATGGGGAAGTCTCAGCAGATACTACTTCTTAAATGTATTAAGAGGAAAGTTAATACCAACTTGTTGAAGAATATTTATGAACCTTTATCTCTGAAAATATAGAATAATCAACTCAAAACAGATTCAAGACTTAAATGAAGACCTGAATCTATGCAAACACGGGAAAAAACCTAAAGATAATGCTTCAGGACGTAAGAAAATGCAGTCCTTGAGAGCAAATTCCAAAAGCACAACAAAACACAAACAGATCAAACAATTCAGCAGCAATAAAACAATCCAATTTAAAAATAGGCAACAGAACAGGCATTTCTCAGATACAAAAAGGCCCAGAGGTATGTGGAAAAACATTCAGCACCACTGTCAGAGAAATGCAAACCACCACAGCAGTGGGAGGTCACCTCATCCCAAGAAGAAGGTCTATTGGCAAAAACAGAGACAATGACAAGGGCTGACACAGATGCAAAGAAAGGGGAATTTTCACATACTGTCATGAGAACGTTAGTGTAGCCACCATGGAAACAAGACAGCAGTTCCCATCACAAGTAAAAACTTCCTAATACAGGAACCCATCATCCCTGCCCTGGGTATGTATCAAAGGAAATGGAGTCACAGCAAAGAGACATCCTGCACCCTCATGATTTTGTGGCAATATTCACTGTGGCCTAGAAATTTTAAAACTGTATCAACTGACAGGATAAAGAAAACCTCAGTGACACTGTATCTTAACCTCAGGAAGCTGAGGCAGGCCAATCTCAATTTCTGGACCAGCCCGGGCTACAAAGCAAATTCAAAGAGAGTCTGTACTCTGTCTCCCAACATTAATAAACAATTTTTTAAATAACCACAAGGCTAAGTGTCATTTGCAACAGTATGTACAGAACTACATGTCATTATGTTAAGTGAAATAAGCCAGGCAAGGTAATGTGCATCACCTCACTCCTGTGGAATCCGCTCAAAAGTTCCGCTCAAAAGTCCGGCTCGTGAGTGCAGAGCACAACAGTAGCTGGCCAAGGCAGAGGAAAGCAAGTGGGAGCAGGGATGGGCAAAGGGGGGTCAGCCAGCAACACTGGGTCACACAGGAAAATTAAAGTCTAGTTCCAACTGCACAGCAGGTTGATAACAACAAACTTCCAAAACAAGTTGTTTAAAAAGCTAGAAAAAATGTTTTAACTGTTTTTCCCCCCAAACATGATACATGTTTGATGAGAGGTTACAATTATCCTAGTTTCAACGGCACACAACATATGTATTAAAATATATCCCATAAAAACATATTCTACATGTGGATCTTTTAAAATGGGGAAAAACACTGCATAGAATTATTATACCAAAATACTAGATATGGTCCATTCTCATTTGCAGTAGTTATATTTATAAAGTTGCCTTGAAAACTGACTTAGAACAGTAGATCAGAGTCCCCACAGGGAAGCCAGAGTTAGGCTCCTGTGAGACCTAGGACACAGTGGTCAGCAAACTGGTCATCTGTAATTCTTTTAGTGTCCCTACTTCATAGCATGTAACACGGAAGACAAGCTTCCTCACTAGCATGAGCCATGCTGACAGCACTGGGACGCTTACCTAATCAGGCAGGCTGCCTTTCACTACGGCCTCTGAGGACACTAAGACAGCACCTCAATACCTGCATGGAGGTTACCATATCCAGCACAATCTCCAACGTGGGGAAAAGGAAAGAAAAGGACAGCAAGGAAAAAAAGTCACAACTATGAGAAACACAGCACTAAACATAGGCCTTGAGCCATATATGCGGTTGCCAAGTAATAATGGAGACAGGAAGGAGGCAGGGGGCTGGCTCAGCTTAGTCACCAAGAGGAATCCGTCAGGCAACCCAGACTCCCTGCTCTTCCGCACATGTCCAAGACTGACGAGAAGCCCGGTATGCACAGATTCTGGGGTTCTAACTAATTCACAGCAAGTGTGCCATTTGCAAAAAAATCTATGAATAACAAGGACTGACTATACTTCGACAGCTCAGTGATGAATGAAATGTATATAAAGTCAAATTCAAACACAGCCAGGAAGCACAAGTCTAAAGAACAGCTATCTCTCTTAAGATCATTTCTTGCATGTTCTACGCTAATAAAAGTATTATAATACATAAAAGTGTAAAAAACTCCTCATCTATTAGTCTAGAGGTAATCACCACTGACATTTTGATGCTTATCTTTTGGTTACAAACACACTCAATGACAAAAGCTTGCCATCATAACCACAACAGAATTTCACATTCCTATCTACCTGTTGGTGGTACATTAAGAAAATATATCCAATATTCACTCACAAGTACTGCACAAATCTCAGCTACAAAGTGGACTTTACATAGCAGCTGATGTGCATTCGCACATCACTTCATTCACTCACTGTACGACACTTGGGGGGTAGCCTCCCAATGTTTTTTGTTTTGTTTTATCAATAGACAGAATTGGGGGCTGCAGATTTAGCTCAGTGCCATAAATGCGCAGCAAGCATGAGGTCATAAGTTTGATCCCTGGCACACACAAAAAAACAAACCAACAACAACAACAAAAAAAAAACAATAGAACTGCCCTCTTCACAAATGTGCAAGTATTTCTACTTGTCTTTTCCACAAAAGTAAAAACATTGCCTGAAAAGATTTAAGAATTTTTCAAGTTCAATTCCTGTTGCTAAAAGCCTCTAAATACCTGGATACTCCACATACCCTATCAGCAATTTCAATAACTGCTAAGATGTTCTTTATTACTGCAAGAAAAATTACACACCTGATTAAGTTTTGGAAAGATAATTTTTATGCATGACATTAAATTTCTTTCCAACTTTTAATTCTTCTTTTAAAACTTGCATTTTTTTTCTTTTGAAAGTGTCCTGAATACAAATCTTTTTAAGGTTAGTAATATGGACTGCCACACAGCCCAATCCCAGCAACTCTACAGAGTGGCATTAATCTGCACCCACCCACCAGCAACCCACAAACTCCACCTAGCACTCTGACCATCTCACATCTTACGACTTGGCAGCTAAGTGTGACCAAAGGGTTAGCCACACTTCCACCAGGCCTTTTAGTGGGTTTACAGCTAACTGAACTATGCACTGTGCTCTACCCGAGTGACTCCGCAGTGCCATGAGCCTACCCTAAGATCCATTTTCCTCCACGGCTCCTTGTTGGGGTTCAGCTCATAAATATTACTTCTTCTGACAGCTTCAATATAAGCTTCGTGGCCCTGTCGGAAATAGATGACCTACAAAAGAGTAATACACGTTTTTGAAATAGTTCACATCAGTGTCAATGGTGTTTTGTGCTCTCTGTCTTCACAGTTTATCATTCTCACCTCATCACCCATTTGAGGAACGAAGGGAGATTTTCGAAGTGTGGTGTCTGTTATCCACACTGGGGGATGAAACTCATATAAATGTTCCACGTTTTCAAGCTCTGCTGGAGTTATCCTCCGCAAATTCTGCTAAGGAGAAGAGAACACAGCTTGGTAGAAGACAATGAGGCGATATGCACATTTGAAAAACAAGAGAAACGTCAGCATTGAGAACGACTGACTGCTTTTTGGCATAAGCACCTAGTGATCACATTTTAGAATCAGCTCTCGTGTTCAGCTGCTGCAGACAGGCGCGGGGCAGCAGTGCTCCAAGCCCTGGATGGAAACCGTCCTAGCGCTGCGCGCGTACGGCCCCAGATGTCTACGGACATCTCTCGCACATCCACTTTGCAGTGCTGATCTTCAACCTCCATCTTTTCCCACCCACAGCTTGTTCCACCAAGGTTCCACTGTGAACCGACCACAGACTCGTACCCCAAGCTATCTCGGCCCTACTTGAGGCTTTAAGCATTGAGTATTTGATATCCTTCCCTTCCCCTTCTACTAGTGCAGATGACGTCAACTCCACAGTGCGGCCTGGACCTAGTGACTCACTCCTAACACATGAGAAAGCAGAAGTGACAATGGCACCTGCTGAGCGCAGGCCCTCAGAGATATCCAGGCCCACTCCGTCAGGCCACTCACTACCAGGTTACTAGCACATGGAGGAGCCAGCTCTTAGGAGAGACACCGGTGGCCCAAAACTGAGGCTGAAGCCAAAAGTCACACAATGAGCTTGCCACATCAACTAACCAGAAACTGCTGGGACACTGAAGCCACATAGCCCATCTGCCCGCCCGCCCTCCATCCCTCTCAAAACAAGGTGACTTTTTGTATTTGACTCCTGCTGACACAGCACGGGCAGTGCAGGTCAGAGGGGAGCATGCCCTTGGCATGGTCATGGGCTCCATCTCCAGCACCACAAGCAAGCACAGAACAGAAAAAGGAAAAGAGGAAGGGGAACGAAAGGGAGCAGAAAGGAGAAAGCAAAAGGGGAGGGCAGGCAGGCTACACCTCTATAAATAAAGCGTACATACATTTTTGCCTGTCTGTTTTTGGGAGTTAGGGTCTCAGTATGTAGTCCAGATTGGCCCCGAACTCACTATGTAGCCTAGGCTGACCTTGAACTGGCAGTGATAGTCCTGCCTCAGCCTCTCAAGTAATGAAATTACAGCTGTGCACCACCACGACTGGCAATACACGTTACTTTTAAAGATGCACCTTTTTCTTACCTCTTTTTTAGGCTTACTTTCTTTCTTTCTCTTACGTCTTCTTTTTGGAGGAGATAAATTCTCAGTAGACATTTCATCCTCTGAACTACTACAAAATCGGGTAATTCGTCGACGACATGACATTCTCAAAGGAGGTTGTAAATTGATGCCTGCATCAGCCGTCCAATCAGAGTACTGAGATGAGGAGGAGTCACTGGAAGAGAAAAAATTTTAAGTTAATTTTAAGACTTAAGTTTTAAGTTGTGTGGGACCAGAAGCTAACACAAAACAGCAAATTAATCATACAACCCTGAGAGGAAAGAGAGGAGCAGAGAAGAAAGTAGAATGCCCATAGATTTAACTTAACATCCTCCCCACCTGCCAAAGACTGAAATGACCAAAGATCATGTCATGAGCAGAAAGACAGAAACCTTTGCTGACACTGTAAATGAGACATGAATATGAACCAGAGCAATCTGTTTCAAAAGTCACTACAGATGAGAGCCAATGCGAGACAGTATCTGAACCCAACTGACCAACCCCTTCAGAAAACAAAGGGTAAAGCTCCAGCACAGCAGACATCACACAAAAGCCTAATAGAAGCCACAGCCAGTGCAGGCTGCACCTGAAAGGCAGAACAGGAATTGTATGTGAATTACAGTTGGAAGTGGAGATTCGTACCAATAAAGAGCCATATTAGGTCAGACAAGACAAGAAATCCAAGCATAGAGCTCATAATCATAGCCACATCCTGGAAGCAGAATCAAAGAAGAAACTAGAAATAGAGAACTAGCTCCTGGCCCACCACCCACTTCCCCAGACACAGACAAGGATAAGGAGGGTCTCCACTGGGACAGCTCTTTAGCCTGGCTCCAACCTCATACCCCTCGTTCTCTATAAAAACAAATACGCAAAAACACATTTCTAAAAACTACAAGTTATTATAAAAACAGCTACTTATAAATCTTGTAAGAAACCAGGTATGATGGTATACACCTATCATCCCAGTACTTTGGAAGGGTAAGGCAGAAAGATCACAGTTTGAGCCTAGTCTGGGTAACCCTGTCTCAAAATAAAAACTAAGGGCTGGGGATGTACTTCAGAGCAATAATCCTGATTTACATTTCCAGTACCAAAAGCAAAACCCCTATAAGAACATCTGCTTTACATACAGAATCAAGAAAAGACAAAATGAAAAGTAATACAGAGTAATACAATAGCGGCTGTCAAGCACTAAGGACAGTTGAGAGGAATTGGTACGTCACCATTGTACAGTTTCAGTTCTGCAAGATACGCAGGGCTCTGAAGACTGATTGCAAAACAACATGAATGCCCGCAACACTAATGACCTACACAGTTGAAATGGGTAAGATGCTTAATGTTATATGTTTCATCACAATTAAATTTTTTAAAAAATGAATACACCTATCTTTGTTCTAATATACTGCTCTAGTTCCTCATCACAACAGAGCAGAAGGTAACAGAAGGAAAGCGGAGAGTACACATGACTGTGGTTTGGACCAGGAGAATGTCAATGAAAACCACCACCATATGAGATGGTCTAACAATCTAAGATGACCTAATTTTCTAGACATGATTATGGACAGGCTGAACAGAAAACAAGAGACCATAATAATGTTCACTTTCTGTCATGAGCCAGCAAGTGACGTTTACCAAGATAAGAAGCAGAGGCTGGCATCCTGACCCCATGAAACGTGGATACCATAAAGCAAAGGGAACGCGTGTGATAGCTCTAGTACTCCAGCGGCTGCAGCACACTGGACACTCCTCATATTCCTCTTTTGGATACCTTCTTTTTTTTTTTTGCTACCAGGATCAAACTCATAATCTTGTTCTTACCAGGTAAGCACTTACGCCGCTGCACTAAATTCCCAGCCCTCATATTCCTCTTTTTAATGTAGCCTAAGACCAAATTAATAATACTGTCAAGTCAAATAGTGATAGCCAACAAAGAATCCACAGGAATATATCTATTGGAACAGCAATTAATGCAGTACACACACACAAACACACACACACACACACACACACACACACACACCCCACACCCCACACCCCCCCATACACCTCTAAAAGCTAGTGGAGATCCCACCAAGGAGACTGTACCACTGAGCCATACTGTTAATTCTTTTTCTTGGGCCACAAGCATAGCTCAGCAGCACAGCGCCTGCCTGGCAGGTGCGATGTTGCAAGTCTGATTCCCAGTACCAAAAATAAAATAAAATTTAATTTAATTTAATTTAAAAAAATAAATCTTTTTTTTGAGACAAGGTACATTTAACTGCTCAGGCTAGCCTCAAACGTTGCGTCCTCACCCAGCAAAAAGCTACCTGTAACCACCTTTTTAACAGTGCTGAGACTCAAAACCCAGGACCTCATGGATGCAAAGCAAGCACTCTCCCACTGAGCTACATCCCAAGGCCTTCCTCTCCTTTCACATATATTTAAAAACTAAGTGTTGATTTATTTCACACTTCCAAACTCTTGGATTATTGTTATTCAAATACAGTTTATCCAAAGCTATGACTAAAATGCCTCAAAGAGCAAAACAGAAACATACCTTGAGCTTTCACTGTAACTTTCACTTTTTCTATCACTTTTCCATTCATCATCTTCAGAAGAACAAGAACCTTCACTTTGGTCACAGGATGTCTCCTGATTTGTGGAGGGAAAAAAAAATCTTGATCCCATAAACTCAGTAACACGTTTAAAAAAAAAAAAAAAGGAAAAATCCAAGCATAAACATCTTTAAAATACTAAAATTAAGAAATAACTAGTTGACAAAATACAATCAGATAAACTTAAAAGGCAAACTTCTTTACTATATCCATATCTTACCCAGGCTACACCACAGTAGGAATTTAACACTGTCCTTAGGAAAGGTAATGATACAGAAGGTCATTCTCTGGGCGACATTAATACAAGTCAATGCAGATATTCTCAAGAGTTCTGGACTGCAGCTATTCTAACAAATGTGTAGTGGTTTCTGTTGTTTCACTTTTCAATTCCCTACAGCTTATACTGGCGACTCCTTTCTCACAAGTTCTTTGCAATATTACATTTACAACTTTTTTGATGAGTTGTCCATTTAGATATCTTTTCCATGTTAAAACTGGGCTGTTTCCTTATTGCTGTTTTTATATTTTTAATACAAAGTCTTTTATCTAAAAGTCATTAATATATGCAAAACACACAGATCTTACAGCTTAGTTACCACCTAGAAGTTACCCAGTTGCACTGTAAATTTATATTGTTTCCAAATCATCTGGAGTTACTGTTTATGAAGGTTGGTGTGGAGATTGGTTTGCTTTTTTTAATTTTAAAAAGCAAAACATAAAAAAAAGATTGACATGATACTGAATTTCAAAAAAGAAACAAAAAAAAGTAGGAAATTAACAGCAGTTAATATATTGCACACTGTTATCTCAGAACTGCTTGTTCAGGTTACAAAATCTAGATACAAAAATGTTCAATCAAAATATGACAGCACAAATTGTTCTTTTTGATGTACTAAGAGATTTGTAGTATAGCTATATCTACTGTACACATACATACATAAATTTACATATGTTTACCAACACACATATGATCTTTTCCTTTCTTCCTTTTTCCTTTCCCCTATCCCAGTAGTTCTGTCCTTTTGAATACAGAGATTGGTTTCTCTGAAAGCAGATACCCAATAATGCCCAGATTGGTCACAAAGACTAGGCTTTGTCAAGAGTTATCTTTGCTACTTTGCCAACGTTCACTTGGGTACATTTGTGCTGATCTGTTTCTGGATTTTGTAACTTGTTTCACTGATCTATTTATCTATTTTTTCATCAAAATCACTGTCTCAAAAACTGCAGATTTTTAGTAACTACTAATGCCAGTTAGTGTTGAGTCCATTTACTTTGTTCTTCAGTGTTATGTAAGTTATTCTGGGTCTTTTTCTTCTACAAACAGTCTAAAAATAACTTTGGAAATCCACAAAAATAACTTGCTGGGATTTAAATCAGGACTTCTGATGCTGTAAAGAACTGACATCTTAACAAGAATGTGGGTCAACATGAACACTGGTGATGGCCACTGGAAATGAAAATGAGACAGCACTTTAGAGGACAATCTGGCAATTTCCTTCAAACTTAAACAGAGGCTTATCACAGGATCCAGTGATCACAGTCTTCAATATATACCCAAAAGAGCTGCAAGATTATATCCATACAAAAGTCAGGACACAGATGTTTACCAACTTTATTCTTAACTGCCAAAATGGGAAGCAACCAAGGTATCTTTTATTAGGTAAAGGGAAGAACTGCTACATCCAGGCAATTCAACAGTAAAACGTGCTACCAAGAAACCAGCTATGAAGCTATGAAGACATCAAAGACACAGAAATGCACATTACTAAATGGAAGAGTCTGTCTGAAAAGACTACGTGTTGTATCATCCCAGCCACATGACATTCAGAAAATGCCATTGAGAAAGTAAGAAGATCTGTAATCTTCAGAGAATGAGAGCAGACAGGAACAAATGGGTGGAGCACAGAGCACAGCAGGGGCTGGGAAACTACTCCCCATGGTCCCATCGTGGTGAACACGTCACATACCTCTGTCCAGACTACAGGCTGCACAGGGGGGCACGGATACAGTACATACAGGCGATAGTGATCAGCAGGACAAGGTTCCCTAATGCCAACAGATGCCCCATTCTAGCACAGCCCGGCCCCAGCAGGGGACTGATGTGGAGGGCGGAACATAAAGAGGATTCTCTGTACCTGAAGTTCCGTTTGACTATGGAACTATATACTAATTACCAGGACTGGGAAGCAATTAAGATGCCCTCTCTAGGTAAATGCATGAACAAACTGCACTACATCCATGGAATGGAATATTATGCAGTGATAACAAGTAAGTTACCACCCTACAAAAAGACATGGAAGAACTTTAAATTCATATTTCTCCATGAGAAGGCCATCTGGAAAGATCACACACTGTATTCTAACTAGGACATTTCTGGCAAGTAAAAACTGCAGTGTCCTGTCACCAGTTTGAGACAGGCCTGTCACCAGTTTGAGGCCAGTGTGTGCTCACAGCAAGACCCTGTCTATAAAATAGCACAGTTAGCAGACACCCAGAGGGATAAAGGGATAGAGAAGGGTAGCAGTGAGCATTTTTAAGGCAGTGAAAGTATTCACACACTTCAACTCCAACACCCAGAAGAGGCCGAGGCAGAGCGTCTTAAGTCCAAGGCTGGCCTGAACTACTTAGCGAGACTATATAGCAAAAACATTTTTTTAAGTAATTTAACATCTTGACAAAACTCACAAGACCAAACAATACCAAAAGTGACCCCTAACACAAACTATGGAACTCAGTTAATATTAATGTTACTGACATGGCTTACCAGCCACAGCAAACGCACCACACTAACTCCAGTTGTCAGCAATGGGGAAGCTGTGCACAGGAATTGTACTTTATACTTTTCAAGCAATTTGCATGGAACCTAGAATTACTTCAGAACTACTTTTGATAGTAGGAAGAAGAGAACAGCCCATCAGGCATAGTGGCACATGCCTGTCATCCAAGCACTTTAGAGGTTGAGACAGGCCTGTCACCAGTTTGAGGTCAGTGTGGGCTCACAGCAAGACCCTGTCTAAAAGAAAGGAAAAAAAAAAGAAGAAAAGAAAATTAATAATAAATATATATGCATGCCAGATTATCTTTACCCTGGAGATAAGGACAAGCAGATTTGATCGGAATTCTACATATGCTAGAACTGCACAAGTAGTATTTTATGGGAAGTACTTTAAGGAGATAGGTTTTTCTCCTTATGAACAGGAAGTACAAAAAGAAAAGGCTTAAACTCCATGGTTCCAGATCAAACTTGGAGTAGTCAAGGTGAAGTGATAGTAACAGGCACAGACAGCAGGGATAAATGTGCATGCATAGGGTATGTTTCACACTGTGTGCTTACTACACTACCCTCTCAAGAGTCACTGTGGTGGGACCTGCTGTGACAGAGGCATGGGCACACAGAGGCTAAGAAAGGTGCCTATGAACAGGAACGTGCGTGCTAACCCATAGTTAACCACCAACCCACTGCCTTACAAGGGAAGAAGAAAGTGAGCTATTCAGCCACACAGAGCAATTCACTCCTCAAAATGTTACTGAGTCAGAAAGTACTAACATTCTCATGTTCAATATTAACTATTTCCAAAAATACTGGTTTCCCAAAATGAAGATCAGTATCTTACGATCATTAAAAGTCAAGTGAACAAGGAACACAAAGACTTCTTAGTAACAAGAGTAAAAGTATAAATGACAAAAAAACCCCAAAAACTAGATTTTACTTCATCAAAATTTAAACTTTTAGGCTCAGGACACTATCAAAAAAGTCAAAAGATTACCCACAGAATGGCAGAAAATACTTGTAAGCCATGTATAAGATCAAGGACTTATACCTAGAATAAAGAACTCTGTTACAATAAACAGACAAAAATCCAAATTCAGTATTGGACTATAGATTTGAATAGATATTTCTCCAAAAATAGACGAATATTAAATAAGCACATGAAAATATGTTCAACACTATTAAGCATTACAGAAACACAAATTGAAACCACAAAATGGCCTTTGGCACTCCCTCGGACAGTGATGATGAAACTTTTAGAGCTTTTACTGACACAAACACCCTGCTGCAGCAAGCATGCCATGGTTTTCCACCACTGCACTATGGTAACAGCTTAAATAAAAAGGACAGGAAACTGTGAGGGCATCACGTGCTCATAGGTGGAGGCAACTGAATTATCCCAGACTGGCTTAGCACAGTTCTAGGTGTGGATGATGGAGTAGCCGAACAGTGTAGCCCCACCCTGGATGTGGCTGGCAGCAAAGCAAAAGGCTTCAGCCTGGATGGAATAAAAAAAGAAGGAAAGTTTGGGGCTGCCCACCTGCCTGCTATGAACTGTTTTCCTCGGCGATACCCCTCTGCCATGCCGCCCTGCTTTGGATCTGGCTGGTTATAGACTGAAACCTCTACAGACTGGGAACCAAAATAAAATTCACCTTCTTTAACTTGTGGGTGTCAGGTATTTTGTCCCAGCAAGGAAAAAGTAACTAAGACAATAACAAATGTGAGGATGAGGAGAAACTGAAACATTGTTGGTGGAAATGCACAATACAGCCTCTTTGGAAAGTTTGGCTAGCTGATCCTCCAAAGTCCAACAGAGTTGCCATGGAAGAGCCATGGAAGAGAGTATGTGTATATATATGTACACAAACACACACACACACACACACTTGAACATCAATGTTGGTAAGTAGCATTATTTATAACAGCCTAAAAATAGAATACAAATAAAACCTCAACTGATAAATGGATAAACACGTGTGATAAATTTCCATGCAATTAAACACCAGCAGGAGAAAAGCACTGATGAATGCTACATACAGCCTTTAAAACATAATGCTACATAAGAGAAATCAGTCACAAAAGTGATCTGATTTCCTTTGTATCGTCTAGAATAAGCAGATGTTCAGAAAGAAGACTACGGGTGCTAAGGGTTTGGGGAGACGGAGGAAATGGGAAATGACTATAAAGTGTACAGGGTTTCTTTGGGGGTGATAAGAACATTTAACAATTAAATACTGATGATGATGATACAATTCTGTCATACCCTGAAACCACTAGATTACGCATGTGGTGTGTAAGTAGCTCAACAAAGTTGTCTCAATAAATTGGAGATGTGAGGGCCAGGGATTTAGTTCATTGGATCCCTAGTACCAAAAAAAAAAAAAAAAAAAACTGGTGATGTGGCAACCTGTGTCCCAAGTCCCGGCTACTCGAGAAAACTGAGGCAGGAGGATCACATAAGGCCAGGCTAAGCAATACAGCAAGCCCTCACTCCCACTCTCAAACCTCCATCGTGAAATTTCATTTCAATTTTAGGGAAATACTTTATTTTCACATAAATTTGGGACAGATTCAAAGAATTATGACAAATCCACCTAGGATTCCTTTCTTTTTTACAGTTACTCCACGTACCTGTCTTACAGAACATGAAGACTCATTTCCAGAAGATAACACACGACGGCCAGCACTCCTCCTCTGGTAAGCTGGGTATTTACGTCTACATGGCCTCTGCCTAGACTGTGACACCAACGCCATTGAATCCAACTGAAACACAAACGTGGATACATTCAACACTCAAATAAGAACGACAGCAATGAAACGGGCATTCTATTAAGTTTTCTGCTCCATGCTGTTAATCTGAGTTTAGTACTTCTACTTTTTTGGAAGCCCGAGACAAAGAGTTTCACTATGCTGCCCTGGTGGCATGAACCATACTGCTGCTTCAGTTTCCTGAGGGATGGGATTCTAAGTGTGAGCCACCACACTCTAGCTGATATTTCCACTTACAGTGTCTTTGAAAGACATGGGAAAAGCCACCCTGGCTCAGCATTTGTGAAAAGCATATTCTAAGTTAACCAGGTTACTGTGAGTAGGGTAAAGTAACAATAACTCAAAAAGAAAGTCACTTTAAAAAATATTAACTCTAGGGCTGGGGATTTAGCTCAGCGGCATCAGCACCTGCCTGGCATGCATGAGGTCATGAGTTCGATCCCTGGTACCACTTTTAAAAAAAAGAATAAAAAAATATATATATTAACTCTGGGGGCACGGAGTTTAGCTTAGTGGCACAAATGCCTGCCTGGCAAGCACAAGATCTTGAGTTTGATCCCTAGTTTTAAAAAAAAAAAAATTTAACTCTTAGGCCAGGTGTGGTAGCCACAACCCCTGTATCCCCAGAACTCAGGAGGCTGAGGCAAGGGCATCATTTCAAGTTTGAGGCCAGCCTAGGCTATATACACAATGAGTCCAAGTCCAGCCTGGAGTACATAGCAAGACGTTGTCTCAACACAAACAAGAAAGTAACTCTCCGAAGGGAAAAATGAATTTATATCCAGGACTAGGACACAGTATATGACCTTTATGAATGCACCACTAGCTACATCCAACAGTACACATCACTATCTGAAACAGTCCTCAACAACCATGATCATTTTCCTATTTCGAGTCTTTGGACGAACTGATAATAGTACTTTTCAATTCTGATGGTATTACTTATGTACATTTTTATCAAAACAGAATCATCTTGCAAAATCAGCCAAAGAAAATTACTGATTTTAATATTTTATGAAGAACTGCACTCCTCTCACTGGGACAAAAAAGACTTCCTACACTTTAAATCAGTAACATTTTAACATTATACCAAAAAAAGATGGGAGAAAAAAAAAAAGAGTGTAAAAATTAAGAAGAACTAACATAAATAGAAATTGACCCAAAAAGAAGTAAGATTTTAAAATAATAAAATTACCAGACCCCTGTTTTTAAAATAACCATGAAGAGCCAGGGATTTAGCTCATCGGCACAAGCACCTGCCTGGCGAGATCATGAGTTCAACCCCCAGTACCAAAAGTAACTAAATAAAATAAGTAGGAATAAAAATTTTAGCAGAAAACTGAGAACTGTTACACAAGGACCAAATGGAAACTCAGAAATAAAAAATATAGTAACTAAAATTAAAAATTCAATAGGTTTAACAGCAGATTATGTACAATTAAAAACAACGTACTGGAATATAGGTCAGGAAAAAAATCTGTTCACAGGAAAAGCAGCAAAGGAAACAAAAAGGAATCAACAGAAAGCATTTAATATACATTTAAGAGAAAAGGTAAAGAAAGTAAAAGATGGGAACATATGTAGTACTATGGGCCTACTGATCAAAGGAAGCTAGCACAGTTCCTTTGCAGCAGAAAATGCCCCCGCCCCCAGTCGGTACACTTCAATGTCTTAGTTATCCAGGGGACAGTGTCAGTAGCAGTTCCAGAGGCCTCTATTTCTTAGACACAGCTGGTCACTGTGATGCACAGCTGGTCACTATGGTGCACACTGTATAAACTAAACCCCTACTGACAAGCCATCCTGCCTTTGTACTTTCTTCCTCATCCAATATAAGCCTCAGACCACCAGAGATTAGGGCCTGGTATTTTGAGAATGATTTTTATCAATGCCTCTCAATGTAAATAAATTTGCCTCCAGATCCTGAGTGTCTCCTTGGTGTTTCTGTTTGCTGCAGCATTTGGTGCACTGGCCAGGAGGACTGACTGTGCTGACCTCTTCGGCCACTTGTCAAGGCCCTCATAGATGTAACAGGTCCTGATGGAGAGGTGCACCATCGAGATTTCAAGTCCTTTCAGAGGTCTGGAGGAGGATTCCTGATTCCCCACTCCAGTGGCTCACATCAGATCCCAAAAGAAAGAAGACAGTCTCCCTGCCTGCCTGGCCTGATTCCTTAGTCTGCCCATCAGTCTGGCTCAGTTGGAGCTGAAGGGGAGTCTAATCAACTCTCATTAGTCAGGACCACCCTCAAGAGAAGAGGGTTGGGAAGTTTAACCCAGTGCCTGCTGAATGAATGTGTGAGTGAGTGAAGTGGACAACACAAGCCTCAGGCTGCACCGTCTGGGCACCAAGACTGGAAAGCACTCTTGCCTGAGCTTTAATGGAGATTGGACATATAGTACAACAGAGGCCACACACCTTCCTTAGCTAAACTGCACCTAAATCCCCACAAGGGGCACAGCCAGGAAGGCATCTGAATGGTCTCTCTCTGAGGGACTCTCACCCTTTGTCTACTGCACCACTATTAAAAGGTACACAACAAACACACACCAAGTCAGAAGTGGGAACTAATCAGTCAAAAGCCACAGTCCTTGACTGTAGGAAAAAGGGCTTTTACAGAGTTAACAATGAAACAAACCATTCCTTGCATGTCTAAGAGAAAAAAGGAAAAAAAGGCGGCCCATCCTTCCTGAGAATTCTGCTGTGGCACTCTCGTCAGCCACAGCAGTTGCTACACACCCTCAGCTTTTCACTTCCTGCTCCCAGCTCATCTATTTCCAACCAAGTGAACCATTCCAGGTAGTCGCTGCCGGCATTCAGCCACAGAGTCCTCCCTCCTGAGCCTTCTGCTTCCTATCCTAACCAGATGGAGTCATCTAATGCTCACCAGCCATGACTGTCAGCAATTCCTTCTCAATTCCACATCCTGACTGAGGGAAAATTCGACTGTCAGCCCTTGGACGATGGTGCTATCTGGCCTTTCTCAAAGGTCACCGCACCTAGAAACAACCCTGTGGAGTACTTATCAAAGACAGCAAAGACAGGAAACATAAAGTCCACCAGTATCCCAAAAGTTACCACTGTTACCCAAAAGCCTGATACGAGGACTACAGACGTTAAAAAACAAATGACCCTTCAGATGTAAAAAGATAGGGGCTCTCAAAAGCTTCAACCTGGATTACTGAAAGACAATCTATGACTTTCCTGGTAGACAATGGAATAGTATTCTCTGCCTTCAAAAGAACCCCTATCAAAAAGTTACCACCACTGGGGGCAACTGGGACTTCTGCCTCTGGCCCCTTCTGCCAGGCACAAATGTCCTAGGAGGACATCTCCCTACACCACTTCTGGGAAGAGATCTCTTCAAGTGAGAAGCAAGTGTCTCATTTGCACCAACCCAGTCAGCCTCCCTCTCACTCACCCCTGCACTTCCCCGAGAGGAAGATGACACCTGCCTCAGCCTGAAACAGACAACCACAATCTCGAAGTTCTAAAAACTCTCCTCCCAGGGCAGTGAGCCAAAGACTCACCTCCAGGCCTGGCCATCAACCATGCAACACTGCAACCTCCTCTGGTGTGAGATGTCACAAGAAGCACAAACAAGCTCCCAGCCAAACATCAGCGCCTTAACTGCCACAAGGGTTTGGGAACTCTCCTACTATTTTGCGGGAGGTCCTAACAACACATTTAGCCAATTTCCCATCACTCTCTCTGTAGGACAGGCTGTTTCTCTCTCCCTTCCAAGTCTGTCATTGGTCCCCCAAGAAAAAAATAGGGCTTCAAAACTGTAAAATGTCTATACATAGTCAAACTGCTAAAACATACCTCTCCTCCCTGTAAAGTCAGTTTAAGATCTCCGAGCTGCCAATGCCGCCATAACTGCCCTCCACACGCATTGCCTCAGTCTTCTGCCACCCACAGCCTGCTGGTGCACCCGCCTGGACCTACAGAATACCGGTCTTTTGCCTTCAGTTGGCTCCTGTCATCCAGCCCCTCTTCACCAAGACCCCAATTCTGGACTTAAAAGAGTCAAATGACCTAGACTCAATTTCTCAGAACTTCAAAACCTGGCACCTCTTTGGAGAAGCCCTCACAACTGGCCTTGCTGGTTTCCCAACAAACATCACTGCATTTCTGATTAATGACACCCAAGTGCCTGCTGGAAGGGCACCAAAGTTCTGCTACAATATCTGGCAGAAACTGATTGCAAGAAAAAAATACTGCAAATTTCTTGGAGCAGCTGGCTTCTATAGAATCTGGATCCTTGAGTTCACAAAAGCAACGATCCTTACTCAGCCTGTGAGCCCCTTAGAGTGCCCAGTGGCCTATATGCATAACTACTTGGATCCAATTGTTAGGGCTGCCTCCCCACTTTGCATTTATGCTCTAACAGCCACTGCTGTTCTGATCAAGAAAGCTGACAAGCTCACCTTAGGCTGAGACCAAGCTGTCCAGGTGCCGCATGCTGTACTGGCCAACCAGACTTAAAAATGGACCCCCTGACAGATGCTGAGTACACCCTATTTACAGATGAAAGCAAGTCTGTGAGGAATAAAGTCCAACTGGCTAGATATGCGTGGTCACTTTGAACAAAGTTATTTTGGCCAAAGCTCTCCTGCTTCCTGCCGCCATTTAGATACTTGCCACCACTGACACCAAACCTCCACTCCTATGCCCCATGCAGGGATCTGATTAACTGCAACATCAACTCCAGCCAGAAAAATTTTTAATCAGAGCCAGACGTGCCCACACCTTATGTTCTATAAGCTAAAGCCACAGTGCTGGCACCTGTATCCCTACAGCCAGCTCAGGCTTCAGCATCTGTGTCATCAGCCCTGACCTCCACTCGTACATACAGATAGACTGGATGCTCATCCACAATCATTCAGGCTGACTTGAGACATTCCCTGCCCAAACTGAGAGGGCAATAAAAGTTTGTAGGGTGCTGCTGTGAAGAGGAAAAAAAAAAAATAATCACCCCTAGATATGTATGGCCTACCCTTGACACTGGCAGCAACAGTGGGTCCACATTTGTAGCAAAGGTAACTAAACAGAAATCACATGCAGCGTACAGTCCACAAGCTCTAAAAACAGAAAAAAGCTTGAGAAAAGAAAACATAACCCTACAGAAATAGGTTGTAACTAGCTCCATAAAAGTTTAGCTAAAAGACTAGCTACACCTGTAGACACTCCTGCACACACACATATAACCAGGTGCATATTAATTACCTCTATAGCTCTTAAAGTTTGAGAAATGCAGCCTTACATTAGCCATCCCAGAGTTAAAAGAACGCAATAAACAACTGCTGAAGAATTTACCTGTGCCAGACAGCTCACTCGAAAGACATGACACACTCAAAGCCTGTCTTCTGGTTACTCCAGATGCTAACCAGTCCACACATAGCTGAAGCCTAAGGACCTCCTTCACAGGACTGCTCCGTATCTATTCTCTTTGATTTTTGTGCCTTTTCAGGCTGTTTACCCTAGTCCTTGCTTTCATTTCAGCGTACCTATGTACTTGGATACTGAATGGTACTTTTGCCTTAGTTTTATGGATGACTGCCCCAAGAAACTAAACAATAACCTAAGTCCTTTCAAATGACAGAAGACTTGACAAACACCCGAGGCACACTGGATACTCTTCTAGATCAGATGGACCCTTCATTCTCTGGTCAAAGCCAACTGGGGGAGAGAGCCTATAATAAGGGAAACACAAACTCCTAGTGGGGATTTTCAGTCTTAAGAGACCTTGTGGCTAGGGCCCATCCTTGGCCCACTGATGGCCCCAATGTTACTTCTAGTTGGGCCTTATCTCAGATCACATGCAATATGGCCAGCGAAGATTTACTGAAGCAACCAAAAGGTGGGGAGGGGGCTGTAACAGAAACACCACCGCCACCAGTATACTTCAGCCTGTTAACCACCCAGGTAACAGTTTCAGCTGCAGTTCTGGTTGCTCCTGTCTCTTAGAAATATCAATCCCCCATTGAAAAGCCATTCTACCTCATACTTTCTGCTTCCTTATCCAACATAAGCCCAGTCCACCAGAGATCAGGGCTTGATATTTTGGGAATGATCCCAATCAGTGCCCATCTATATAAATAAATCTACTTCTAAATCCTGGGTGCCATTTTGGTCTTTCTTTGTCACTGCACTACTGCTACCATAAAATATAAAGACAATTCAAGTAACAAAATGGAAAATCCTATATGTATATACACCAAATAATATACTTTCAAAGCATATAAAAAGCAGAAATTTACAGCACAAATAGACACAGTAAAATGTGCTGTAGATACAGCTCAGAAGAACAGCATCTGCCTGGCACAGGCAAGGTCCTGAGTTTGAACAGTACCTGCCCCCCCAAGTAAAGAAGAAAGAAAGAGAAAAGAAAGAAAAATATGCTGAGATTTTTGTCACACATAGGTAGCAGCATGGGCACTGTTGTGGCTAACGTCATGACCTAACAATTTTATTCCCAAAATAAACATACACACAGATACTAAAAGACACAAAAAACACTGAACAGTTATTATTCTTAACAGTCAAATGTGAAAAGCAGCCAGCTGCCATTCAAAGGGCTAATCAAACAGCAATCTACTTACTACACAAGGAAAACAAATTAACAGAAGCATCCTGTAATGACATAGTCTCATGAGGCTCGATAATCAAAGCCAGACAAAAACAATTACATGCATTATGATTTAATTTATATCAGCACTTCCCCAATCTTTCCAGCACCCTAGAAGAAACCAGACTTCTCCCAGCTGTCCCTCACGTAACTTCAACTTCACAGACTCATTTATATCCTCCATATCTGCTTTAAACATCTGCTTTAAAGAGAAGCCTGAAGTACCTTCCTCAATACAGGGTTTAAATGACTAAAAAGTAAAGGCAAGGGATGGGGTGTGTAAGTGTGGGCTGAACCCAGAGCCTTTGCATTAAATTATATTCTCTAAGATTTTCAATTTTTATTTTGTGACAGGATGTTGTGAAGTTCTCAAACTGGGTTTGAATTTGTGACCCTCTTCCCTCGCTCAAGTGGTAGAAGGGCCAAGGATTTAGCTCAGCAGTATAAGCACCTGCCTGGCAAGTGTGAGGTCATGGGTTCCATCCCAGGGACCAAAAAAAAAGAAAAGAAAAGTGGTGGGATTATAGAGGCATGTGCTATCACACTTGGCTAAAAATGACTAAAAGTTTTTAAGAAGCTAAATTTAAAAGTGTTAAATTTAGCCAATCATGGTAGCACACACCTGTAAACTTAGCACTCAGGCCAAAGCAAGAGGATCATCACAAGTTTGAGGCCAGCCTGGACTATATACTAAATTCAAGGCCAGCCTCAACTACACAAAGAGACCCTATCTCAAAAAGGAGAAAGTTTTCATACTTAATTTCATAACCTTTTGCTGAGTAAATTCATGTAATTTGCCAGGCGTGGTGGTACATGTTTATAATCCTAGCACTCAGGAAGCTGAGGCAGGTGGCTCACTGAAAATTCAAAACCACTCATAACTGCATAGTGAAATTCTGTCTCAAAAAGACAAAAAAAAAAAAAAAAAAACCCCAAATAAATAAATAACAATTATCTAAACAATTTAATGTAGTTCATTTGGCTACATAAATTATAATTTATCAAACCAAGTATAAAATATTTATAGATACCTAAGAGCAATGCAGTCAAATATTGAAAAAAAAATTCGAAAGTTTTTCAGCAAAAATGAAATTAAAAAATTAATTTCATGAGCTGCATGTGATGGCTCGTGCCTATAATCCCAGTACTCAGGAGGCTGAGCTAGCAGGCGGCCCTCAGGAGGCCCTGAGTTTAAGGCCACTTGAACTACACAGCAACCTGAACTACTACATTTCCAGCCTGAATCACTTTAAAATTAATTTAAACTACCTAACTCTCAAAATTCAAATCATATACAAAGCACAAAAAAATCAATCTCAAACAGGGCCACGTGGAAACCCAGAAACCAATGTTTGAACAGGCCACCTCTCTCACTGTCACTTCAAAATAAAGAAAAATCAGCTGGTCGTGGTGGTACGTGCCCCTAATCCCATTACTCAGAGGCAGGAGGATCGCCTCAAGACCAGCCTGGGCTACACAGGAAGTTCAAAGTCAGCCTGAACTACAAGTGAGACCCTGTCTCAAAAAATTAATAAATAAATAAAGATTTTAGAAAATCATTACCGTTTTTCACTAACTTTTTTTTGAACTTTGATTCTGTGCACACTGAGTATTTTAATGAACACAATCTTAATGAAGATTCTGTGGTACATGAGAAAACCTAAACAGATTATATAGTACACAAGATTTTAGCCAGTAGAGCAGAGTTCTGGATAGCTACAAATCATTTTAACGTCCAAGATTTTTTTTCAATGCATCATTTAAAAACTTCAGAAACAGACAAAGCTAACCAACTTGGCAAAGAAAGAATGGAGCAGGAACAGGGCACACCCACTGGTGCTCACAGTGTGCTGAGAGGGCTCCCCTCCTCAGCCCGGATGGCCAGGACACAGGCCTTCCCAGAGTCCCAGAACACCACCAGGCCCGAGGCATCTGACCTCACATTTTCCAACTGCTCTTTCCTAACAGTTATATGATGGCTGATTCTTAGTGTTTAAACACAAACAGAACACCTTACAAAAGAAACACTGTACTTCAACAGAATAAATAAAAAAGAAAACTCTTATAAATCAAAAAGAAAACTCAATTTCAGTTTAATTTCTAATTTGCTCATTCCTAAGGAAAAAGAATTTACCTTTTGTGAGAGCTGAAGAGTCTTCTTTTTTCTTCCTACTATGTAAAGATTTCTTTCCTCTTCACCTTTTTCTATTCGAAAGTCTTCCAACCTCCTAAAAAATTTAATATCCAGTTATGATCTACCAAATTAATATAGAGCAAAAGTAAGTCATTATGAGTCTAAGAATCTTAAGTTTATATAACATTTAATTAATACACAAGTTTATTAAAAGGTACTATGAGTATAATGTCTCAGGAATAAGAAATCTGATTTTTCGTATTTAACACAGAAACAGTCATCTGTGTTCTGATTAACCCTCCTAGGACCAATTCGAAAGGGAGCTCCTGTACCACTCAAAATGCACCCACAATTTTCCAAGATTATAATTTTCTTCCATAAGAAAAAAATCAAGAGTTCTCTTCAAACTTATTCAAAAATTATGTTTTATAGTTTATAGAAAACAAGACTAGCAGTGTTACTAGCCTTTCTAATCGTGTGAATTCTATTCACGTGATACAACAGAAAGAAGGTTCTGCCACGCCCCATTTCAAAGCAAGGAACATGCCACATGAAAACACACATAGTCTTTCTTTGCTGTGAAAACCATGGAAGGCCCTCCTCTCCAATCTAACATCACTGGAAACATGCGGCGCTGCGTTTTGAACATTCTAAGGGAGCTCAGACTGAAGACTGGTGTTCTGGCCGCGGTCTGTACAGCAAAAGGACAAATGCACTGCGGATGGACACTGGCTTCCCGAGAGGCACATGCAGCCCACACTCACATTCTCTTACGCCCACTCCTCACCCCGGGATTTCTCAAATGCCAGCCTTCCGTCCCAGCTGTCCCTTCACCACTTTTAGGTGTACTGAAGCAGCTGTGTAATGAGGGCCTCTCCTGGCAACCAACAACACTCCTGCCCATCCTGTGTGCTTCTCCATCTGGACAGACACTGTACACAATTCATCTCAACCAGTAAGGCACAGAAACCCTGCAGGGTTCAAGCAGATCATCTTGAACTGTGTGTAACTCCACTTCTAATGATGGGAAAAGCAGTCAGATGGGAAAAGTGATAGTGTGAAAGAACACAGAGCCCTATGTCATATGCTCTTTCTTTTAGAATAAGTAGAATTTCTACCACTGTTCAGTCAAGACAGACAACCTGCCTGAACCCTGAGCCCAGAGAGTTACCTCTACTGGAAGCAACATTATGTTCTCAGAGCTCTGCCCAACAGGGTTGTTCATCTTCACACTTTTATCTATTACCTACAGTTTTTATAATGCACACAGAAAGTAAATTTTTAAATTTTTCTGATCCTTATCAAATGAAACCTAATAAAGAGTTATATAAAATTCAACATCGCTTCCAATGCGTAGACTGCTCTGCTGCTAAGGGTGCCACCACTTCTATTTCACACAGTGCCTCTTTTATAAAATCTAAAGTGAAGACCAGAGATGTAGCTCAGTGGTAGAGTGGTAGGCCCACAGAGCAAGTCTAAGGGCCTGGGTCAACACCCAATACTGCATCCCACCGAAGAAATCCAACATAAGCTTTATTTTAGAATACAATGTGAGAGAGAGCTAGGCTCTTTTTCCTGTCTGCCAAATGAACTTTGGCAGCCAGCCAAATCCAGTTTTCTTTGTTTCCATAGAATCTCAATTTTTACCTAAGTTCTTTGCTGTCCCATACAGAAACTGTATTACTTAGCCTCCTCATTAATTTGGTCAAATGACAATATCTTGCTAAGCATTATGAGCAAATGTGCCTGCCATGCAGCTGGTGCAGGGAAGTTCTCCTTAAATGCCCTTTCTGCCTTCTGCTCATCTTCTTTCTTCTGGCCTCAGTCTCAATCTATTCGAGACACTGGGATGTGACAGGTAGAGTTTCACCAGCAATACTGGGCTCGAGGTGAACTTAACATCTAGAAGCCAAGCTCTAAAACACAAACCAGAAACACAGGGTCCTCCCTCCCTGACTAACTGGGAAAACCTGACTCCAGCCTCAAACTCTCTTTCCAGCCCTGCTGTGGGTAACAGAATAAATAATTGTGGGTTTACAGAACAATTCTTTTGAGTTCTTAAGGTTTTTCACTCCTGTACTCATTTACTTTCTTTGGTTTTAATAAAAGTATTCCTGTTGGGTCTAATGACCATGAAATTTAGAAACCTAAGGCTTAATTACAGCATACTATGTACATGTTAGTGACTTTTAGCATTTTTCATCAAAATTCAAGAGTCTGCTTTTCATTAAATTATTGTGTGACTAGGAAACTCTCAAATTCACTATGAAGCACTAAGTACCCTGATGTTACTTGTTCAATCGCTTTTGGCTAAACACACGAAAAAAACGCACCTCAAAATTATCTTCAAGCTACTAGTGATCAGAATACAACAAGCATGATCAAACACTGAAACATTTTCTTTAACAATATAAAAACATATTTGTAAATTGGCCATAGTGGCACATGCCTAAAATCCCAGTATTTGGGATGCTGAGGCCAGAAAGATTATGAGTTCAAGGCCAACCCAGAACACAGCAAGACCCTGTCTCCAAAAAAAACTATTTACTGCCTCCTTTCCAGTTCAAAAATTCAGCATCACAAAACAGCAAGATGTCTACTGCCTAGATTATAATTACAAAATATCTTCTCTCATTAAAAGAAAATAAGACTGTTTGAAACAAAAGACTGATTCTACCTCCAAGTCAAAAAATGTATAGCCAGGGATATACCTCAGCAGCACAGTGACTGCCTGGCAAGTATGAGGTCCTGAGTTCGATTCCCCATACCAAAAATAAAAAATAGTAACAAGATGAACTATAACCATGGCCAATTGCAAAGATGCTATGAAATACTGCCACAATCAATTCAAAAGAACCAAGGAGTCTCAAATAGACTTTTCTTGTCCAAAGAGTAATTAACAAAGACCATCAGAAATAAGCTGAATGTCAGGACTTTAAACAGTAAGTAGCTATTTAATTATACCAAGTTTCTTTAAGTTATGGTAATGGCACCAAAATCGTACTTTAAGACAATTCTTTATCTTTTAAAAACATATAATGAAGTGCTCACAGACAAAACAACACTATGTCTGGAATTTCTTTCAAAATAGCCCTGATAAAAAGCTGACTGTGGTGATACAGATCAGTAATCCCAGCTACTTGGAAAGAGACTGAGACAGGAGGATCTCAAGTTGGAAGCCAACCTAAGCATCTTCCCAAGATTATTTCAAAATAAAATTAGAAAGAGCAGGAATATAGCTCAGGGGTAGAGAGCATTTGGATCAATCCTCAGCACTGCAAAACATTTATAAAAATAAAAATGCTAAAAGGAAAAACACAGAAGTGTAGATGAAATAAAATTGGCTATGAAAATATTTGGTAAATATGAAAATACTTACCTATGTAAAAAACATCAGAGAATAATTTTGATTTTAATAAATCACATTTCAGATTCCCACCTACTGCTAAAAGTACATACAATTGTACACAACTAATGGAATAAAGATTTGTAAGTAACCATATGAATATATTTTCACAGACAGACACAATGTAAATAAGTACCCTAAAACAAACCTAAATATGCCTAGTGGTACCTCTGGTACAACCACTCTGCGCTTCCAAGCCTGCAGGTCCCGTTCCGTCGCAATCTGACTCCGCGGAGCATTCTGGTGCATCTGGCGGACACCTTCAACTTGTCCACTACGACGCAAACCAATATTTGGAGGGGACTGGATGTCTAAACTTACTCTTCTAAAGCCTAGGGAACAATGATTGAAAATGATTCCAAGCTAATTTCCAATGAGTACACATTTAACAAGTACACTTTCCTCCTACACAACAAAAACAAACACATACAAAGACCTACTGAAAAAAACTACAAGAAAAGTCTTGACATGATTAAGATCAAAAAGTAGAATACTGAACATTTTACTATTAGAACTTGATTTGGAGATGGGTGCAGTGCTGCACGTTTGTAATCTCAGCATGCAGAAAGAAGGCTGAAGCAGGAGGAGCACCCAGAGTTCAAGACCAATCTGGGCTACATAGTAAATTGAAGGCCAGCCTAAATTGCAGTGAGACCCTGTCTCAACAAAGAAAAGGAAAAAAAAAAACCCTTAATTTCCACCTCTCCCTGTAGACTTTTTGAAACTATGCAGTGTATACAAGTTTTGCATTCCCAAAAACTGCCTTCTGCAAATTTGCAGTTTTTGGGAAATTACCACTGAACACAGATGCCTTAAATCGAGGCAGCTTTTTGACAGAATTATAAAAACAGCACTAACTGTGACCCTCGGGCGCTAAACTGAGCCACAGAACAGCTGCCCATGCAGACATTACCACCTCACACATACGGAACAGGAGCCTGGGACAGAGCTGGACAGACAGGTGAGGAGGCAACACAGTGACAGCAAAGCTCTGAGCCCAGAGGCTGCTGTCAGGCAAGGTGACCACCCAGAACTGGCAGCCACTGCTCATTTTCTTAGGACTCAAGGTGAAGAGAGTGGTCCCTGCTGCGATGAGTCCACAGACCCAGCAGAACCGATCAGGTCCTATTCCAGCTATGCCAGCTCCCCTGGCCGCAGGAATGAACACAACGCCTGCACACACCACCTCTGTCTCCCAACCCTGCGCGGGTCTGTGCTCCACACCACTGCACACCGCCCTACTGCATCCACGCAGAAACGCTCTGCACTGGAGAAGTAGCTAGTGGACAGCACCTCCCTAACTTGAATAAAGGAGGCCTTAGGCTCAATGCCCAGCACCCACAAAAAAATCAGAATTAAACAAAGTAAGACAGTGATGTTGAATACTTTTTGAATGACAAAGCAAATAAATTCTACATTTAAAAGCCAGCCAGGGATGGTGGCACACACTTATGATCTCAGCACTCAGGAGACTGAGGCAGGAGGGCTGCAGTAAGATAGAGGCCATCCTGAGCTACATACTGAGTTCAAGCCCAATCTGAAAGACACAGCAAGGCCTTGTCTCAAAAATCCAAAAATAATATATTAACTTAAATTTAAAACTAAATGTCACTGCCCATGTCATGATGTTATTCTCCAATAATGAAAACAGACACAAGGTTTATTAACCATGACATTTCTTGTAACAGGAAAATATAAGGAACAAAGTAAATGCTTGTAGTTATAAAAAAAAAAATAAAAAAAAAAAAAAAGAGAAAGAGAAAGCTATGTAAACTGACATGGAAAAATTCCTAGCACACACTATCAAAGAACAAGAGCAAGGAACAGAAGAATGCACCTACACATACTCCGCGCCTCCGGCATGCAGAGGACCCAGCACCCACTGCTCAGCAAACGCGCCCTGCACTGCTCAACCTGAATCCATTAGCAAGGAAATGGGGGAACCTGTGAGCCTTTCAAGCTGTCTGGCTATGAGGGAACTTTTTGGACGTCAAGAAAAGGCGTATCGGGGCTGGGGATTTAGCTCAGCGGCATAAGCGCCTGCCTTGCAAGCAGGCAGTCACAAGTTCGATCCCCAATATCGATAAAAAGGTAAAAGACAAAAAAAAAAAAAAAAGGCATATCTAAATGCAATAAAAAATGCGTGACTAATTCTGAATTTTAAAAAAAGTCAGGATGGAAGACAACACTGGGGGAAAAGTGAAAGGAGAACTATAAACAAGAGCAGTATTGTAAGAGCAAGACCTGCTGAGTACAGGTACTGTGCTGTGTAATATAAGAGAGTGAACGCTGTTCTTTGAGGATATGAAATGATACTCTGGGAAAAAGTGTCCTGAGTTGTTTTCAACTGACTTCCAAATGCTGACTCAGTAAGAAAAATTAGTCTCAACTCAGTTTTTAAAGAATTATAAAGGTTAAAAATGAGAAAGCTACAGTTTTCCTTTAAAAGACACTTTGTTTAATAGGCACATGCCAATAATCCCAACTACTCATTAGGCGATGGCAGGAGTATCCCAAGTTTAAGGTCAGCCTGGGAAACTTAGTGAGACCCTGTCTCCAAATGTAAGAGAGGGTTAGGGGATGTAGCTCAGTATTTGCCTGGCCAGTAATGAAAATAAACAAAAGTTACTTTGTTACGTGTTCCCATTAAACATTTTTGTAAATAACTCTATTTTTAAATAAAGCAAAAAAGGTTTCATCATCTTCCCACAGAACTGGAAAACCAAATACCCACTTATTATATCACCTCGCAAGCAACAACCCTACTCAAAGGCCGCTTAGGTTGGACAGCTACACGGCTTCAGGGTTTTCACAATGCACACAGCCGCCAACAACTCCACACACTCTAAGTCTAACACACTGCCCCACCGCGGCCACAGGGCGGTTACCTCTGCGCGGCGTCTCCTCCCCATGCGCAAGTCCACCAGGCGCGGCATCCTGCTCTGCCCCCATCCTCTGGTCCTGCTGCTGCTGCAGCTGCCTTATCATTCCATCAAGGATGCTGGCCTCCGGGCTTCCCTCGCTGGGATCGTTGGTCTGGAGGCTTATGACTTGCTCAATGACTTCTCCATCACCTACGAATTCAATTCATGAATGTGCAGTGACAACATAGATGAGAAGGAAAAAGAAAGCCAGGCTTCACAAGACTCCTATTAAAAGCCCGCTGACAGAGCTGGGGACGTGGCTCAGGCGTGGAGTGCTTGCCTGACCTACATGAGCACTGATGAAGTAAAACATATTCACAATTGTCTGAGCTCCTGTTTTCAGAGATCACACAACTAAAACGGTCATCTACACATTCCTAGCCAATTAAAAACTCAAAGCTAACAAACCCACCTGGAAAGCACTAAGTTCCACAGAAACCTGTCCGTAGGAAGTGTTGTACCCGCCTCACTGCCAGCCTCCCCTGCAACTCAGCCACTGGAGGTGGTTTCCATGTGGAGGAAAGCATTGATACTACCGTCTTCTCTGCTAGCTTAAGGAAAAGGAGTGGATGGGGTACTTTAGGCCTTCAACAAATGACAACCGCAGCGCCCCTCTACCAAGGCATCCTCAGAGAGTGCGTGCAGGTTTGAAGTAGTCCCTCATCACCCTCCACTGAGTGTGACTTCTAGTTTTTGCTTGTTTGTTTGGTCTTTCTGAGACAGGGTCTCACTATGCAGTTCAAACTGGCCTTGAATTCACTTTGTAACCCAGGCTGTTCTCAAATTCACAACAATCTTCCTGCCTCAGCCTCCTGAGTGCTGGAATTACAAGGGTACATCACCACGCCCAGCTTCCTAGTTAGCTTTGTAACAGAGCTGGTACCCATACTTCTTTGCTCAAGCACAGAATTCATTTTTCAAATAATCCCTTTCAGAAATACTTGTAACAAGTTCAAGATAACTGCTGATGAGAAAAAGCATATAAGGTAGTGGGTTTGGAAATATGTTTCAGAAACACATTAGACTATTTTCATGCAAAAAGCCCTTATAAAGTCTCAGCCCATAAGATACATGTGTTTGGAACACAGGCTCGATAAATTCAAGCCCCACCTACCCCTTTTCCTCGCCTCTTAAATGGAATATTAGAAGGTGTGTAAAGCACTGCTGGCCACCACGGTGAGCAACCCCAAAAATCAAACTCATAGAACACTATGGGGAAAACACTTCCATCTGGCTACCCAAGTGTTTATAGATATATATGTACACATATCCTTGTTTTACTCATACAGTCTTCATTTTACCCTGAAAACTGATATGGAATCTACAAAAGTATAGTCATAGTTCACATTACCTTCATCTTAAAAAATTGTTAAATTTTTAATCACTCAAGAAATGAACCAAGAAAAACTGATGACATTCAATCATGTTAGCAATATTTAATGTAAATGGTCTACACATTCCAATTATATCAGATTGGATATCTTTACAAAATCCTGCATAAACTGAAAGACACAAGTAGAGGAAAAAGATTTAAAAAGACACACCACATCAACACAATTGTTTTTAAAAAGTAGGATTAGTTACACTAATATGAAACAAAATAATCTTCAAAAAATTTTCCAGGGACACACACACATTTCATAATGATAAAGAATTCATCAAGAGAGCTGAGGCCTGCGTAGGCCCCTGCCTATCTGTGGTTTGGGGCTGCTATCTGCCTCATAAAGCAAATGGAGCTTTTTCCTTCTGGGAAGACAGAGTCATTGTCTTCTCTGAAAAACCTTCCTACATAATTGGTTAAAAAAAAAAAAAAAAAGAATTCATCAAGAGAATAGCCCAAAATGCGTATACACCTAATGAAAACAGCTTTGAAATACAGAAAGAAAAAATTAATGGAACTGAAGGGAATAATAAGGAAAAAAATTCAACATTATGGTCGGATCGCTCAAATCTCACAACTCCCACCAGAAACAAGGCAGAAGTCTCCGACCATCAATGCATGGACAACACTGCCCAGTAACAACGCAGCATAACCCACACACAAGTGGCAATAAGAAGGATCTTCTAGCCCACCGTGCCAAACGAAAGGAGCCAGGCCCCAAGTCTACGAGCTGAAGCATCCCATCCACAGCAAGCCCTCTTTATCCACACTGGACATCTTCCAAGACCCCCACCGTGGGTGTGAAAACCCCAGATGGTACCTAACATTACAGAAACTATGTCACACCCCCAAACCATCTATGGCACAGATCTAACACCCTTTCTATCCCAAAGCCCTACTGCCCTCCGGGGCTATAATTTGTGTCTGTGTTTTGAGACATGGTCTCGCTATACAGTGTAGGCTTCAGCTCTTATCTATCTGCAGGCCAGGCTGGCCTCGCACAGAGCTCTTCCTGCTGCAGCCTCCCACAGTGCTGGGATACAGGTGTCCCCTTCAGCACCTGGCCTGTGGCTTAACTCACAATTTCAGATGCAATGGCAAGACCAGCACACATTTGTTTTCGCATCCTCACAATTTCACAGGAAGAAGATTCAGTCTTGTCACTGATTTCAGCAACTTCAGCATACTGTACTTTTCTTTCCTTATCAAACACAGAACTTTCACTTTTTCACTCAAAGAAAAGGCATTCCAGCTTCTCCCTGGCACACATGAGTTGCTAGCATCACTAATCTTGCACTTTGGGGCTGAGGAAGAAGAAATAAAAGGTAGAAAGGAGTTGGGGGTGTCATGAGGAAAAACTACTTTGTAGAAGATGGCAACTCTCGGTGTGGTGGGGTCACCCCAGCACCCCGCCCAGCGTTGCTGGCCCTTGGCTGGGTTTCCTGCACACCCTCTCTTCCTCCCAGCACCAGACTCACTGCCTCAAGGCAGTAAACTGGCTCAGTTAAGAAAGAAAACATCAGGCTGAGCAAATCAAGGAATGTCTACATCATCTGTCCCAAAACCAAAGATCATGCCTATGAACAGGCTGATCACAAACGCCCGCAAACAGGTGTTTGCAGGACGCACATGCACACACATGCACACTTCTCCTTAGCTTTTCACCACCTCAAGAAAAGCATTCAATGTGCCTAGTTCTAAACTATACTGCACCTCCTTTCTCTGAGCACACACACTACTCTACTCTCCTGAGTGTGTCCTATACTCTCGCCTTTAGCTAACAGACAGTGATGGTGAACCTTTCCAGAGCTACTGGTGATAGCAAACCGCTGGCTGCGGTATGCGTGCCACAGGTTCGCCACTACTGTAGCAGGTCTTACTCACACATCTTTCTGACGCATCCTGGAAAATACCTGCTCTATGACAGGAGTCAGCGAACCTGCCGCAGCAGGGTGAATTCAGTTTGGGAAACACTCAGACCCAGCGCAATGACAGGGCTACGGGTGAGTACATTAAGAGTTGCCTGAACACAGCACTGCAGTACTTGAACAATGGATTCACTATCAGGGCTCCCAAGAGGGTAAGAGCTGGTTACTGTACACAGCACAGACATACCAGACCAAGCGATTCATGTGCTAGGCAAGGTAACACAAAATTTATCATGCCACTCAGAATGTCATATAATTTGAAACTTGTTGTTTAATTCTGGAATTTGCCATTTAGTATTCCTCAACTGCAGTTGACTGCTGTTAGACAGAAGCACATTAAATGAAACGAGAGACTACTCCATACAAAAATCCCTTACAAAATAAGATTAAAGCGACAGGAAACAGAACAGTAGTCACGAAGGACTAGGGAGAGGGAAGACTGGCTCTACATGGGTCCAGGAACATCAGGGGAATGTAAATGTTTTGTATCTTTATTTCAGCGATGGTTATTACATGATTAATATTTGTCAAAATCTATCTAAGTTGTACTTACAAATGTTGGGTTTTGTTATATATGAAATATAGTTCCATAAAATTACTTAAAAATAAACAATTTGAAATTACATTCAGGCCAGGTGTTGTAGCACACACCTGTATATAATCCCAGTACTCGGGAGGGTAAGGCAAGAGGACTGCTAGGAGCTGAGGCCACTCTAGGCTACAAAGGAAGTTGAAAGTCATCCTGAACTGCACAGTGAAACTCTGTCTCAAAAAGACAAAAGGTAAAAGTAAAAAATAAAATGAAAAAAAGTAATAGAGAAAGAGAGTGTATGTATGTGTGTGTGTGTGCACGCAATTGATTTCATCCCAGTAAATCAACCCTCACTCAAACGAAACAGCATTTTTCTCCCAGTGTCTGTAAAGAGAAACACTTCACTATTACCACATAAAATAAGAGCTCTACATCTGGCTAAGACAGGGGAAGTAGAAGATGATCCTAGAACATTTGGCGCCAAAATAAGCAAGGAATCACTTTTACAATAATGGAGATTCAGGAAAAAACAACTTGAAAAGGTTTTCTCAGAGACATAAAGGGTACTGAGTACCAAAATAATGATAACCCAATACTAACCAACCCATAAGAATGCACCAAAACATACTGAATTACTGACACTCATCATAAAATGTAGATTAAATGATGATGGAGTTGTTCCGGGAGAACATGGCGGACAGATAACAGCAACTACCGGAGGCTCTCTGAAAGACTCGGCTCAGAATCCAGGAATGGTGCGGACTAAGGAGACATAAGCAGGTGGAGATATGCTCTGCTGACTCAGGAACGAACTGGGCTGAGAGAAACCAACTTGGAATGCAGTCCTGGTGCTAAAACAGGAACAGAAAAGCCTCAGTGTGGAGGCTGGACCCCGCGCCATTGTAAGCCACGATTTGGGTTTCCCGCCGCGCGGCGGCTGGCTGCCTCTACAGTGGCTCGGCAAGGAGAGAGACACACAGAAGCTCTGAGAACGGCAATCTGCGAATGGCAGGGAGGCGTGCACTGACTTGTGGTGAGGTGAGTGAGAGAAACTGACACTCTACCACAGTTTGACTCCAGCGGAGGACTTTCTGGGCCCGAGCAGTCCTGCGGGAGCAGGGCGCGGTGGCGACTCCAGCCACACATCCCCCTCTCGGGCGGGATTGGAGAAAAGTGCCTGGCCTGCATGACGCTGCCGGCGGACCTGGTAGGCTGTCCCAACCCAGATCCCAGAGCCTGACGGTGGCTGGGAGGGGAGACGCGTAGGCTGCCTGGTCCGTAACTCCCTGGTGCGCAGCGGTGAGCGGGAACACCTAACCGGCGCAATTCGATCAGGCTGTGGCTGACGGGGAGAGAAGCTGGGCCTCTTATATAAGCTTGCATATATAAGGAACAGAGAATATGGGAAGAGGCAGCAACAAGAAAGACTCCTCGGCCCCCAATTCTGAGAAACAGGCAATAGCGGACACCGCACCAATACACATAAGGCGCCATATAGAGAGCCTCATAGACCAATTCAGGAATGAAGTTATCAACGACCTGAAGCTAGAAGTATGCAGAATAGTTAGAGAAATGCTAAGTACCACCCAAGAAAAAACAGGCGGTGGAATGGAAGAACAGAAAAAAAGGGGAGAATTGTTTGATGGAGAAAACAGAGAAAGCATAGAATACGTGAAGCAGGTTCAAAGAGACTACCAAGATACTAAGAAGTCTATCGAAGACTGGCATAACAGCTTGAAAGAAACTAAGGACAGACTATCTGAACTGGAGGGCAGACTTGTAATATGGGAGAATGAAATGAAAAACTTCTTAAAAATAACAAAGAAACAAACAGCAATAATACAAAGACAAGAAGATGATAAGAGGATCCATAACTTAAGGATTAAGAACATAAAAGAAGAAGTAGGGACACAAACAAGTGAACTACAAAAGCTACTCACAGAAATAATCCAGGAGAATTTTCCTAATTTAGCAAAAGGTAAAGATACTCAGATGTATGAGGCATACAGGACCCCAGCTACCTACAACCCAAACAGAGCAACACCCAGGCATATAATAATAAAAATTCCAGAAATTCAATACAAGAACAGAATATTAAAAGCTGTCAGAGACAAGAAACAGACCACTTACAAGGGAACACCCATCAGAATTACAGCAGATTTCTCTGCACAAACCATCAAATCACGAAGAGCGTGGGGGGAAATAATTCAAGCTTTGAAAGATAATAATCTCCAGCCAAGATTGAGATATCCTGCACAACTGTCCCTGGAAATTGATGGAAAAACAAGGTGCTTCCAGGATAAAGAGGAACTGGAGGAATTTGCAACCACCAATTCAACTCTACAGAGAGTATTGCAGGATATTCTAAAAAAAGAAAAATACAAAGAATCCAGAAATAATGGCAGAGAGGCCACAACGAATGGAGCAGAGAACAAAATGAAGAAGACAAACTGACAGCTACTGACAGAAAAAGAGCTCAACAGAAATGAGGCAGAGAAGATTGGATGATAGGAACAGCTATTTTGGAGAAAATGACATCTTAATAGGTAATACTGATTTACTTTCATCTTGTTTTGAAGTCTCATCTAGCTTTTGTCCTTCTGTCTCCAATGGTCTAAATAGGCTGTATCTTATTGGATTTTATTATGTACAATAGTATAAGCAAAAACCTTTTAAAGACAAGGAGATTATACAGAAACCATTGTTCATTTTCTGTTAGTAGATTCTAAATACTCTGTAATGCTGTCATTCTCTTGAATGGTTTTACATTGTTTTGATATACTTAATGCTACAGTATACGAAGTTGTACTCAAGGATTTCAAAGAAAGAGACAATATGGTAACTACTTTTAGGTTAGGATTATCTGGTGGTGAAACACTATTCTGCTTAAATGGTTATGTTTTGATCTGCGCTGTTTCGTTGTTATGCCCTCTTTTATCTCAATCTCCACTCCATTATTTACTTTTTTATCTTTATCCTTTTAATTAAAGGAAAAAAATAGCAGGATATATTATAGTAACCCACTTTGACTTTTCATTACCTTGATTTAAAGCCCTGTATTACTCTCACCATCTGGTTTTTAACTGATGTTCCCCTATTCTGTTTTGCTGGATAGTATCAGGTTCGAAAGTTTAGACATCAGCTGTGAAGATGAGATTCATTATGACGCCCATTCTTGTTGACTTTTATCTACTTTTGAAGACCTACAATGTCTCCAGTGTTTTGGTTTTGTCGGTTTTATTCTTTACTGTTTTGTTCAATTGTATTATAACTAACGATATAGGCAATTCTATTAGAGATAGCGGGAGGCATTATGGTAACCATTGTTGATCACCTTGTATTATGTTTTTACATTATCTATTATGTCCACCCTTTTGACTTGACCGATTCTGTTCTGTTATGTCACATTTGGTTTTACTCTCTTCCAAAAAAGTAATAAGAACCGTGGGAGCAATGAAATCCAAAATGTGTAATAGTCATGGTACAAAAGAGAGGAAAAGAAAGTGATCCAAACTATATAACTGCATGTATATTTAAGTGTATAAGATAGAAAATGATATCACAGAGTTTTATTGGATCAATGAACAGAACTGTTTGCAGTATCATTGATGGAATGTCCACTTTACAAGCTTTAATTTTGTGACTTGAACAATTATTTCTAAGATGACAATATGTAATCCATTAACTAGTGATTTCCTACTGTTCATTTTTTTTTCTGTAAATCTGTATAACTTGTACCCTTTCCGTACTTTTTTTTTCTTTTCTCCTTAAATAAAATTAAAAAAAAAAAAAAGAAAAAAAGAAAAAAAAAAAATGATGATGGAGTTAACAAAGTAACTTTATGTAGCTTTCATAGCAACAATGTACACAATGGATCCTAAACACATGTGAGTAAAGTCACATAAAGAACAGAACATTTATGTATCTTACCACAAAGTACATACAGAAAAGTAGCAACTTTATGGTAGAGAAACTTAGCAAATGCCACATTAAGTGTTAAAAACATTAGCAAAAGTATCATAAACACGCTGACATAACATGGTCCATGAAGTCCATGACATCACTTATGATGTATTCTGTCAAGAAGACAATCAAATACAAACAGGCAAGCCCAGCCCACAACATGCCCAAATCCCTAGCCTACACTCTTCCGCTATACCAACAGCATCAAAGTCAAAACCTAAATCCTGCCTCCAAACTGAAGGAAACTGATGTTCATGGTGGTGCATCTCTATAATCTCAGCACTCTGGAGGCTGAGGCAGGAAGATCACAGCAAGTTCAAGGCCAGCCTAAGCTACACAGTGAGTTCAGGGCCAGTCTAGGAGATCCTGTCTCCAAAAAACCAAAATTAAAATGAAGTAGATTAAAGAAACAAGGCATCTTACATTTCATGTGCAATGCCAGATTGCAATCAATGAACAAAAAAAGCTGTAACATTAGAATAATTGCCAAATTTTAATTACAGACAGCAGCATTATATAATGTTAAATGTGCTAATTTGATAATTATTTATGGTATGTAACAATATCATTCTTAGAAAATGTGTATTGAAGTACATGGCAGAGGAATACAGCTCAGTGACACAGTGCCTGCCTGACAAGCGCAAGGTCCTGAGTTCAATTTCCAGCACCTAAATAAATAAATAAATGAAGTACACAGGGGTGAGTGGGCCTGAAACATCCACAACTTCAGTTTGCAATGTTCAATACAACATATGTAGAAAAAAAAAAGCATTACAAAATATGAATGCTTTAACCTAAAAGTAAGGAAGTTCTTTGTATTTTTAATATTTCAAATAAAAACTTTAAAACAAGACAAGATTAGGAAAAAAAAGGGGGGGGCTTTATACTTACTTGTGGCCACATAGCCGAGCTGCGGGACCAGGTGTTCATCTGCGGAGTTTTCCCGACCGGGCACTAATCTCTGATACTTAGTTGGATGAGGATTTCCATCGACATCCACCAAGAATGGGGGAGGCATAAGATGAGGGGCCTGCTGGGTTTGCTCGTCTAAGACATAATTATTAGAATCTCTAATCAGCGGCCGGTAGTCAGTATGGAAGAACATCTGATCAGGAATCTAGAAATGATGACATTCGGAGATTTGTATATGTTAAAGTTGTATATGTTAAAGAAAGCAAACGTTACACATTAAGTAACATTTAAAACACAAAGAAATCAAATCAATGCAGCTAAAGTATTTATTCTACAAGAAAGGTTAAAAAGTAGTAACCTTTTCATATGGTTTGCTGCACCCAAAACCAAAGATTAGAAGATGCCCGTGAGAGTCTGTGCAGGCAAAATGCTGTCCATCCTGGGAAAACTTGCAGTCAAACACAGCCCCATGTCCTTGGCCTTCAATCTAGGAAAACCGGAGGCAAGAAAGTTAAGACCAATTCTTAGCAAGTGCTCTTACTAGGAAATAAAGACAGCCAGCTGCGATACACCCCTTTCCAATGCTGGGGAGCAAGCTCAGGTTTTGAACACACAAGGTAAGAAAGCACTATACCACTGGACTACCCAGCCACTAAAGAAAAATGTAACTAACAACTGTCCATTACACAGAAACATCAGTACTGTCAGGTGCATTTTAGATAAGACTGACACAGAACTTTTAAAAGGCATTTGAACCTTAGGTCTCCAAATGAATACCCACAACCAATCCAAAAGGAAGGCTTTCCCTGCTCCTTAACAGTCAAGGACAAGCAGACTCAGGCATCGGCTTTTATCTTCCTAGTTAGTAAAGAAGCTAACATCACTGGGCAAATCACTTAAAATTAACAGCGTCTGATGTTTATACTCGAAGCCGTCAGTTCTTCTGGAAGGTAAGCAGAGCTCTACTTCAACTCGCTACTCTGATGACTGGCACCCACACACCACTGGGCAACCCTGCCATCCCCCAGCTGCTTGACCTCAGCCCACCACCCCCTCAGAGCAGCAGACCACCAGGGTAAACTTTTCTGAGGCAGGATTTCACTGTGTAGGGCAGACTGGCCATGAACTCACTTTGTAGCCCCATTTGGCCTCCAACTCCCAGCAACCCTCGGCCTCAGCCTCCCAAGCACTGGGATTACGGGTGTGAGCTACCACACCTAGCCACACTTTTACTTTTCCTTTTTTAGCTACTTGGCATACTAGTTCACTCTCATCAATTTATGGGTTACTTGGTTTGGCTTACAGCATGAAGCTACACACAGAATTTTCTGGATCTAAAATTTTCCAATATAAATGAATTATCTACCCACTACCTGCAAAAACAAACACATCCATACCCAAGAAGGTCACTGCACTATGAGTAGGATTTCCCTACCATTATACTACCCACAGGTGGGTACCAATTAGAAACCGAGTGAGTGAAGTCGCCGTTATGCAGGATACCGCTGACTAAGGAAATCCATGCCATTTCCCTCCAACTGACTACTGCACCATGGGAACACAGACCCAGCCACGCGGGCTGTTTCCAGAGCCGCCTCGCACGGCAGCCGCCTCTCTAGTGCTCCGTCCGCCTGGCTGGACCCCAAGGCACCACAGTTTCCCACAGAGACTAACTGAGAGGAAGTCTTCCAAGTGGGCAAACCTACCTCACCAAAGCAGGTCAGAACTGGGTGTTTGGTAATTCCTGACAAAACACCACCTGAGACTGCCTACAGAAGAACTCAGTGTCACCCTGAAAGTGACCACGTACACAAGGCTGTTCTGAGGGTACTGACAACCCGGTGGAATGTGAAGTACCTCAGGAGAAAAGGAGAACTCAGTGTAAAAGACCAGTTAAGATCGTATGGCTCACGGGTTATTCCAATTATGTGCCTTAATACCACTTTTTGCTATGATAAGCTAAATTCAACCTGGAATAGTCTTGTTGAGTTTTAAAGGCTTAGGAAATGGATGTACCTTACAATTTTAATGTAATAAAAAATTGTCCAAGAAGTTTTGATTCTTCTTCCAATAATATGAATACACAAACACAAAACTTTCAGAGCTGTCTAAACATCTTCAAGTCTCAGCTCTATTCATCTTTTGGGCCTCCTAAGCCACTCCCAAAATTAATTACACTTTGAAACAGAATTCTATACAAAGAGTGAAATGTAATTTCTTTAAGTGTATCTCATATGGTAACAGAACCTAACCATAAAGACACAGATGTAACTAAGGGAGACATTCCAGCCAGGCATACTTGCATGCACCTAAAGTGTCAACAACCTGGGAGACTGAGGCAGGAGAAATGTTTGAGCCCAGGAATTCAAGACCAGCCTGAACAACAACAAAAACCCTTAGTGAATTTTTATGACATAACTTATCATCAAAAGTTAAAGAATAGCCAAGTGCTGTGGCATATACCTGTAATCCCAGCTATTCAAGAAGCTGACAGGAATATTACAAGTTTTGGGGCCAGTCTGGTCAATTTAGTAAGACTCTTGTCAACATAAAAAATAAAAAAAGGCCACCTATAAGCCCAGCACTCAAGGGCTGGGGCAAGACGATCAACATGAGTTCAAGACCAGCCCAAGCTGTACAGTGAGTCCAGGCCAGCCTCAACTACATACCATCACCCTGCCTCAAAAAAAAGGAAGAGTGGACAATATAAAAGGCTGGATGTAGACCAATGGGAAAGTACTCCTGGATTCAATTCCCATATGGGGGGGAAAAGTGAAATGGTGAAAGAGCAAGTGGGAGGAAAACGAAGACTGACTGGTTGTTAAGATCAAAGAAAACCAGGAAGATAAAGAATACTTCACATGCAGTCGGGATCCTCATCCAAGAGCAAAACAAAATACAGTTCTGGGGCCGAGAATTTAGCTCCTCAGCATAAGCGCCTGTCTGGCAAACATGAGGCTGTGAGATCGATCCTCAGTATCAAAAAAAAAAAAAAAATATATACACACACACACACACACACAGTTCTGCAAGGTACTACTGGACCTACTGGCAAAATATGAATATAGACCTAGACTAAATAATTTCACCAATGTTAATTTGCTGTATTTATGGTTATATAAGAAATTCTGAAAATATACAGCAAGATCCTAATTTGGTTCAAGAATACAAATACAGAGGCTGGGGATTTAGCTCAGCAGCATAAGCATCTGTCTGGCAAGCGTAAGGTCATGAGTTCAATCCCCGGTACCAAACAAAAAAAGAATACAAACACATGTAATAAGGAAAAAAGATGCAACCATCTAATGATGTCTGTTCCCTACACACTACCTATAGAAGTCTGCTGAGTAACTGCTATGGCGCACCAGCTTACAGGCAAGTATTCCTTACAGCTCTATGCATCATCAATTATTTCAATAAAAAAATTGTTTCAATAAATTCAACCAGTGAAAAAGCTGTTCATGTAATTACATAAACTTGTGAATTTAAACAGGCATAATTCTCACACAAAAATGGTATATAGATCATATAAAACAATTACACAGAAAATTTCATGTATATATAGCTACTTAAGTCAGATACTTATTAAGCTTTAAGTATCCTGATTTCTAGGAAAACCAGAAAAACATACAAACCAAATTCTGATGAAAGTCATAAATCCAAATTACTCTAAGCAAATACAAGAATGCATAAAGATCATCCTCACTTACTATATTAAAATAGTGTTTCAACTTGGCACCTTTTGTAATATCCCATATAAATATGCTGCCGTCATGTCCTGCAGATAACATAATTCTGGAATCAAAAGGGTGTGTCTCCAAAACAAATACTTCATCGGCATGTCCCTTTATACAAAAAAAGCACAAGGTTAATGAGGATTTACAAGTTCAAAGTTGAAAACTGTATTTGTAAAATCGCTTATACTGTCAAATTACATAAGGAAATTTAAAAATATATCAATGATAGTAATTAAAACATTGTTGCATATAAAAGTTTCCAGTCATTTGGTAAGTTAAAGCAACTTGTTCAGCATGTTAATATTACATGTAACAGTTCAAAAATCCTGATTTGTCACATCTAGTAAAAACTACCTACCAGCAAATTATGAAGTAGCTGTCCAGTGTAAGAATTCCATACTTTGAGGACATGATCATTCACAGCTGTGACAACAATGCTATCATTCTGATTCCAAGCTATCATTGTTACTTTGGGTTTCATAAATCTTTCCTCTTCTGAAGACGATTCTCTAACAAAAAAGTACACACAGTATAAACTATTTGGAAGGTAGGGTATGCAACATATATAATCCCTCGCCAATTCAACAGTAACTAAAGAAATCGAATTTGTGCATCTATTTTATTAGTCCTGTTATTTACAGAGGGTTCATCACACTTAGAGAATACCAGAAAATGATCAAGGCAAAACCAGGTGGGTAGCACACAAGTTAGAAGCAGTTCGTTCAGAGCTACATGCACATTTTAGGACACCATGCCCACTTCTGAAAGTACAGAGATTCCACATTAAATAACTGACTTGCTTAATAACTGTTTAGATTGAGGGCCTGTCCTTTTTTTTTTTTTTTTCTCTTCACATTTCTGTACATCTTGTTTACAGAGCTTCAATGTCTTTTTTTGGTAAAGTACACTTGTTTATACAAGACCAATTTTGCTGATTATACCGTATAGTAACAAACACTATCATACTTTACAGTACTGCATGTAAAAGTTATACAAATGAAAGCAAAGTCATCAAGTGGGAGTTTCCTCTGGCCATGTCTTTGTTCTGACTACTGTAATGTACAAACTATATATGTAATTTCAAATTTAGCAACCAATTTAGTTAACAATCCAGTTACAGAACCACAGCTCAGTCGTTAAACTATGAGTATAAGGTTTTTCCTCCTTTTTTTTTTTTTTTTTTTTTTTACTATTATTATTCTCTTCCCTGGACTTCAAATCTATTGCTAACACTTACTTAGAACTGTTTCATCAGAGAAAATAAGGAAAGAAATTTTAGGACTGAAAGAAAAATCATTTTCACATTCCCACTTTAAAAAAATACCACCTGACACACATCCAACTGAGCTACCAATGAGACCCTTCCTCTTTTTATTTCTCTATCCCTAGGAAGCCATTGACAAGAACTGCCGTGGGTACACACTGCAGTGTCTTGCAATCGATACCTTCTCTGCAAACAGAAGTAGTCAGCAATAATGGTGGGAAGACAAGAAAAGGTCTAATTGGTTCTGAAAAACAGGACATACCCTAAGAAATTATTAGCATCTAATGCATTTTAATTAACAAATCAGATAGCTGCCAAAACATCAAGTAAGTATAAAACACCAGTATCCATGTAAACACTATGGAACACAGAACAGAGTAAGTCTAATTAATGGAAAATAAAGACTACAACTCGAGTCTTTAAAAGGCTTTATCAATTAACAACTGAACTTACTAACAATGATTACACTACCTGCATTTCAGGTTGATAAGCCAAAATGAGACCAGCAAAACAAACATATCAATCAATTCTTACAGGAAACTCTTGTTCTGGTATTTGAAAGCAGTGGCACTTTAAATAAGTTTATTACAGTCATAAAAGAACTATAGGCATCCACTCCTTAAGTGGACATGGCAACATAACTAAACAGTTTTTAGTCTCATTTTTAAGTTTTTCAGGAATAAGGCATTCTCACTCTCCTATTCAATACAGTTCCTGAAATTTTAGACAGAGGAATTAAGTGAGACAAAAGATAAATACAATACAAAAAGGAAAAGTAGTCAAATTATCTTTGTTTGCAGATGATATCAGATATTCAGAAAACTAAAAGATTCCCCCAAAAAACTTTTAGAGCCAGTGAATGAATTCAGCAAATGAGCAAGATGCAAAATCAACATTAAAATATCAACAGTGTTTTTTATACAATAAGGGGCTGAGAAGTAAAGAAAATAATTTCATGCACAATAGCTCCAAAAAAATAAAATACCCAAAATATCCTTAATCTAAACAAGGAGATGAAAGACCTCTACAATGAAAATTTCTGAATACAGAAGAAAGAAACTACCAAGCATGGTATCACACACCTCTAATCCCAGCACTCAGGAGGCTAAGGCAGGAGGACACTGCAAGTTCAAAGGCCAGCCAGGACTACACAGTTAGTTCAAGATCAGTCTAAACTACACAGTGAGATTCTTTCTCAAAAAAGATGGAGGGGGGGGGGAGAAAACTGAAGACATTAGAAGATGAAAAGACCTCCTATGTATGTGGATTGGTATAATCAAAATGGCCATAGTATTAAAAGTGATCTACAGATTCAATGCAACCCTTATCGAACTACCAATGACATTCATGTAATTAGAAAAAAAACTATCCTAACATTCATACAGCAATATAACAGACCTAAAATAGTGAAAGCAATCCTAAGCAAAAAGACCTGGGCTGGAAGAATCACATTATCCGGTTTCAAATTAAAAAGCCGGGGCTGGGGTTCCGGGAGAACATGGCGGACAGATAGCAGCAGCTATGGAGGCTCTCTGAAACACCCAGTTTAGAATTCAGGAATGGTGCTGAGTAAGGAATCATAAGCAAGAGGCGATATGCCCCGGTGACCCAAGAACGAACTGGGCTGAGAGAAACCAACTGGGAATGCAGTCCTGGTGCTATAACAGGAACAGATAAAGCCTCAGCGTGGAAGCTGGAGCCCGTGCCATTGGAAGCCATGATCTGGGTTTCCCGCCACCACCACTGCGTCTGCATCGGCTCGGCAGGGAGAGAGACGTGCAGAAGCTCTGAGAACGGGAATCGGTGAACCGAGTTGAGAGCGGGACGGGCGGGGAGCCGTGCATCCACCTCCGGTGAGTGAGGGAAAACTGGGACTCTTCCACGGTCTAGGAGACTCCAACTGAGGACATTCTGGGACCGGGCAGACTTGCGGGAACAGGGCGCTGCAGTGACTTCAGTCACCAATCACCCTCTCAAGTGGGATTGGTGAGCAGTGCCTAGCCCACGTGACGCTCCTGGCTGAGACCCAGTAGGCTAGCACAGCCCAGGTCCCAGCTCCTGAAGGTAGACTGACCTGGAGGGACGGGCCCTGCATAGGCTGCCTGGTCTGCAACTTCCTGGTGCGCTGTGGTGGGTGGGAACACCTAGCCGGCGCAATTCAATCAGACTGTGGCTGACAGGGAAGGAAGCTGGGCCTCCTATATATGCTTGCATATATAAGGAACAAAGAATATGGGAAGAGGCAGCAACAAAAAAGGGTCCTCGGCCCCCAATCCTGAGAAAGAGGCAAGAGCAGACCCAGCACCAATAGCACCAAGGTGCTTCCAGGATAAAGAGAAACAGGATAAAGAGAGCACCAATAGATACAAAGCGCTATCTCGAGAGCCTCATAGACAAGTTCAGGAATGAAGTTATTAATGACCTGAAGCTAGACATAAGCAGAATAGTTAGAGAAATGCTAAGCAACACCCAAGAAAAAACAGATGGTAGAATGGAAGAACAGAAAAAGAGGGGAGAATTGTTTAATGGAGAAAATAGAGAAAGCATAGAATTCGTGAAGCAGGTTCAAACACAATACCAAGAAACTAAAAAGTCTATCGAAAACTGGCCTAACAGCTCGAAAGAAACAAAGGACAGATTATCTGAACTGGAGGGCAGATTTGTAAAGTGGGAGCATGAAATGAAAAACTTCTTTAAAATAACAAAGAAACAAACAGCAATAATACAAAGACTAGAAGATGATAAGAGGGTCTATAACTTAAGAATTAAGAACATAAAAGAACAAGTAGGGACACAAACAAATGAACTACAAAAGCTACTCACAGAAATAATCCAGGAGAATTTTCCTAATTTAGCAAAATGTAAAGATACTCACTTGTATGAAGCATACAGGACCCCAGCCACCTACAACCCAAACAGAGCTACACCCAGGCATATAATAATCGAAATTCCAGAAATCCAATATAAGAACAGAGTATTAAAAGCCATCAGAGACAAGAAACAGATCACTTACAAGGGAACACCCATCAGAATTACAGCAGACTTCTTGGCACAGGCCATCAAATCATGAAGAGCATGGGGGGAAAAAATTCAAGCTTTGAAAGATAATAACCTCCAGCCAAGATTGATATATCCTGCACAACTGTCCCTAGAAATTGATGGAAAAACAAGGTGCTTCCAGGATAAAGAGAAACAAGAGGAATTTGCAACCACCAATTCAACTCTACAGAGAATACTGCAGGATATTCTAAAAAAAGGAAAACACCAAGATCCCAGAAATAGTGGCAGAGAGGCCATAATGAATGGCGCAGAAAGCAAAATGAAGACAAAACTGACAACAAACGACAGAAAAAGATCTCAACAGAAATGAGGCAGAGAAGATCGGATGGTAGGAACAACTATTTTGGAGGAAACAAGACATCATAATAGCTAGTGCTGATTTAGTATTCTTGTTTTGAAGTCCCATCAAGCTTTTATTCTTCTGTCTCCATCAGTGTTAACAGGTTGTATCTTACTGGATTTTATTATATGTGATAATATAAGCAAAAACTTTTATAGACAAGGAGATTATACAGAAACTATTGTTTATTTTCTGTTAGTTGATTCTAAATACCCCGTAATACTGTCATTCTCTTAAATGGTTTTACATTGTTTTGATATATTTGATGCTACAGTATACGAAGTTATACTCAAAGATTTCAAGGAAAGAGACAATATGGTAACTACTTTTATGTCGGGATAAGCTTGTGGTGAAACACTATTTTGCTTAAATGGTTATGTTTTGATCTGCGCTGATTTGCTGTTATGCCCTCTTTTATCTCAATCTCCATTTTATTATTTACTTTTTTATCCTTTTAATTAAAAGAAAAATAAATTTTAAAATAGCAGGATATATTATAGTAACCCACTTTGACTTTCCATTATCTTGATTTAAAGCCCTGTATTGCTCTCACCATCTTGTTTTGACTGATGTTCCTCTATTCTGTTTTGCTTGATAGTACCAGGTTCGAAAGTTTAGGCAACAGCTGTGAAGATAGTGGAATTCATTATGACGCCCATTCTGATTGACTATTATCTACTTTTGAAGACCTGTAATGTCTCCAGTGTTTTGGTTTTGTTGGTTTTGTTCTTTACTGTTTTGTTCAATTTTATTATGACTAATGATATAGGCAATTCTATTGGAGATGGCAGGAGGCATTATGGTAACCATTGTTGATCACCCAGTATTATGCTTTTACATTATCTATTACGTCCACCCTTTTGATTTGACTGACTGTTCTGTTATGTCACATTTGGTTCTACTCTCTTCCAGAAAAGTAATGAGAACTGTGGGAGCAACAAAACCCAAGGTGTGTGGTTGTCGTTGTACAAAAGAGAGGAAAAGAGGGTGCTCTAAACGATATAACTGCATGTATATTTAAGTGTATTAGATAGATAATGATATTACTGAGTTTTGTTGGATCATTGAACAGAACTGTTTGCAGTCTCACTGTTGGAATGTCCACTTTATAGGCTTTAATTTTGTAACTTGAACAATTGTTTCTGAGATGACAAAATGTGATCCGTTGACTGGTGATTTCCTACTGTTTAATTTTTTCTGTAAATGTGTATAACTTGTACCCTTTCTCTACGTTTTTTTTTTTTTTTTCTTTTTCTCCTTAAATAAAATTAAAAAAAAAAAAGCCGGGGCTGGGGATTTAGCTCAGCAGTACCAGAGATCATGAGTTCGATCCCTGGTACCAATAAAAATGAAAAAGACAAATAAATAAATAAATAGCAAATTATAAAGCCACAGGAACAAAAGGATGATACTGGCACAAAAACAGATATGTAGATCAATGAGACAGAATACAGAGCACAGAAACAAATATACATAACCACACCTACCCATCTGATTCTGAATTACATACACTGGAGAAGGGACATCCTATTTAACCAGTGGTGCTGGGAAGACTAGATGCCCACTTAGAGAGGACTGAAACTGCATCCCCACTTCTCACCTTGTACAAAAGTCAATTCAAGATGGATCAAAGATCTAGGTATAAAGACCTGAAAGTCTGAAATTTAAAAAATAAGGGAAACACGTGAAGACACAGACAAAGACTTCCTGAGGGGAAGTCCAACAGCACAGGAAGTAATAGTAAGAATCAACAAATAGGATATCACGCTAAAATGAAACCACTCTTCCAACAGAGGGTTAATATCTATACTATACAAAGAACTCAAAAATCTAACCCAAAACAAATAATTCATTTAATAAATAGCAAATGAACAGATTCTTCTCAAAAAGAGAAATAATTGCCAATAAGGTGGGAAAATGCTCACCATCTTTAGCCTCTAGAAAACACAAATCAAAACTACACTGAGGTTCCACCTGCCCCCAGTGAGAATGGCTGTCATCAAGGTTCAAAAAAACGATAGCCACTGGCCAGGGTTGGGGGGTCAGAGCCTTCCACGCTGCTGGTGGAAATGTAAATTGCTAAAGCCACTGGAAATCAGTATGGAGGCTCCTCCCCGAAAAAGATAAGCTAGTTAGTATCTGATCCAGCAATGCCACTTCTTGTTACACACCAAAAGGAATTCAAGTCAGCACTGTACAGGGAAACCTGCATATTCACGTTTACTGTGGCACAACTCCCAATAGCCATCCCATGAAATCAGCTTAAGAGCCAAGCAACACATAATGGATAAAGAAAATACAGTATGACTGGGATGGTGGCACACAACTGAGATCCCAGCACTCTGGGAGGCTGAGGCAGAAGGTCTGAAAGTTCAAGCTAAGTCTAGACAACCTAGTGACTTTGCAAGACTCCACTTCAAAATTTTTAAAAAAGGAAAAAAAAATTTTTAAAAAGGGTTGCAGATATGGCTTACTGAAATGGTACTGGGTTCAATCTCCAATACTGTAAGAAGTGGGGTGGAGGAGGTATATATTCACAATGAGGTATATTATTCAACCAAAAAGAATAAAGATAGATGGACCATCGTGCTGAACAAAACAACCCAGACTCAGCCGGACATGGTGGGTGGCTCACACCTGAAATACCAGCACTCGGGAGGCTGAGGCCGGAGGATCATTGGGAGTTTGAGACCAGCCTGGGCTACAAAGTGAGCTCAAGGCCAGCCTGAACTGCATAGCAAGACCCTGTCTCAAAAAGAGAAGAAAAAAAAAAAAACCAGACTCAGGTAAGTATCATATGTTCTCCCTAATTTGGGGGATCTAGAGATGGTGACAAGAAAACAGCAAGAAGACTACTCTTAGACAAGAAGAGATCAAGGGAGACAGAGGTAGAAAGGCAGGACATACAAATTATGGATCTGGGGAGCTGGGGAGTTAGCTCAGTGGCATAAGCGCCTGCCTTGTAAGCAGGCAGTCGTGAGTTCAATCCCCAGTACCGATAAAAAGGAAAAAGACAAAAAAAATTATGGATCTGATCAAAATATGTACACAGTGAATGCAAAAAAAAAGACCAAAACTGCAAAACTCGAGGGAGAACAGGGCAAGATGGGCGACAAAAGAGATGAAAATGATCAGAGTATACAAATCTGCCAAGATAAAACTCATTCACATATGAGTGACGTGCACAAAAAAAAGATGTTAAAGATGGGGCACACTGGGGATTTAGCTCAGTGGCATAAGCATCTGCTGGGCAAGCGTGAGGTTGTAAGTTCGATCCCGGGTACCACAAAAAAAAAAAAAAAAAAAAAAGAAACCAAATGTTTCATTTGGGCTGGGGATTTAGCTCAGTGGCCTAAGCGCCTGCCTGGCAAGAGCAAGGTCAAATGTTCGATCCCTGGTACCAAAATAAAACAAAACAACACAAAAAAAAGTAGGTAAGAGACACATTATGCCCCTAAAAATAAGTGTTACACTGTAATACTGAACTTCTTAATCTACCTAATAAGATAATTCCTCAGAAGCGAATATGCTTCAAATCATCTCTGCTCTTGTCTTTACCACCACCACCCACCCTACACATGTGCTGACAGCTCGCTCTCACAGAAGGATTTCTGAATATCTGGCTATGACATTTTTATGAAGATTTTTTACATATGAACAAGTATTATCAAATTTCCAGTATATATTATTTCCACTTTATAGCAGATAATTCCACACAAATATTAACATCAAATTTATTCGGAACACTGTCAAGTACACAAGACACTGTTAAGTCAGCTCCTGTTACTGAAAGTAAAGCAAACACGACTGTCTTTAAAAGACTGATGTACAAAAGTGTAACTAGAAAAAGTGTAAAGTAGGGGCTGGGGATTTAGCTCAGCGGCATAAGCACCTGCCTTGCAAGCAGGCAGTAGTGAGTTTTTTTCCCAGTACCGATTTAAAAAAATAAATACATAAAAAAGAAAAAGTAAAACTGATGATTTCAAACTTCCATTGCTCACACTGTAACTAAAACAATAATGGCCTTTTCAGTAGGCAAAAGACATTAACATGTCCACTCTAAAACAGTGTTCCAAAGACTTTTACAGTACCATTTAAAATTCCCAGAAATGCTTAGAAACAGGAGTCATTTTCCAGACAATGAAATAGATTAAACAATACTAAATGGTTTTTCAAGACAGTGTAAATGGTATTTGAGCCAAAGTCTGATTTCTAAATAGGTATTATTTCTACCACTCCTACTTACAATTTACACACACTGTTATGGTTTGTGTTTAAATGTCCCCCCAAAGCCTTATGCAGGCATGGTGAAGGATGGGCCTTTTGAAGGCCACTGAATCTAAGGTTTGTGATTGGTTGGTTTTCTAGGGCTGGGATCAGCAGTGTGAGCAGGGAACCTACCAGGGGCAGGGAGCCAATATACAATATGAGGGAGGAAAGAAGGTGTGCTTAACACTTTTGAAATCTACAGCAGCTGCCATGCTGCCCCTCAGCCACAGCACTCTGCCTTAGAGCCAACAGAGTAGAGACTGAAACCACCATGAACTGTAAGCCAAATACACCTTTCTTTCCTTCATTTTGGGCATCAGCTATTTTGTCTCAGCAACAAAAATAAAGAAACCAAGGCAACAAAAAAAGAGCTTTAAATTTGCAATATTTACCATAGAAAGTACTACATATTCCAAAGATGTTCAAAACAACTTTGGCAGTCTGTAATGTTGGGTAGGTACTGGTGGGCATACCTTCAACATCATTTTATAAATCATAATTTTAGCATACAAAATTTCCACTGAGGGGTTGGGGATTTGGCTCAGGGGCATAAGTGCCTGCCTTGCAAGTGCGCAGTCATGAGTTTAATCCCCAGCACCAAAAAAAAAAAAAAAATCCTCATAGAAAATTCCTACTAAAGCCAAACTTCAAAGTTTACAATAAAGCATATTTGCTTCACTTTATTTTCTAGCCTTAGCTACAAGTCAGTTTTATAAATCCCAAAACTCCTATCTACAAAAAGTAAAATTTCCACGCTTCACATACTTGAATTTTTGTAACTGTTTTTCAACAGCAGGAGGCTTTAAATGCAAAACTAAGAACAATGTCAATTAATAGAAGTACATGATGTACTTTCCTACATTAATTTGTATATACAGGCTTTATCAAACGCATGGTAGGTAATTAAACAGAAGATGGTTAAAATTCTCTCAAGGAAGTAATCAGTAAATGGGGCGGGGAAGTTACCATGCAATCACAACGAGCAATCTTAACTCACCCTGAGATTCTGGTAGCCATATCCAATAAAATGCTTCTCCATTCTAACTGTTCAAACCTCCAGATCCGTGCTGTTCCATCTCTGCTACCACTTAGGAACCTTAAAAAGATTCAGAAAAAGATCCTCTGCTCACAAACCTGCTATCAAGGTCTACAATTAAAATCAATAGGCAAAAATAACTCTTAATGTACTATCTTGATGACAGTCCAATCCACAAGTGTTACAGTCATTCAGGGCTTATCTGGTATGCTATGAATATACTTTGCTATAATTTGCCTGGTTCTACAAAATATAACACACTGTAAATGCAATCAGCAAATCTTAATGATTTCTGAGTTTTGAAAAGACAACATAAAAGTATCTGGAGAGAAGAAACATTACAGGCACAAGAGAAATTAATGAGAGCAAAAATTCATTTCAAGCATCCTAATTTTAAGCTCTAATTCATGCTGGACACTGTGATTTTTATCAAGTGAAAGCAAGCATAAAAATTGCAGTTTAGGAAAGGCACCTGACACACAGGTGCCAGAAAGGATAGAATTTAGGTAGTAATTCCATTGCAGAACGTACCATAATAGTGGATTAGAAAAGGATTTTAAAAGACTTAGAAGGAATTTCATCGTTCTTTTTGTTATTTTTATTTTTTGGTTCTTACTGAGACAGGATCTCACGATGCACTTCAGGCTGGCCTTGAGCCCACTTTGTAGCCCAGGTTGGCCTCAAACTCCCAGCAATACTATACAGCCAGTGGAATTCACTGGTAGTTTGTCTCCACAGTCAGTGGAATTTCATCATTCTTAAATATAATTTTCCCAGCACACTGGACATCTAACCAAAGAACAACCAGATGTGGTGGTATACATGTGTAAGCCAGCCCTCAGGAGGCTGAGGCAGAAGGACTGCTAAGTTTGAGGTCAGCTTGGGCCACACAAGGGAGTTCCAAGCTGGCCTGAACTACATAGGAAAAACCCTGTCTCAAAAAGACCAAAACAAAAAGAAAGAAAAATCCAACAAAGAACGGCTTTTATTCATGGAAACCACCAAATAACACTAAAATCTAGTGTAATGAGGTTCTTTCTACTCTAGGCACTTTTTATTCACTTAATATACCTACCAGTATGTGTCTTGCAATGTAAAAAGTCCTGATATCACAGTTAATAACAATATACTGAACATATGTTTCAAAACTGTTAAAAGAAGATTCTAAATGATTTGCTAGAAAAAAATACATATGTAAGGCAGTGGCTGGTTTTGAGTGAATCTTTCCATAGTGTAAACATGTATCAAAGAATTATACTGTAATTACTTGCCAATCAAAAATAGTAACAGAAAAATATACAAAGTGATATCTCCACTACATATATGTAGTATTAACATATCTACCTAAAAACATATATAATATACACATACATACTTACCGGTCACCAGTGTTACAAAATTGGATACTGTCTACTTTATCCTACAGGGGGAGAAAACAAATACCAAAAAAGATTACCTAGTTTGCAAATTTTTATTTCAGTGACAGCAAGGAATGTACATCTGTACTGCCTGCCTAGTCACAGGACTCGCACTGTGCTATTTAGTGTGAAGCCTCTAAGGATCTAACAGACCACCAATCACCTTTCAAAGCTGAGCATGTCTAGTAGGAAAAAAGCCTTGCACATAAATTAAAGCTGCATTTACATGATGTCCCTTTAAAACAACTTGGGTGGCTATGCAAAGGAACATGTGGAAAGTGATCTAAATACAACTTTAAAGCACCTGAAAACAAGGCACTTTTTATCTACACACCAAAACGAATGTGCTACCACACACACATGAAAGAGCAGCATTCCATGAACTTGCTTAGGACAGCAGGCGCACTGGAAATCAGCCCATCCACATCAACTACCATGATCAAGACTTAGTACTTAGAGCTAAAATTATCCTTGTAAAATATTACCATGTCCAAGCTGCTAATCTGAGTTACAAACAATATTCTGCCCAATTATACACAATTCCTATGTAAGATTAGAATTTTTAAAAACCATCTGTACCCGAACATTTTCAGTTTCACAAGTATACCAAAGTCTAGGTCTTGCAAATAGCTCAGTAGAAGAGTATTTCCCTAGAATGTGCAGCACCCTGGGTTTGATCCTCAGTATCACACACACACAAACAAAATAAACATGCAAAATCTCTAGATTTTTTAAATATAATTCAGCAAAAACAAGATCACATGACTCACCTTACAAGTGCAACTATGATTTTCAAATCTAACAAAGTAATTGCATCAAAAAATCTTTAGAACAGTTAGGCATGCTGGCAAACACCTGTAATCCCAGTACTTAGGAGGTTGAGGCAGTACAATTGCCACAAATTCGAGATCAAGACTGGACCATGAATTTAAGGCCAGCCTGAACTACATAGCAATACCCTGTCTCAAAAAACCAAAATTTAAAAAGAAAAAAATCACCGTTAAAATAAAATTTGTTAAACAGAGAAAAAAAATAGCTGGGCGTGGTAGCACACACCTATAATCCCTGCACATGGGAGGCTGAGAAAGAAGGATCATTGTGAGTTTGAGACCAGCCTGAGTTACAAAGAGAGCTCAAGGCCAGCCTGAACTGCATAGTGAGACCCTGTCTCAAAAAAAATCAAAAAAAAAGAGAGAGAAAAAAATAAAATTAGAATAATGACAACTTTCTTTAGCAATAGTAAGAATATCATTAACAATTTATAAAATTTTAAAATATAATGCTTACTGTGTGGCTTTCAAGTTCTGCAATTTTTTCAGGTGCTTCAAAACCCAAAAAATACATTCTGATTACATGATCAGTACTCCCTGTAGCTAAAAACATACCACCTGAAATAAAAATGGTAAAGTTTAAACATTTAAAATATTTAGCTTTTCTAAAGTCAAACTGAACAAATCAAACTTCTACATTAAAATATACAAAAAGCAGGATCACTTATTCTAAAATTAAATTCATCTCAGTAGATACACTTTGTAACTCAGCATCTGAAGAACTGTAAAACTGTACTTGCAGCTTGAAAGTTAATTCAATTTGGAAATGTTCACAATCTCACTATACTTTACTTAAGCACAGAAAGGCAAATAAATGCAAAATGAGTGCCAGTGCTCCAGAAGTACTGGAACAAAAGGAGTCTGTTTTTAACCTACTTCCCACACCAACACCTAGGTTGGGAAGAGCTCACTTGAAGTTTTTAGACTCTTATGAGAGACAGCTCTCTGATCTATCTAAAGGAAAAGGGAGAGTGGAGGGAGGGAGGGAGGCTGGTTACCATCCAAGCTCACTCACTGCAGTATGTGAGAGAAGACAGAGAGCCAAGGCCCTGGGTTCAACTCCCAGCATCAGGAAGAAAGATAAAGATGATTTAAGCAAAATAAACATGTAGAAAACAAATTGAAACTAACAGAATTCTCATAAATATTAGCTATAATGTAGTCATTTATTTAAATAGCAAAACAATTTTAAAAATTACCAAAGAAGTTCTTACCAACACTAAAAGAAGAACAAAGCATTTGAACGCCCGGCCTAGGCTTTTCGGTGAACTTCAGGGGACGTGGACTTTAAAAGAAGACGACACTGCTTTAGAATGCATTAGTGTTAACAAATTAACACATTTGAAAGACGTTTTTCTTTCTGAGACAGCATTCCTTTCACTAAAGTATTTAGGCTGGCCTTGAACTCACTACGATATTTAGGCGGACCTCGAATTTGCAGCGCTGCTCCTGCCTCAGCCTCTCAAGTACTGGGGTTATAGGTGTGCAGCACCCTGCATGACTGAAATAGCAGTTTTAATCAGGCACATTTAAATATAACCCCAGTCCTACAGTACCTTCCCACATGCCAAATGTTCTCACCTATTAGAATGGCCACCAGAAACAGACGGAGGTAGATTCTAAGGACATTACTGCACAGGGAAAGAAAAGGTCCACTGACCCCACTTTTCCTAAGTGTGCCGACTATAGCTCGGACAGTCTCCGTGAGCCCAACTGCCAAGTCACCAGGGCATAACCCAGGAGGACACAGGGATGGCAAGCCACTCTTCTTACAGTAGCCACATTTCAGAAAGTATACAGAAGCCAGGTATGGGGGCACACGCCAGAGACTCATCCACATGGGGTACATGGAGGCCAGGAGGCGACTCAAGCACAGGCAAAGGCCAGCGTAGTAAACAGGCACCCCAACTCAAAAGATCAAATTAGTTTTAATTTTACCCAACAGATCCAAATATCATTATCAACATATAATCAATCGCAACACAATTTTAATGAGATCTTCTACAGATTCTTTCATATTAAATATTTGAAATTTTTATATTTGACACACAAAATACATCTCAATGTGAACACTTAATTTTCATCAAAAATACTTGATCTGTACTTGGATTTCACAAAACTTGTGTTTCAAAACCTCAGACTCAAGTTGTTTAAAACATATATAGAAGTTTTCTAATAACTGGATCAAGTATGAGGTTTTAAAGCTGAATTAACAATTCAGCTCCTCCATTCCATGCGCCACATTTGAAGTCACAATAGTGACAGCTGGCTGGGCCCCAGGTTTCTAATCCAGCTCTCAGGACTCCCAAGTGTTACCATCAGGGCTTCTCCTTATACACGATGGCACATTTCTAATCTTTTAAAAAATAATTCACAGGGCTGGGGATTTAGCTCAGCGGCATAAGCGCCTGCCTTGCAAGCAGGTAGCCGTGAGTTCGATCCCTGGTACCAATGAAAAGGAAAAAGACCAAAAAAAAAAAAAAAAAATTCACATACATACTGTTTTACTGTTTACACAAAAAATCTAGTTGCTAAAAGAAAAGCTCTGCATCTTTTACATACTCAACTGTCTAAAATTACAGTGACATATGCTTTATATAATAAATTTGAAAGTAAAAAGGCACCCACAATACATAATCTCTCTCAATCACGTTTCCTAAGACTAAAATCATAACTGCACGAAAAAAGATACTTGTCACTTACCTGAATTTCAGAGACTGTAAATCCCACTGCCAAAAGCAAACCGTCCCATCAGCACCAGTGGAAACCATGTATCTCTGAGAGCCTTTGGCCATGGGGCTAAACTGAAAGACAGTGATACATATTAATCAGTTTCTAGAACTCTCCTTAAGGCACACTTTAATAGTCTTCCAAAATTAACTCCAACTGACACTCTAAAGAAGTTAAACACAAGAAATTAAGAACACAAGAAATTAAGAAATGATGTAACAGTGAGATAGCTAGCCAGGTATGGAGGCATATGCCTGTAATTCTAGTACTCAGGAGGCTGAGGCAGGAGGATCATTGCAAGTTTGAGGACTGCTTAAGCTACACAGTGAGTCCATGGCCAGCCTGGACTACATAGCAAGATTCTGTCTCAAAAAAAACAAAAAACAAAAAAAAAACTGTACATTAATTTATACATAATCTGATCTCAACTAAAGATGATTTTCAATACTGATAAAAAGAATTACCACGAAAATATTTGAACAGTAAAGATGTATCCTCTGATATTTAAAGAAATCACAGATTCTCAAAAATTAAAACAGATACAAAAAGTAACTTGAGGCCTGGGGATTTAGCTCAGCAGTGTAAGCACCTGCCTGAGAAGCGTGAGATCGTTGAGTTTGATTCCTGATACCGAAAAAAAAGTAACCTTGATAAAACAGCCAATAGAAAAAATATGAAATTCAAAAAACACTCTGATACAGGGTGAAGCTCTCACCTCTAATCTGGCAGGGAAACAACGGCTCACCATAAATGTTACTGAGATGAGGATGCAGTAACCGGGAGAAAAACACTACATCCAAGCTTCAGGCTATGCTAGCAAGGCACATTCCCAATATACCGAAAATTCAAAAGCATTGTCAAACACATCAAAGCATTGTAATACAAGACTGCATTCCAACCTCAGATGGGGTAACATTTTATTTATTAAAGTACCATGTGCGCTGTTATGGTTTGTGTTCAGATTACTCCACAAGCCTCATGCAGTCACAGAAGCGACTGAATGCAGCGTCTGTGACTGGTGATGAGTGTTGCACCTACCCTGCTGCAAGTAACAGACATACCACCAAGAGAGGGAGGGAAAGCGGGCTTTTCCCTTTTGCCTTCTTCACTCTTGCTGCTTAAGGCAGCCACCAACAGCTACTCCTCAGCCTCGCCACCCTGCCTTGGAGCCAGCTGAGTATGGACTGAAACCTATAAATAAACCTTTTCTTCTCTAATTTGGGTGTCAGGTATTTTGTTTCAACAAAGAGAAAAAAGTAACCAAAACATGTGCTAAACAAGCCAGAAAAAGACGATTTTGTTGCAAAGACATTAAGGAAAGCTTAGAAAAAAACAAAGTAAACAAGAAAATGACTCACAGGAATAAAATGAGTACAGATTTAAAGTGAATTGCAAATATGGTTTGGGACAAAATGTATACAAGCAGAGTGTGGTTGTGCATGCCTGTAATCCCTGCACATGGTTGGTGGGAGGTAAGGAGGAACATTTTGAGTTCAAGACCAACCTGAGCTACAAAGTGAAACCAAGGCCAGCCTGAACTACATAATGAGATCCTATCTCAAAAAAGGAAAAAAAAAAAAAAAAACACCAATTAACAGGTAACTATAGCTTTGAAGAAAACACCAAAAACAGCCAAAAAATTGACCAGAATACAATGAGTGAAAGGAAGCCACAAAGATGCTATAGTAAAGCACCAAAAAGCAATCCAATTAACAATTAATGATTAATCTAAGAAGCAAACATCTTAACTGGAGGATAGCCCCTCCATCCCCATCCAAAATGTGAAAGACAGCCAAGAAAGCAGCAACAGAACTTCCTGATTCAGAAGACAAAGGAGGAAGGAAGCCTAGCACAGCAGTCACACATGCCTGCAGTCCCAGCACTTGGGAGGCTAAAGCAGAGGGAGCTTAAATCAAGGTCAAACTGAGATATACAGCAACACCTTACTAAAAAACAAAAGCAAAAAACAAAAAAAGAGTTCAGGAAATAAAGACTAGCAGTAGTAGCATGTACCTATAATCCCAGCACTCAGCAGGCTGGGTGGGATAGGAGGGTCATCGAGAGTTTGAACCAGCCTGGGCTATATAGTTCAAGGGCAGTCTGAGACCCTCAAAAAAACCGAAAGAGACAGAGACAGAAAGACAGAGAGAAACAGACAACGGACAGAGAAACAGAGAGAAAGTAGCTAAAGAGATGGGATGAGCATGTTTGAAGCAAAGGAATATTTTAAGGGAAATTAATGACAACGAATCTCCTACTGTAAACAATTTTAATTTGAACATTCACATATATACTTTCATTAATCACACATTTTCCCACGCATTCTTTATTCCTGGGTGTCTGAAGAGTTTTGGTGCTACCGTGAAAGTTCTTCCTTCGATGAGTTTATCACTGTTTACTCATGGCGCGTAGGAAAGCTGACTTCAGACAGACTGCCTACCTCACTGTGTTTTAGTAAACTCTCAGCAGTTTTAACAGGTTTTACCAGGATTCAGTAGCTAACTTGTGAACTTGGAGATTCACTGGTTCCCCAGGTGGTGGGGAATCCACCCATATCCTCTACCCTGGGCCACATCCCAGGGGCCCTAAGCTCTGAATCTTGAAGAGTTTGTTCTTTTATTTCTGTTAAGATGATGCTGAACAGGTACAGTAATAATATCGTGCTGATTTTCCAAAACAAGTTAATTTTACAGTATTTTCAATCCACATAAAAGGCACAGAAAGTATGCTGAGCATCCACGCACCAGTCACAATTGTTTTGGGTTGTTTCATTTTGTTTTACTACCGGGAGTTGAATTCGAGGCCTCTCCTTGCCAAGCAGCGCTGTGCCAGTGAGCTACATCCCAGGCTCTGGTCAGCACACTGAACAGCGGTGAACCATCTGTCGCAATGCCCTCTTTTTTTTTTTTTTTTTGTCTTTTTCGTTTTTATCGGTACCAGGCATCGAACTCACGACCACCTGCTTGCAAGGCAGGTGCTTATGTCGCTGAGCTAAATCTCCAGCCCCTACAATGCCCTCTTGATGCGGACACACCAATGTAGATGTGAGCTGTGGGATCCCAGCTGGAGAGGAACCTCCTTGGCCTAGAGCCCTCAGTCTGTCTCCTAAGAATGATGTTCCCTACATAATGTTGGCATCACCCAAGAACACGGATGCAACACTTACCTAACATGCAATCTGTATTTAAACCTCCTCAACTTCCTAACTACTTAATATATTTTTCTGTCCTAAGCCCAGAACCCAAATCCAGGCTCTCACGCTGCATCTTTTTGTCACTTCTTCTGGGGTTCCTTACAAAACAGTTCTCACCTTTTTCTTTCTTGAAACTAACTTTTGAAGGATGTAAGAAATTTATTACATAAATTATTTACCAACTGGATTTCTCTAATTGCTTCCTTATCAGTCTCCAATCATCTCTGACAGAAATACTTAAGTAGGTGAACAAAGATTTTTAACTACACAGTCAATGCATTCAACAGTTACAGGTCTTTTCAGATTTTTTTTTTCTTTTGTTGACCTCATTCTTGCATTTTCCTTAGTATTTCTTCAATTTTCCCATACAAGTAAGTTTAAAATCCCCCTTTTTATTATTGGAAAAATCTCTAGTGTGTCCTTTGTCAAATCTGACCCCTGTGTGTCATACTTCTTTTCTGAGCCATGCTTCATGTCAGTCTTTACCAACACCATGTATTTAATCTTCAAGAAACTCTTCCATTTTGTTGGTCCTGTATCATTAGGCATAGTTTTCTATCCTTAATATCTGTACTTTATCCTCAACAATTTCCTCTTTCTCCACTGTTCTTTAAATTTCTTGAAAAAGACATTACATCAATGAATTTCAACTTTTTAATTTTTTTGTATGAGAAATGAGTATCTCAACATCTTGCTCAGGCTGGTCTCAAAGGATCCTCCTCCCTCTGTCTCCCAAATAAGCTGCTATTAGAGGCACACACCACTGTACCCAGGCTGTGGGCATCTTTAATGCATTCATTGACCACTATAAACTTCCCTTTCAGTCCTTCTTCAGCTGTGTAGTAAAATTAAAAATATACTGCTATGCAACAACTTACCCCAAGCTGAGCTTCCCAAAACAACACTCTGTTATCTCACAGTTTCTACGGATCAAGAATCAGGAACAGCTTAGCTAGGTAACCCTGGCTTGACTTCTCATGAAGCTGCAGGCAAAGCATGTACCAGGGCTACAGTAGCCAACGTTTTAACTGGGGACAGAGGACCCATTTCCAACGCAGCTCACTCATATGACTGGGCAGGAGACTTCAGTCACAGCTGTCCAGCCCAAGCCTGTTGCTTACATTATTCAACTCTATAATCCTAGTAAGATAGTTTTTCAGTCACTAAGAGGTACAAGTATATCAATTTCATTTATGAAAATGGAGGTCTATCTCTACCTATAGGTTCTATTCATGCTGTATGTATTTTGAGGCTGCATTTTAAGTGAATAAAAATTCAGAATTCTTCCTCCTGTTTAACGAGATATTTTATCATTATGAATACTCTATCTCTAAAAATGTAATCTGTCTTAAAGCCTATTTATCTGATGTTAATGTAACTACAACATTATGATTCATGTTTGTACAGTTTTTTCCATTCTCTAACTTAATGTCCCTCTATTCTTACAATGAAGGTAAGGCATATAATTAGGCTTCAATACTTTTTAAAAACTAAATCTGAACTGTCCTGTACTTGTACCACACGATGCATTTTAATTACATTCACAATGACATTTAAAGGTGTCCCAGTATCACCTCAGAACTGCACCACATCTTAATTGAATTTCTCTCCGCGCCTTCTCTCATACTTTGCTTCGTGACACAGTCCCACCATGCAGCCCAGGCTGGCCCTGAGCTCACACTCAGAGCCATCCTCTTGCCTCAGGCTCCAGGTGCTGAGACCACAGGCATGTACCACCTCACCTGGTTTCTGCTTCATTCACTAGTCTGTATTTCTGGTCTCTAATAGCTTAGTATTTACACATTCTTTTACTAATAGTTTAGCTGTTATTTCAGAGGTTACAAAATGCATTTTCATCTTAAATTCTTAATATAAATTTGT